TTGCGATTCCTGCATTTCAGGGGATTAGGTGATCCTCAGGGTCCTCTTACAACTCTACAAAATTCTATCAAACCATGCCAAGCCAAATCCCCTACTAGCCTTGCCCCATTGGAATATGAACTCTGTGCCCTTCTTGCCAAGATGGAGAACGGAGGCACACGTTGAATTTGTGTAAAAACCCACTTCCCATACAAAGGGGGGGGGGGAATGGCATTTGTTGCTCCACCCCCTTTCACCTCTGGCCCCACCCACCAAATATTCCCCCATTTCTGTCCTATAGAATAGCAACCATTGCAGAATCAAACTGCAAAATAAAACGGCCGGCCAATTTACCTAATTTCCGTATCTTCCACATGCCCCATCATTCAGAATTTTGCGTTTTTAAGTTCAAGCTCAGAGGGCGACCCAGTGCAAGCACACCGAGTGATATATCTGATCTTCCCCTAACACGGCTGCGGACAAGCTGAGAGGGCTCATCATGGCCAATTGCCCAGAGACAAGTTAAATGTGGCTGCTGAGCTAAGAGCCATGGCCTTTGGGGCAGGCTTACGGTGCTATTAACTTACCACTGCGGGCATGTCATGGCAGCCGAGCGACGGGAACAAAGCAGACCGAGCCCGGAGAGAAAATAAACCAATAATTCTTTACTGAGTTAAACAGGGGAAAGAGACGTAAACACAAGAGGATTGTCTTTCTGCAAAGAGGACACCTGCAAAACTGTTTTTCCCCTCTGAATTTTAGGGACGCAGTCGCTTCCCCAGGCCCCTCGCTGCTCCTGGACTCCATCTTGGTTTCCCAGAACACCCTCCGCCATTGCAGAATATCGCATGGGGCTTCCTAAGATAACCAAAATGGCAGCTGGCATCAGCGAGGGGCTGAGGGGAGGAAGCAGAGTCTCTCTCTCACACACACACACACACACACTCAGACCTTTAAGTTTTGCCACTCCAAATAGACTGTTCCTCGTGGGAACAGACCCCCACGAGAGGTGGTGGACTCTCTTTTGCTGGAGGTTTTTAAGCAGAGGTTGGGTGGCCATCTGCCAGGGTTGCTTTAGCCAAGATCCCTGAATTGCCGGGGGTTGGACTAGATGACCCTGGGCCCCTTCCAGCTCGAAGATTCTCTTTTTTGTAGTGTGCAAACTATGGCATTAAAGGGATGGCTGAGGCCGTTGTCCCAAGGAAGGTGTTTTTGGTGGGTGAATAGCAGTGTGGAGTTTAGGGTGCTGGTCTGGGGGAGAAACCTGTGGCCTTCCAACTTGCTGTTGAACTCCCATCTCCCAGACTTGCGATTCTCAAAAACCAGCAGGCAAGAGACATGCAGCCTCCAAAGGAGGCGGCTGTACACGGTCTTATTCTCTGAGTCATGGGTAGGCAAACTAAGGCCCGGGGGCCGGATCCGGCCCAATCGCCTTCTAAATCCGGCCCGCAAACGGTACGGGAATGAGCGTGTTTTTACATGAGTAGAATGTGTCCTTTTATTTAAAATGCATCTCTGGGTTATTTGTGGGGCAGAGGAATTCGTTCATTTCCCACCCAAAAATATATATTCCGGCCCCCCACAAGGTCTGAGGGACAGTGGACCGGCCCCCTGCTGAAAAAGTTTGCTGACCCCTGCTCTGAGTCAACGAGTCCACGATCTGCAGATTCCCCCATGCATGGACCAGACAGAGAAACGCCAAGTTCAAATCTCGCCTCGGTCACGGAGCTCAGCCCGGCCTAGTCACAATCTCCTCAGCCTAGTCTACACCGCAGGGTGGTTGTGAGGATAACGGGGGTTTGCGGATGGGGGGAAACGGCGCTTGACGTGCCGCGAGCCCCGTGGGGAGGAAGGGCGGAATAAAAACGTCTTTACAGCACGACTCGACGCACGTCAGCTCGGAAGTAAAGCCCGCTGAATATGACTGCCAGGGCGGGTAAAACGCAAAAAGTGTTTTTAGCAAGTGCAATTGCTTTATAGACGTTGCATTGCAAGAGGTGCTTTCTAGGAAGAGACTGCTGAAATTTATTATTATTAATACGGGATTGCAGCCTTAAATAAAAAGGCAGAAACGAAGAGCAATTCCACAGAAATCAAAAAGCAGTAAGGAGCAATCAGAGGGTGGAGGGGCAAAAACTGGGATATTGCGGGTGGGGTGGGGGGAACCCAGCGACCCAGATGTATTTTATTTCAAATGGAAAACCCTTATGTGTTTAATGATATCATGCATGGCCTCACACTGGCCCTGTGGATAAATTATAAAATGACTTTGTCATGCGGGCTTTTCATTGCATGCTCCCCCCCCCCCCCCGCTTTCCCAATGCTTTTGCACTTGGGGAATTTAACGTACAGACGCGGGATTGGGCTTGCGAGGGGCAGGGTGGGGGAGAAGGGAAGGGGCAGGAAAAAAAACTGCAACACACGAGAATTTATGAAGAAAAAGAGAGGGAGCGAAGAGGGAAAACTGGGGAGGGGAGGGGAAAAAATAACAACGGACGGACAGCAGGAAGAAGGCAGAAAGACAGAGAGCGATGAGGCTGGGGAGGGGGATGCAGCGAGAAAGAAACTGCAGCAATACATGGCACCAAATTAATTTGAGGACGGGAGCCGGAGGATGCGTGGATGGAATGAAAATGAGGCGGGTTGGGGGGGGGGCAAAGAGGAAAGGAGTTGGGATACTGGGGGGGGGGGAGGTCCCTGCAGCACCACCTGGAGGAAAAACCAGTAAGTGCACTGGGATTACAGAAATGGTGGCAGTGGGTTGAGGGCAGGGAGCGATCTCCCAGGAAAAAAGCAGTTTATTCAAAGGTGGTTCTCTCTCGCTCTCTCGAGTATAAAAAGGCCTCAGGTGGACCAGGCCACAGAGCGGGGCCTCCTCACATATTTAGTATTTTATCTTATTGCATTCACAGCCCCACCTTATTCTTCTGAGGGGCTCAAGGTGCTTCTTCTGGCTGCCCATTTAATGCCAATGACCACCTTGTGAGGGAGGTTAGGCTGAGAGAGAAAGAGACAACAACTGGCCAAGGAGCTTCATGGGGCGAGTGGGGATTCGAACCTTGATCTCCCCAGTCCTATTCCAACGCTTTCACAGCCGCATTTCCCCTTGAGGTCTACCAATGCCCCCCTTGTGACTACAGCCTGACCCCCCCCAAAAAACCTGTCCCTGCTTTATCCCAGTATTTCATTCCCAAGTTTCAGTTCCGCCCAAAAACCTGCTCATTTTCCCCTTCGCACCTGACCCCCATCACCGATATTCAAACCACAAAAGGCCCCCCTTTATCCAGTCGTAGTCACGCCTGCGAGCCATCCCCCCACTCTCTTGCTCTTAAAACCCCACTTCCCCCCCCACATTCACGCCTCTCCTCGCCCCCTACCCCCATCATAATCCCCTCCCGATAAAAACCGTCCTAATGAATTAATCTATTTCTCCTTTGCACTCTGGTAAAGGTCGTGGCGGCTGATGCTGACTCAGGAAACCCATGCCTGGGGGGTGGGGTAGGATTCGAGATATTGTGGGTTTTGGCGGGGGGGGGGCGCAGGAGAAAATGGCCTCTGAGCTGAGGAGGGAAATTATGCATGTAGGGGAGACAGAACAATTAAGATGCCCTTGCAATTCAACCCCCCAACCCCTTGCAAACAGCCCTGGCTCCTCAATCCTGTGGAAATCCCTCTCTAAGCTCGCTGGAAAGCCAGCCCTCCCTTCTTCTGTCTCCAGCAGCGCCCCCCCCCCCCAATTCCTCGAGTGTGTCAGGCGATTGATTTCCTCCCTGTGTTTATCGGATTCCACTTAGCCCGATCAGGGTTTAAAGCAGCGGAGGATTCCCCTTCCCGCTCCGGCCCCCCAAAACCAGGTCGATGGCATTGATTCTGCCAGTAGCTCTAAACCAGACAAGCAGGGTGGCGGGGGGAGAGAGAGAGAAAGAGACGCGGGGATTCCCGAATTAAAAAGAGGTTTCCTTGCTCAAGGGGAGGGAAAAAAGAAAAAGAGATAAAAAAAGAAAGGAGTTGCGAATTTACACGCCTCTTTTGACAGGGAGCAGAGAGAGAGGGGAGGAAGGCACACATTTTGTTGGGGGGGTGCATGGGGATCAACATGGGGAGCAGGTGTTAGGAGGAATCGAGTGGTTATGGACCCGAGTGAAAAATATATTATTTAACTGTGTTGATTTCCATTCCAAATCAATGGTGTCCCCCATGGGTATCTGGGGGTCAGGGAGACCATCCCCCCCTCCAGGTTCCTAGTCTTCATTTTCAAAGGGAAAAAACAGACCAAGTTTCTAGAATATGAGCAGAAACAAAAACACTATTCTTATTTATTGCATCTATACCCCACCTAGGGACGCGGGTGGCGCTGTGGGTTAAACCACAGAGCCTAGGACTTGCCGATCAGAAGGTCAGCGGTTCGAATCCCCGCGACGGGGTGAGCTCCCGTTGCTTGGTCCCTGCCCACCTAGCAGAAAGCACGTCAAAGTGCAAGTAGATAAATAGGTACCGCTCTGGCGGGAAGGTAAACGGCGTTTCCGTGCGCTGCTCTGGTTCACCAGAAGCGGCTTAGTCATGCTGGCCACATGACCCGGAAGCTGTACGCCGGCTCCCTCGGCCAGTAAAGCGAGATGAGCACCGCAACCCCAGAGTCATCCGTGACTGGACCTAAGGGTCAGGGGTCCCTTTACCTTTACTATACCCCACCTATTTTTCTCCAAGGAGTATACATCATTCTTTCCCCCCTCATTTAATCCCAACTACCCTGTGAGGTAGGGCTGGGCTGAGAGGCAGTGACTGGCCCCAAGGCCCACCCAGCGAAGCTTCATGGCTGAACCTTGGCTCTCCCAAGACCCTAGTGGTGTGACACGCCAACCAATGCACCATACTGCCTCCCTGCTTCTTCTTCTGTTTTGTGCGAGACAAACCAGCCTGCTCCCAGCTTTCTTTCTGATCCTTCCGCCCCATGAAAATCTCCTGCAGTTGGGTCTCTCCCACCCTCCCTTCACAAGATGGAAAGAAAAACACGACAAATCTTTTTTGTTTGACAGGGGAAAGAGAAACGAGCGCTTGAGCTTTATTGTTACCAAATCTAACGGATGTGAAAAATCCCGAGATATTGGGGGTTGCAGAGATCGGTCCCAAGTACTGTGAGGGGGTTATCGCCTCTTGCGGAAACCTGGGGTGGGGTAGAACGAGAAAGAGAAAGAGAGAGAAAAAAAGAGTGAGTTAGTATAGAGGAGAGGACAGGACGTGTACATGGGTTATCTCATGCAGCTAAGACCTCTGTGAGGAACTGGCATCAAGAAGGGGGACCTGGGGTGAGGGGGTAGGTTCAGGTGCTACAAAACAGCTTCCGGCAAAGTTTTTTTTGTACCCTCCAGGTACAAATTTTACCAACCTGCTTTTCATCCGGCCACATCAAGCAGCGTGCTTTTAAAGCAGTACCCCCAGCACTTTATAAACAGTTACGGCTTCCCCCAGAGACTCCTGGGAATTGTAGTTTAAGGGCGCTGAGGGTTGCTGGGAAACCCCTACTTCCCCCTGCTCCACAGAACTACAATTCCCAGAGTTCCCTGGAAAGAGGGACCGAATGTTAAAGCACACTGGGAACTGTAGTTCCGGGAAAGGAATAATTCTCAGCACGCTTGACAAACAACATTTCTCAGGAGTCCTTCAAGGAAATTCCTGGCTGCCCAAGAGTGGTATCAAAGAGCTTTAAGTGTAGGGTTTGACAGGGCCTCTGTGTGGACGAGGGTGTGCTTCGCCTCGCCAAGAAAACCAGAATCTTTCAATGGCACTTACCTCTTTTCTGCTTTCCTCGTTTCATGCCGACCTTTTTCTTCTTTTTCCTCTGGGGGCCCAAATCCTGAAAGGCGGGAATGCGAGGAAAGAAAACATGAAAACCTTACACGGAACTGCAGGCTGTCATCAAACGGCATTTTAAATCGCATCTTCTGAGGTGCAGCCAGAGATTGTTGAATTGGCTGTTAGCTGCTTAAGCAGACCGTCAAGCGACCCTTAGCTTTGTGGCTCACCTACACAAAGCAGGCCTAGCCAAATGTCATTTGAAAAGTGAATGGCGGGAACATTTTATGGCGCCATCTCTCCGGCAACCAAACGGGACAGGACACTGGTTCCATCTCCGGGACGCAAAGCAGCATGATACTGCTTTGTTATTTACAACTAATCCAGAATGCGGATGCTAGACTGGTGACTGGGAGTGGCCGCCGAGACCACATAACACCGGTCCTGAAAGACCTACATTGGTTCCCTGTACGTTTCTGAGCACAATTCAAAGTGTTGGTGCTGACCTTGAAACCCCTAAACATCCTTGGCCCTGAGTGTCTCCACCCCCATCGTTCAGTCCAGACACTGAGGTCCAGCTCTGAGGACCTTCTGGCAGTTCCCTCCCTGCGAGAAGCAAAGTTACAGGGAACCAGGCAGAGGGCCTTCTTGGTGGTGACACCAGCCCTGTGGAACGCCCTCCCATCAGATGTCAAGGAAATAAACAAGTATCTGACTTTTAGAAGACATCTGAAGGCAGCCCTGTTTAGGGAAGTTTTTAGTGTTTGATGTTTTATCATATTTTTAATATCTTGCTGGAAGCTGCCCAGAGTGGCTGGGGTTTAAATACTATTACTATTGATGATGATGATGCTGTTAGGAGGCCCCTATTCGCCTCTCCAAGCTACAATTCCCAGAGTTCCCACAGTCGGGAACGCACTAGAAATTTCCCTATGGAAACACTCGCATCACGAACAATTTCTAGCGAATGCACTGAGTTCAGAAAGCGGAACTTGCATGAATACCTCCCAAATTTCTACTTCCTGCGATTCAGGCAAGAGCCGCCCACCCACCCACGACTCACCTCTCCCGATGGGGCTGCTGCCCCGGTCAACGCGGTGATGTCCCCGAAGTGTGTGAGGGAGCTGAGCTGCGAGCCCAGGTCCCCCACTCGTCGACGGCGCGCCTTCTCCTTCCGGGTCACGTTGAGACGGACCATCATGCTCTCCTCGTAGTTCGTCCTGCAGAATGAAGCCATGGGGAAGGCAGGGAAAATTGTTACTGAAACTCAAGGTGACCGGCTTTAGCAGGTACGCTGCCTCTGAATGTGGCTGCTCCACCAGCCGCTGTGGACCAATAGAAAGATCTCTTATGGACACACACCGCTCACTTGAACATGGAGATCATCTTCCTGGCCGGAAGAGCAGCTCAGAGGCGGGACTAGTTGCCGTGGATAGCACAAGCCTCTCCCCGATAAGAGATATCCAGAGATCCTCTGAGGAGGCACTTCTGGCACTTCCCAGAACCCCTGAGGTCCGGTCGGCCTTCACTAGGGATTGCCCTTTTAGTGCCCTTTGGAACTCCCTGCCACTTGGGGGTTTGGCAGGAATCAACCCTGCCTACTTTCAGACGTCTTCTGAAAACTGCTTCAAAATGTGATTTTTTTCTTAAAGCAGCCAGCAGCTACGGAGGCTCAAACTCCAGAATCCCTGCACTCAGCAGGGGCTGGACTAGACTGGCTAACAAGACTTCGAAAGGCAGTCTCTCCAACCTTCCAACAGGGCCTGTGGCTTTTGCAGATCTGGCGTGGAGCCCGGAAGCTCGATCTCCCAGCATGCTCCACCCTCTGTCTGAAAACAGCCCCCAGAATCCCTTGCAACACCCACGCTCTGCTCTGAGAAAACCCACAACCCTCAGACACTTGGGGGGGGAGGGGAAGAGAACCAGAAGAAGTGCAGAAAATTAGGCGTCATGTGGCGTCTTTTCATACCAGAATCCATGGGCGATGGCCTATGGAATTCACCACCACAAGATGTGGAAGAGTCCAAACCGGCTACAGTGGTACCTTGGTTGTCAAACTTAATCCGTTCCAGAAGTCCATTACAAAACCAAAGCGTTCCAAAACCAAGGCACACTTTCCCATAGAAAGCAATGCAGAATGGATTAATCTGTTCCGGACTTTTAAAAACAACCCCTAAAACAGCAATTCAACATGGATTTTACTATCTAACGAGACCACTGATCCATAAAATGAAAGCAATAAACAATGTACTGCAGTCACACAATCAATCAGTCAGTTGCTGAACTGGGTTCCACACAATCACAAAAACAAAACAAAAAAGAGCCGCAGAAGCAAAAACGCAAAATAAATAGCAAAAACAGGCAGACCTCAGCGTAACACTCAAAATGGAAGTGTGGCACTCAAAATGGAGCACGTTCAGCTTCCGAAAAAAGTTCACAAACCGGAACACTTCCAGGTTTGCAGTGTTTGGGTTCCAAATTGTTTGAGTACCAAGGCGTTTGAGAACCAAAGGACCACTGTCTTTCCTACCACCGCTGTGCCTCAAAATAAGTTCTTTGGATTCACAAGGGAGGACAGCACATTGCCATTTTCTGGACCACAGTGAGAACAGGCTGCTGGACTAAGACGGGCTTTGGCTTCACCCAGCCCCAGAGCTCTTCCTGGCTTCTCACAGCCCTTCCACTTGCCAAGACACCCTCAACTTCTGCCCCTCTCTTCCCCAGGACTCCCCACCCCTCCAAACTAACCGGTGCTCATCCTCTCGGCTCTGCCGGCTGGCGTGAGCGTAGCGCCCTTCGCGGACCTCTTCCGGGGCATCCGAGTACTGCTCCTTCAGCTCCCAGATGATGGAGCTGCTGAGCGCTCGCTTTTTGGCCTGCTCCAGAAGCTTCTTCTCCCTCTCAGCTTCCGTTTCATCTGAGGCAAAGAGATGCAACAGTCTGACACGGCCTGACGCAGCCAACTACCAGCCACTTCTGGGGTGGGGCAAGGGCAAATTTGCCAGCACCGCATCCCAGCTCTGGTTAGCAATGCCAGACCAACCTTCCTCTACCGCCACCCAAATTGCATACCATAATGTACAGGAACCAGGCGGGGCGGGACGTATTTCCTGCTCCCTCCTTTGGACGCCCCCTTCCCAGAATTCTTTGCGCCACCAGCGGCTTCTTCATCTTCGCTCTCCTCCGAGTCGTCGAGCTGCAATTAAGAGAAGAAAATCACAAGGATTTTTTTTAGTTATTAAATGCCTTCTGACAGGACCCCAATTGGTTCAAGCCCAGGCGAAGCCCCAACCAGCCACATCGACATTTGTTTGCTGGGATTCTTCCCTTTTAAAATAAATGTTTGGTTGCTGGGATTCTCGAACACACAAGCCTTGGCCTGGTCTACCCGGACGTTATTTACCGTATTTTTCACTCTATAGGACACACCGGGCCATAGGAGGGGGAGAACAGGAAAAAAAATTCTCCACCTCTCTGCTCAGCGCCCCTTCAGCGAAGCGGCAGGAGAAACGAAGCCCCTTCCATTTCTCCTCCCGCTTCGCTGAATGGGTGATGCGTGTAGAGGGAAAACTGTGCAGCGCCTCTCCAGTGAAGCGAAGCCTGGAGAGCAAGAGGGATTGGTGTGCACCGACCCCTCTCGCTCTCCAGGCTTCAGGCGGCTATCCGCAAGACTTCAGAGCACAGCGGGAACTCCTGCTTGCGGATAGCAGGAGTTCCCGCTGCGCTCCGGGGGCTTTAGGCGGCTTCAGCGAAAGCAACGCGAAGCCTCCGGAGCGCAGGGGGAGCTCTCCCTCTGCGTTTCGGAGGCTTCACATTGCTATCGCTGAAGCCAAGGAGCCTGCATTCGTTCCATAGGACGCACACACATTTCCCCTTAATTTTTGGAGGGGGAAAAGTGTGTCCTATAGAGCGAAAAATACGGTATATGGTGCATATCTAGCATCTGCTGGGGAGGCACTGTACAGATGTAACAAGGAGGGCAGAATACAATCATTCAATGCCCAGTGTTTCACAATCTAAAAATGATACAACCCTCTTCATTCTAAGCCGGCATGGCCAATGGCCAGGGATGATGGGAGGCTGCAATTCAAGAACATACAGAACCCAAGGTGGGGAGGGCTGATCGTAAAATACATCAGACCCCCACAAAATGTAGCTTGAAGGAAGTGGGAAACTTCTTCACGGGACGGAGAGTAAGAGAGGGGAAGAGTAACAACAAATACAAGAATTAATGTAGGAACAGGAAAGACCAAACAAATAATGAAGCTTTTAAGTAGTTTCTTAGAAGTGAAGCTCAGTCGGTAGAGCACGGGACTCTTAATTTCAAGGTGGTGGGTTCGAGTCCCACAGTAGGCAAAAGATTCCTACATTGCAGAAGGCTGAACTACATGAAGCTTGTGGTCCCTCCCAACTCTACAGCTATGATTCTATGAATTGAGACGAGGCACACCTAAACCACTTGGGAATCTTGAAGTTTGTCACGTTTTCATAAGGGCTCATTTAAAAGTGATGCATAAACACACACATCAAAATCAGTAATTTTTTAAACAATTCCTTAATTCTAATCTAAGAACAAAAAAACCTGCTAAATTACAGAAAAACCTTACTCAGATGTAAAGTCCCATGGTAGACAAAGGCTTCTGGTAAAAGTATTGCGTTTGGTTGACGTCAGAAAATAACGGAGAGGCAAGCTCTCATGCTCCCCGAAAAGGAAACTCCAGAGAAACGGTGCCACCACCAATAAGGCCCCGCCAAACAACAGGCCCTGAACAGGCCCTTCTATTTTGTGTAACTAAAATGAGCAAGGACACGCCACTCCAGACCAATCCCAGCCCACCGCTACCTCTGGAAAACCCAGAAGGCCTTGCTCCTGAACCAAAGCCGCCCCCAGCACCCATTTGTCATACCTTGCTCATCAGGTTGCCAGGATTCGGCTTGAACCGCAGCGGGTCGTTTTCGCCTGGAAAGAAAACAGTGTCCCGGGATTGCAAATTAGGCTGCACTCTCAGAAGAGCCCTAGGACTGCCTCCCTCCTCCCCACTCTGAAGCTGTAAACGTCCGCCTGTCTCACCCAGGGCCCCTGTGACGGCCGCCTTCACAAGTTTGTCCACCTGGTACTTCAACTTCTGGTCAATGGGACGCATCTTCTCCAAGACCTGCCAAGATGTCAAGGACAGGGAGGGGTCAGCCTGCAGCCTGATCAGAGACAGACCCACAATTCGTCCAGCTCGGCAGCGGGAACAGCGAGTGTCAAATATACAAAGAGTCACCCTTAATCTGGAGGTGCTGGAGACTGAAGCAGAGATGTTCCACGCAGAACAAGGGTCTTAACACTGCGCTGCAGACCCTACAACTCGGCCATGCAGGTGGAAAGACCAACAGGTATCCCGCATGCAGGTAAGATCGAGGCACCATTAGCGAGAGGGAAACTAGACTGGAAGGATGGGAGATTGCCTGCTCTTGATGGGGTTCCGCTCCCTCTGAAGGAATGGGTACGCAGCTTGCGGGTACTTCTGGGTCCACTGCTGTCCCTTGAGGCTCAGGTGGTCAAAGTGCCTTCCATCAGCTTTGGCTGGGGGCCCAGCTGTGCCCGTCCTTTGGGCAAGGATAGACTAACTTCTGCCGTCTATGCTCTGGTAACCTCCAGGCTAGATTACTGCAATGTGTTATACATAGGGCTGCCTCTGTATATGGTTCAGAAATAATAGGTAAAGGGACCCCTGACCTTTAGGTCCAGTTGCGGACGACTCTGGGGTTGTGGCGCTCATCTCGCTTTATTGGCCGAGGGAGCCGGCGTACAGCTTCCAGGTCACGTGGCCAGCATGACTAAGCCGCTTCTGGTGAACCAGAGCAGTGCACGGAAACACCGTTTACCTTCCCGCCGGAGTGGTACCTATTTATCTACTTGACTTTTGACGTGCTTTCGAACTGCTAGGTTGGCAGGAGCAGGAACCGAGCCATGGGAGCTCACCCCGTCGCGGGGATTCAAACCGCCGACCTTCTGATCAGTAAGCCCTAAACTCTGTGGTTTAGACCACAGCGCCACCTGTGTCCCTCTCGGAAATAATAATAATAATAATAATAATTTATGATTTCCCTAGCCACCCTGGGCGGCTTTCAACAGAACATTAAAAACGGAATAAAACTTCAAACGTTAAAAACTTCCCTAAACAGGGCTGCCTTCAGATATCTTCGACAAGTTGGATAGTTGTTTATTTCCTTGACATCTGATGGGAGGGTGTTCCACAGGGCGGGCGCTACTACCCAGAAGGCCCTCTGCCTGGAAACTTCCAAGTAGTGCAGAATTCCGCAACCAGGTTGCTCACCGGGGCAAGACGGTTTGAGGATATAAAGCCAATCCTGGCTACCAATTAGTTTCCAGGCCCAATTCAAACTGCTGGTTTTGACCGATAAGGCCTTCGTTGGCTCAGCACCACAATGCCTCAAGGACCACCTCTCCTCATAGGAACCAACCCAGGCCCTGCAATCAACATCTGAGGCCCTTTGTCATGTGCCTCATCCATGAGAGGTTTGGAGGGCGGCAACACGAGAAAGGGCCTTTACTGTGGTGGCTCCCCATTTGTGGAATACTCTCCCCAGGCACCTTCGTTACATTCCTCTTCCCGGAGGTCTTTAACGATCTGTGGCCTTTAGAAATGGGTGGGATGTTTCTAACGTATTTCTTTTTTTCTGTGTTATCTATGTGAGCTTTTTTATTATCTGTCTGTCTGGCTGGCTTCAAGATGCCCTGGGTCGCCCCGGGCAAAACAAAGCAACTAACCAATTCAGTAAGGAATCATCACTGCAAAAGTTCCCCCTATTCCAGGCCTCCTCCCCCGCCTACCGTTCTGGTTTCCACCAAGCGCAGCAAGGCAGGGTTGTCAGCCAGGGAGTTCCCCGAAGTTTTTTCCAGGATCAGGTGAGAGAGGTCTTGGAGATAGAGGAGGAGCAGCTGGTCTTTCACTTCCAAGAAACTGAGGCCCTGGGAGTGAGAAAGAGTAAGGGATGGTTTCGTGAAGCGCATGGGAAATCTGGCGTGGCACGGATTCTGGCCATGACAGAAAAGCTAAGGCATAAAGTTCATTTACACAGAGATATCAAGGAAAGACACACATTATTCAATGTGGTCTGACTTGGTTAAATATATAAATTTAACCAACACCAGCAAGAGAAATTATGGGACATTTTTAACTGGAAAGAAAGACTTGAAGTCAGAGATCAGTGGCCAATATCTTGGGAATTCAATGGTATTTTCTTTACGATAGCCTTCTCCCATGCAGGTGCCCCTCCCAGATGTTTTGGACTACAACTCCCATCATCCCTCATGAGAGGCCATGATGGCTGGGAGAGGTGGGAGTTGCGAGTCCCATAATACTCAGTTCGTACTAACCTTTGGAACTCCCTGCCTATTGGTTCCAGGCAGGGGCCTTTCCTGTACTGTTTTCAGCACTTGCTAAAAACATTTTTTAGGCAAGGCTATCGAGACACGCAGAATGTTGATGCGTATTTTAATCTGCCTTTCCATTTAAAATTGATTCTGGTTATTTCTTGAATGTTTTATCACCTTTAACATTTATTTAAACTGAAAATTTCGTTTTTATTCTTTCTGTAAAAGGCTTTGAGGTGTTTGCAAAAAATAATAATCAAGTGGTATAGGATTGTTTTTGAAATAAAATTAAGTAGAAAAGTTTTGTCTGTATAAACGGGCAGCTTGATATATACCATACTTTTCGCTCTACAGGACACACTTTTTCCCATCCAAAAATGAAGGGGAAATGTGTGTGCGTCCTATGTGGTGAATGCAGGCTCCTTGGCTTCAGCGATAGCAACGCAAAGCCTCCAAAGCGCAGAGGGAGCGCTCCCTACGCGCTTCGGAGGATACGCGTTGCTTTCACCGAAGCCTGGAGAGCGAGAGGGGTCGGTGCGCACCAACCCCTCTCGCTCTCCAGGCTTCAGGGATAGCCGCCTGAAGCCTTTGGAGCGCAGCGGGAACTTGCACTGCGCTCCGAAGGCTTCGGGTTCCTTTTGCTGAAGCCAGGAGAGCAAGACTCTCCTGGCTTCAGCAGAGAGGGAAAGCTGCGCAGCGCCCCTTCAGCCAAGCGGGAGGAGAAATGGAAGGGGCTCCGTTTCTCCTGTTGCTTCGCTGAAGGGGTGCTAAGCAGAGAGGGGGAGAATTTTTTTCTTCTTGTTCTCCCCCTCTAAAACAAGGTGCGTCCTATGGTCGGATGTGTCCTAATCCTATAGAGCGAAAAATACGGTATATATCAAAGCAGTGCCTCATAAAATCATTCAAACTTCAGAATTATAAAACTTGGGGGAAGACTGCCTTAGCTGAACGCTCTGGGGGTTGAGGCCTGCCCCAAAGCCGAAGCACAGTAACAGGAAGGGCACTCTTCACATGCTCAGAGGCGCCTGCCTTTTTTTGGTTTCACATCACCAAACCAAGAAATGGAGCAGTCACAGAGAAGCCAGGGCCAGGTGCGAATTAGGCTCCCCACCCCCACATTCCTCCAAGAACAACTCACCTTCTCGGTGGGGTAGGCCCCTGCCCGAACCTTCTGCGCCAGAGTCTGTACATGATGGGTCACCGCAACCACCTGTACCCCAGCAAGAGGCAAAGTAAGAAAGATGGTGAAGCTTAAAGAGGGATGGGAGATGGGATGCCTGCAGGGAAAGGGAAGAGGAAGAAGGTGTCCCTCACCTGGTCTTGGAGGGATTTCAAGAGGCCGAGGGCTGCCGGCAGATCTGCTTCCACTCTCTCCTGGAGCAAGGGGGAAAACAGAAAGGAGGGGAAATTTTCAAAATATGCACCTATCCCCTCCCAAAGCAAGGGGGGAAAGCAAACGGGCCATAAAAATGGTGAACAACCCCAGAACGCACTGCCACAGCTTTTAACGAACCAGAAAGAGCCAGGGCTTTTTTTAAACAAACCTCAACTAGAGCCAGGGCTTTTTCGGCTGTGGCTCCGATCTGGTGGAACGCTCTGTCCCAAGAGACTAGGGCCCTGCGGGACTTGACATCTTTCCGCAGGGCCTGCAAGACAGAGCTGTTCCACCAGGCCTTTGGCCAGGGCACAGCCTGACCCCCTCCTTTGGCAATCCTCCTAGAACTCTAGCCCAATTGGTTGCCATTAATCTGATTGGAATTAATTTTATAATGAAATGATTTTAGAATGTTTTATCATTTTACTGTTGTTAGCCGCTCTGAGCCCGGCTTCGGCTGGGGAGGACGGGATATAAATAAATTTTATTATTATTATTATTAAAGCCCTCCAGATATGGAAGACAAACCCCACCAGGAACAGTCAGCCGCCAGGAACGATGGAGGTTTTGGTCCAAAATCTCTGGAGCACAGAAGGTTTGGCTTCTCTCCCCCATCAACCTCTCCCCTGCCTCACTGCTCCCAACACCAAAATGCACAATTTCCTCATCTAAAAGGCCTCTCTGTTAGAACCTCACCCCAAAATCCCTTGGTAAAGCATATCCAGCCACCATCACCCACGCCATGGTCCCATCCAGACAAGGGCCCCATCCACACAATGCTTTTAAGTCGCTAACTGTAGTTTGTTAAGGGTGCTGCGAGGGGTTAGGGGACTTGCAATTCCCCTCGCAGAGCCTACAATTCCTAGAGTTATTTCAGGGAAAACCGTGAACGGCTGTTTAAAGCAACGTCATCGTGCTTTAAATGTGTGGTGCGAACACGGCCTAGATTAACGCAACACGTTCCATGCCTTAAAAAATGGTTCTGAAACCATTCTGAAATGGGTCTAAAAATAATATATAGCTGCAAATGCTTGGCAATCATTTAAATGATTTCTATGCAAATTTACACACGTTTTACTTACCGAGCAATACTTAATTATATCAATTCAACCAAACTATATTTTGAATTCTGAAGTCACGTTACAACATCTTAGCACCCCTGATTTTAGGAAGCTGAAATTCTACAAGCCCCAGTAAAGCACGCACAGAGTTGCACTGCTCATTTCTAAAGCGAGAATACAGAAGTTTTGGTTTTTTAAATTACGTTTGCTGTTTAGTTACTAACCAACAAAATTAGCTTTAAGCAGGTTCTTCTAGGTATGAGAGGTTACTTACAGCTTATTATCACATCTGTATAAAATCCCCTTTCCCTTCAAAATAGTCCTTAGGATTTCAAATCCTTCATTAAAAAAACATACAAGCAGAAAAAATAAGGAACTTGGATTTTGTGTGTTTTCTTTAACACACACACACACAAATGCCATTTCTACTTCCGTAGAGATAACGGAGAGATAAATCAAATGAGAACCCAAAAGGTTTTCAAAAGGCAGGACAGAAGAAAAAAAGAAGAGAAAACTGGACTCATTCTCGCCTACAGGATATCCTAATATCCTCCATCCTAGAAGCCAGCCAGAACCCATTTGTTGGGATCAGCAGTTGGCAATGGCTTAAACCCTGCATGGCATTCTTTAGTCAAAAGCATCTGTAAACCACTCTTTTAATATTAAAAATCACTAAGAGAAGCTACTCTTAGAGTACAACACTGAAAAATAAAACCACCGTAAAATCAAGAGCTACGACATGAAGACCGACAAGAAGAGCGTTGTATAAACAGGAAATAACATTTTAAATGTATTTTTTTTGTGGGTGGGGGTGTCGGTAAATGGTTTGTTTTGTTCTTCTTCTTACTGCGTATTTTGCGCTTTCATTTTGCATTTTTATGCTGTGAGCCACCCCGAGATACAAACTGAATAAACAAACAAACAAACAAACGCGCATACAATAAACAACAGGGTTCAATAATCTTATGGGGCTGGACAAAAAGAAAAAATATATATATGCTGGCATCATGAAGCAACTGAGCTGGTGTAAATTCAGGAACGTTCCTGCAAGAACTGAGAGATCAAAGCAAGGCCGTCTGCACATGCTCAGGGGCACCCTTGCCTCGCTTCCCGCCCCTCCCTCGCCCTTTCCCCTTCTTACCCTCAGGTCCAGAGAGGCAGGCGGCCCAGGCTGAGTCTCCGCCATGGCCATCGCTCCTACTCCCACGTGGAAAGGAAGGAGCCTCCAATCATCTGGGGTGGAACACCCCGCCTGCTTTGAGGGCGCGGACCAATCAAAACGTAGCCTCCACCTCCTTCGCGAGAGTTCGGGCCAATGGCCGGAAGGCTTCCGCCCCGCGGGAGCCCCTTCCAGCCAATCGCGCGGAGGACGAGGTTCAAGGCGGAGCCGCGAATGTCCGTGTGCGGAGGGGCCTGAGAGTTTCTCGTCGACTTCCGCCTCTTTACAAAGAGGAACGCCCCGTTGCTATAGAAATAACCAATAGGGCCCGAAAGGCCGCCTCCTGCGGGGAAGGTTTGTCCAATGAGACGACAAGGTCTCTGGCAACGCTGGCCAATCAGAGGCACGGAGAGGCGGTTGCGAAGCGAAGCAGAGAAAAGAGGGGCGAGCAGGATTCTATTGAAAAGGGGCGGGGGAGGAGTAGGAGGCGGGGATTCTGAGCGCAGCAGCCAATTGGAGCTTGAAACCCGCCCCGCGGAAAACACGTAGCCCAATCAGCGGGACCTTCTCCGATTTACAACTCCAATTCATAAAAGAGTTTTGCGTTGAGAATCGGAGTGCTTGGAATTCACGTGTGTTGCCGGGGGTTGGGCTAGATGCGCTTTGGGGGTCCCTTCCAAGTCTACAATTCCATGAGGGTCGTGCAGTCCTCGGGAGGTCCGCCAAAACTCTAGCCTAAGGATTTATTTTTTTAATGCTGTATTTTAATACTGTTTAAAATGGAAATCCGTGTCGCTCTTAGCATGCTGGGCTGGATTTGTTCAGTTGTTGCTTTTATGGGGGGCGGTGAGTGTCTTCAAAATAAGGTTTCGAATGTTTCTTTCTTTTTTCAAGAGCTACGGTAAAAACCAACCAACCAGTAGGATGCAACATATAGGAAATGGACGGTAAGAATGTGATCCTTTGCAGGTGGGACCTCACTGCGACACTCTGCTTTTCGGTGTGCAGTGCTCCTGGTCTGGGTTCCAGCCGGCCTGGTCCCTTCCCAGTTTGCTCCATTTGATTCCTCCTCTTCTTTTTGTTCCCCCACCCCACTTTTTAGGATTCCCCCCCCCATGGCTTTTTGGGCGAGGAGTGGCATATTTTCCCAAACCTGGTAGCGCCTCTCTCTCAGGTGTGTGGATGGCACCAACTGAGTAGCTCTAAGCGGGGTTTTTTTGGTGCGGGGCAGCAATCTAATATCAAAATTGCTGATTAAAATCAGATCTTAGAAAACAACTGATATTCCATATATAAATAAAACCAGCAGTTCTAAACACATACGCTTTAAAATAAAATTACATGTTAAAATGCCGGTGGCATTTGCATCCCTGGTTTGACTTGCTTAGGTTTTAGCAGGTGCTGACACTACGTGGTGAGGTTTGGCTCGCTGTGTGGATTGGACACCCACTTAGGTCAGCCTGTCCCTGGATACGGGTGAAATCCGAGGGATTTCTGAATGCTGGGGGTCCTGTTAGTGCGACTGGTGCTCCTGTCGAAGGTCCATCAATGCTCCTACATACCCTGCTGGCCACGGGGAGTCCAGGAGGTTCCTTGGTTTACTAAGAAGCTCCAGGAGCAAGCTGGGTGCCTGTGGTGCAAGTCTCAGTATGAATATGACCAGCAAGAGGTGAAAGTACATGGCAGATCCCACCACATGGCAGTGGAGAGAGAGCTTATCTCTTGGCCTCTGTGGTGTCCTCAGCGAATTGCCTGGCAGAGCTGTTCAGAGTGGCAAATCAAATGGCTCAGACCATCAATGAGCAGGGAGTTCCAAAGTACAATGAAGAACTGATTCCTTCCACGTGCAGAACGGGTGTCGCGTGGTACTTGTAAAAGCGCCACTGCCACAGATCTGAGTTCTCCCTTGATTGTTGGAATCCGTGTATTGTGAGAGGCAATGGAGTGCGCCTCTGGGGGTGAAGTCAAACTGCTGCATTAGCCGCACTGGAGTGACCTCCCCGGGGCGCAAGCCTGGGCAGTGTGCATGGAGGTCCGGGGCTGCCAAGACGACAAGACCCCTGGCCTGGCTGATGTGGTCCAAAGAAATCAGAACAATACGTTTGGCACCAGCTTGGCTGCAGGAGTTGCTGGAACGAGGTATACCAGGAACCATGCAACCATCTTAGGGACTCCACTGCGGATTTGTGTACGGTTTACTCCTAAACCTTTTCTTGAAGTAAATCAAAGAAGGCAGCAGAGGTTTAGCACCAGAGCTTCCCTTCTCCTAGGTGGGCTGCCTTCCCAGGCGGACGAGCCCCTTCTGTCCCTCTGTTGATACAGAACCGCAACCAGTACAGTCACACAGTTTGTTGCATATGTCAGGTGAAGATGTGGCCGATCGTTCGCCAACAGCAAAGGTCATAAAAATGACTTTTTAAGGAGTGACACTAATTGCGGCACGAGCTTTCATGGACCGGAGCTCATTTCACCCAACTGCAACCGTACAGCAAAGAACGCCATGCAGGGTTTAATCCAGGGGTCAGCAAACTTTTTCAGCCGAGGGCCGGTCCACTGTCCCTCAGACCTTGTGGGGGGCCGAACGAATTCCTATGCCCCACAAATAACCCAGAGATGCATTTTAAATAAAAGCACACATTCTACTCATGTAAAAACACCAGGCAGGCCCCATAAATAACCAGAGATGCATTTTAAATAAAAGGACACATTCTATTCATGCAAAAACATGCTGATTCCCAGACCATCTGCGGGCTGGCTTTAGAAGGCTATTGGGCCGCATCTGGCCCCTGGGCCTTAGGTTGCCTACCCCTGGTTTAATCCATTGCCAATTACTGTTCTGTTTCATTAGCACAGGCAATTGAACTCTATTCTGAGTTCCTCCAACCCCCAAATTTTATATATCTGCAAGTCTTCAATCACCATTTATTACTGGTGAGACATTTTTATTCCGCCCATCAAACAAGGTGGCATCTGTGACGCGTGACTTCTGCGCCCCATTTGATTTCACAACCACCCTGCGCAGTAGGCCCGACAAGAACAAACACAACTATTCCGTTCTTTGTTTTATCTCGGTCTGGAAAAACGTACCGCCCACAGAACTCTCTTGACACGTGTACAGCCGCCATTAAGAAACCCTTGACTGGAGCAAGCGAACAACCATTTTTTGCGCTCAGAAACTCTGGGATAATTACCCTGGTCTGTTGTATGTTTAGCACGATGTTTAAATCTAGGGCCAAGCTGGCAGCGCAAGTGGTCCTCGGTGCCAGGACTGCAGCCGCGAGGACAATGGGCAGGTACCACCCGAAGGCCCAGCTGAGAATGTGCCTGGCAAGGGCTGAGGGTGTGGAGACCCCCATCTCTGGCAGAGTCTCCTCTGAAGCAGCGAGCGAGTGATGTCATGGCAGCTAGTAAAAAGTCAGAGAGAGAGAGAGACAATGGGATGCCAGGCATTCCTTCCCCTCACCTCCTGCTTCCAGGAATCTGCATTGCTATTGTTCGAATGCTAAATTTGCTGCCAAGAACCCCAGTCCTCTCTCTCTCTTCTTGGCTGTTCATAATGTCCCCCTCTTGCGCCTTTCCAGAGGCTGCTTGCGCACTCTACATTTAAAGCACACACCCCAAAAATACAATAACGGGAACTGTAGTTTTCCCCCTCACAGAACTACAACTCCCAAAATGCACTTCCCATGATTTAAAGCTACGTATGTCCTTTAAAGAAGGCTGATCGCCGAAGAATGGATGCTTTTGAATTATGGTGCTGGAGGAGACCCTTGAGAGTCCCATGGACTGCAAGAAGATCAAACCTCTCCATTCTGAAGGAAATCAGCCCTGAGTGCTCACTGGAAGGACAGATCCTGAAGCTGAGGCTCCAGTACTTTGGCCACCTCATGAGAAGAGAAGACTCCCTGGAAAAGACCCTGATGTTGGGAAAGATGGAGGGCCCAAGGAGAAGGGGACGACAGAGGACGAGGTGGTTGGACAGTGTTCTCGAAGCTACAGACATGAGTCTGACCAAACAGCGGGAGGCAGTGGAAGACAGGAGTGCCTGGCGTGCTCTGGTCCAGGGGGTCATGAAGAGTCGGACACGACTAAAGGACTAAACAACAACAACATGTCCTTTAAATGTACGGGGTGTGTGCAGAGCCCAGTCCTCGCCCTAGAACCCCCCCCCCCAAGTTTTGGCTCATTCTTCGATGGATTTATCATTATCAATAATAAGTCAGTTGTTCAGTTGCTTGCTGCATACGACGTCTCCAAGCCCTTGCAAAATGTTAAGAGCATTAAGCATAACCTAAAATCCGGGGTGGGGGGAAGTAACCTTAGAGGCCAAATCCAATAAAACAGCAGCAGGTTTGATTTAAAAATAAATAAATGTCCCCACCTTCCGTTTGGCTGTTTCCCGCTTTCATGGGTTTAGCCTCCTACGTGAAAAATAATAATTGCGGCCGTGCATTAAAAGAGGGAGAGGGGTTTCCAAAGTGGAAGGTAAGTTTGAGAGAGGTGGATCAGAGCATTCACAGAGGGTTAGCCTTGTCGCTGTTTCAGCTCTCCTATAATATGCAACGACGACGCAATGTCAATGATTGAGAACCTTAATAAACCGCTGATAGCTGGGTGGAAGCTGCAAGTATTTAAGTATTTCTCAGCAATGGCAAAAATGCAGAGGGTATCACAGCCACCCCAATTTAGGGTCCTTACAATATTTCATTCTCTTTCAACCACGTCCGCCACCCCCAATATTCCTCCTTCCCTCTGGCCGTTTCTTTCCCCCCATTCTTTCCTCCCCCCTGAGCTCCCCCATAACTTGGCCCCCTCCCAGCAAATAACTTCCCTTTGGCCAACCAGAAGATGACATTACTGCTGTTCGCAACTCTGGCGTGCTTTATCTGCTTGATATTTTCGAAACAAGCACGCCGGGGCTAAAAGAGGCGAATGACGGTCGCCTACGCCTTATACCAGTTTAGACAGTCATCTGGCTTCTCCCCAAAAGAACCCTGGGAAGCAGCCTCCTGGTCCTTTCTGCTGGGCCCTTCTGCAGGCAAAGCAGCTGTTCTCCCCCAGAGCCATTACCCATCTCAGGAGGTACTGCTGGGTAGATCTTTCAGCTGGTGCCAACTGGATTTCATGGGTATAAGCTTTCATGTGCATGCACACCTCTTCAGGTATCTGAAGAAGTGTGCATGCACACAAAAGCTTATATCCAGAACAAACTTAGTTGCTCTCTAAGGTGCTACCAGACAATTTTTTAATTTATTTCGGCTGCATCAGACCAACACAGCTACCTACCTGAATCTGGATTTCATGGGTTGATCTGTGGTCTGGGTGGTAGGGAGATGGTGAGGCTGCGTGGTGGGGAGATGGGCTGAGGTGGCTCGCGACCCTGTCCGGACCCTGAGATTGTCCCATGAGGCCCTCCTCTCCGTGCCCCTCTGGGAGAGGTCTGGAGGGTGGCAACCAGCGCCTCTTCCCCACTGAGCTGCCAGTCTTCAAACTCTCCACCAAACTGGCTTTCTCCCTAGTGGCAGCTTTCTTAAGGGATTGTCTCCCTAAGGAGACCCGCCTGGTGCCAACCTTGCCATTGTTTTGCCACCAGGCAAAGTTTTTTTTTTTAGTTGGGCAGCTCCAGGGATATGCCCTACTACGGATAAATCTGCATGCAATAACTTTTAAATGATTTTTATTTCACGGTTAAAAAAAAAACTTTAGTTGCAAATCACTTTGGGACATTTTTGAGCAGAAAGCAACACCAGTTGCCGCTCTTGCGTTCGAATCCTGCTTGCAGGTTTCCCACTAAAGCAACTGCCTGCCCACTGTGGAAACAGGAAGCTGTACTAGAGGGGACATTGGCTTGATCCAGCCAGCGCCTCTTATGTTCCTACGATGTGCATAAACCTTACGAGCCCCTTCCTGTTTCGCTCTGTGGGCGGATTCATTGGCGGGTGCCTAAGTTGCTTCTTGCCCGCGAACGTAAACCAGGTGAATTTTAGTGGTGGTCTGTGCTGGCTCTGTTGACGTCCACACATGCCCCGAGTGCTGGCCTTGCCTTGCCCGCCATGCCGCGCGGGTGGCGCAGTTGTGTGGTGGTGCAACGCTCCCTCCCGCTGACCTCTCAATCTTTTCCTGTCCTGTCGATGCCTCTGCTCTATCCTGGCTCGGGAACAATAGCCAGGCGCATAGTGCCAGGGCGCGCCAGGAATCCCATTGTCGTCTCTCCAGCCCACGTTTGGCCTTTGTTTCACCTGCCTATTGTTTTCGAAGGCGGGGGGGGGCATCTTGCCAGGACTGCAGGAACAATAGCCAGGCGCATAGCGCCAGGGTGTGCCAGGAATCCCATTGTCGTCTCTCCAGCCCACGTTTGGCCTTTCTTTCACCTGCCTATTGTTTTCGAAGGCAATGGGGGGGCATCTTGCCAGGGCTGCCCCCCTTTCCCCCATCCCTCCTGTTAGCTGGGGACTCCCTTAAGCTGCTTCTGTTTGGTGTGGGGTTTTTTTTGCATGGCTTTCGTGCCAATTACATTCCCAGCTGGGCTCCTGGAACAACCTTTCCTATTATCCTCGCAGCTGGAATTCTGGCTCCAAAAAGTCATCAGTGCCCATCAGGCAGGGGAGAGAAATGGCTCATTTGGGGGGAAGCTGGGGAAATTGGCTTGTCGGAAGTGTGAGCGTGCGTTACAGACCGCCGAGTCCTGCGCTCAGATTTCAAAATGGGGGCTGCGTGAGGCCTAGTGGTCTGAGCAGGGTGTGCGAGGAGCGCTGAAGGCTAGGACTTCAGGGGTCTGTCGGAAGAAAATTGGGGTGCCTCAGGGTAAAGGACGGGGGTCAGGAGCCAGGACTCCAGGGACCTTTCCTCTCTCCTCTCTGACGGAACCAGCAAAGCCTGAAGAGCAGGTTCAGGAGGCGAAAGATTGGGCAGCAGGCCTTGTGGTTAGAGCAAGCTTGCAGAGATGTCTGCTTTTTTAGCTCAGCTTGGGATGGCGATGCGAATTCCTGAGATAATTTTTGCGGTTCAGGGCTGTGCTTCTCAAGTTCTCCTGCCCTCCGTGGGTCACTTGACAATGACATACAGTGGTAACTCAGGTTACATATGCTTCAGGTTACATACACTTCAGGTTACAGACTCCGCTAACCTCGAAATAGTGCTTCAGGTTAAGAACTTTGCTTCAGCGTGAGAACAGAAATCGTGCTCCGGTGGCGGGGCAGCGGCAGCGGCAGGAGGCCCCATTAGCTAAAGTGGTGCGTCAGGTTAAGAACAGTTTCAGGTTAAGAACGGACCTCCGGAACAAATTAAGTACTTAACCCGAGGTACCACTGTATTCCTGCCTGTCATGGCAACTGAATTGCTAGGCTCCGAACGACTCCTAATTGCGTCTTTATGGTCAGCGGAGCGATGCTCATGTGTCGCTGATGTTCAGGGCGCACGGAGATGGAGCCCTCTTCCCGGTTAGGAGCCAGGGCGAGAGGGTAGCCGGGTGTAGTGGTTAGAGGAGGAAAGGCAACTCAACGCAAAAACGCAATTTCCAGAAACGGAAGACTAAGAAGCAGGGCCAGTTCTTCAGAGGCGTCCGGCGTTTATCCCTCCCGCTTCTGCTGAGGTGGCCAGGGCGCTGTGGAAAAAGAGAGCACTTTGGAAAAGCTATATTTGTGCCGCGCATTTGGACAGACAATGGACACATGGGAGCAGAGGGTGGGGGGTCCCAGGCGAGAGACAAAGAAGGGAGCAGGTGCGAGGGGGAGGCCGGAGCCAATTCATAATCCGGGGCAGGGCACAACGCCAGCAAACAGGGCGGCACCGTGCCAGGAGCTGCCACCTTCCGGCCATTAACTCCATGCAGGCCTCCCTTTGGCGTTGTCTGTGGGCATTTTCCGCCCTCCTAGCTTTTGGCCTCCTTTCTGCCTTCCAGGACACGGCCTGCCCCCCCCCCCAACCTCACGGCATTCCCTCCCCAAATGTCAGGCCCTCGCCTCCCCTCTCGGCTTGCCGCCGGCCCAGCCAGGCCGTCACTCGATCCGGCGGGTGACGTCCGCCGATGGCCCCCCCCTTGGCCCAGAACAAAAGGCAGGAATGGCATTGAGGCAGCGTGACCTTCGCGGCCGGCTCCTCTGGCGGCCCTTATATAGCAACCTCGCCACAAAGGCTCCTTATTATAGCCTCGCATCGGGGAGACGGGAATAGAACCCAAGAGTCCTGCCTCCCGGCCTGGGGACAAAGGAGTCCAGGGTCCCAGCCGTCCCCTCGGCTAGGCTATGGAAAAACCAAGATTCAAGCTCCGAGATGGGCTAAAAGGCCTAGGCCTTTGGGGGGGGGTTGTAATAAAAAGCAGTTTTTTGTGTTTTCAAACTTCTCACGTTTTAAAACCAAGAAAGGGGGGGACAGAAAAGCCAGGCTTGGAAGCTCTTATCATAGCTGTCAACATTTCCCCCCCTTTTTAAAGGGAAATTCCCTTATTCCGAATAGGATTCCTCACAAGAAAAGGGAAAAGTTGACAGCTATGGCTCTTATGCGTGGTGGCAAAATGGCAAAGGAAAGCCACTCTGTGCATGCTCAGAGGTACACTCGCCTTGCTTTTCCAGAACGGAGCCCCGGTGGTTTGAAATTGGCTCTGCAGCTAAGCCCAGGGAAGTTTGGGCTTAGCATAGATCTTTCCTCACAACCCTGCAAATTCTGGATCCAAATTTTGAAATCTAAATCTTGTTGCATTTTGCAAAAAAACGGGTTGGGTGGGTGGGTGGGAGGATGGAGAAGAATGCCAGTTCTGTTATTACTGTTTTTATGTCATTACAGTGCAGCTCTAGATAGTTTTTGCAATGATTTTCAAGCCCTTCCAGAGAGTCAGTGGATTTCTCTAAAAAGAAAAAAAGAAAAGACTTGGTTAAAACTTACTTGCTGGGAGAAGACATCTGGATTTTGCTTCCTATTTACTCTCTCCCCTCAAATGAAAAGCCTCCTTTTTAGTATTAAAAAAATGGCTGCCAAGTGCAGCTCCCCACATATTACTTAGCTGGGGTTTGCCTATGTACTGCTCTGAGGGATTTTGTACCGTTTGAGAGATCACCCTCTTAACTTACATAAGTTTAAACGGGTTCATGTTTTTGCCTCGGGGCAATCGAACTATGAATCGAAAGACAACCAGAACGTGGTTTGGCTGTCAGCTTGACTATATGAGTCTCGTATACATAAACTTTCTCCACCTGAGTGAAAGAAGAGGAAAAGGCGAGTTTGTCCATGCAGGTAAACAACCCTCTGCTGCGGACCGAATGTGTGGCATTGCACAAGTTGTTTCTTTCGGCCTCAGTTCTCCAGCTGTAAAATGGGACCAGCAGTGCCGTTCCCCGTGAAAGTGAGAGCAAGACAGCTGCTACATGTGAGATGTGCTATCAGATCTGCTGCTGCCTTCACAGTTGGAGGAAATAACGCTTTTCCTACTGGAAACTACAGGAGGGGAGAAATCTCTTGTGCCTGAATCCTGCTTGCGAGTTTTCCACAGGCATCTGGGGTTTATAGTTCCATTTTGTGGCTAGCTCAGCATTCCTTACACTGGCTGGCAGCAGCTGTCCAGGGTTCCAAGCAGGGATCTCTGCCATTCTTCCCTGGAGATATCAGGATTTGAATTCGGGACCTTCTGCATGCCGAGCGAATGCTCTTATCACTGAGCTAGGGCAGCGTTCAACCTTCTCTGCCTCTTTCCCCCCACCCCAAATCCCACTACCTGGAAGCTGCTTTTAGCCTCTCTGGGGGAGAAATGAAGTACCTCTATCACGCGTGTGTTTTCCCCACTCCTGAGTGGGTGGAAGTTTCAAGCACTGCTTAATCTTTCAGGAGCGGCCCTTCTTTCAACCAAATCATGTCCCTCTGCAACAGCTTTCAAATAATAATTTTTAAAATGGGAAAATATATATCCCTCTCTCAATAGAAACCCTCTTATGATATTTTCCATGGAACGAGTCCGCACAGGGAAAGTGGCCAGGAGAGAAATGGACAGACTTCGTATCGAAATGGACGCCTCCTCCTGTGATAATTCAGGCAGTGAAAGCACAATGTGGGAATATCTAAAGTTGTTTCCCGAGGCCCTCGGTCTGAAAATGGTTTGTGCTTACGAAAGGTGTGTCTTGGTTGCCTGGGGGGAAGCAAAAGACCTCAGGAGAAGGCAAAGGAAAGCTTCACCCGAGGCTCCCGTAATCGGCTTCACGTTGCCTAATTCTGTTTACCAGATTAAGGGAAGAATGGAGGATGGTGACAACTTTCAAGTGGGGTTGCTGAGCCTCCCTAAGCAACTCAGGGCTCTGGACATAATTCAGTTACACCTTCAAAACCAGGGGTCAGCAAACTTCTTCAGTAGGGGGCCGGTCCACTGTCCCTCAGACCTAGTGGGGGGCCGGAATATATTTTTTGGGGGAAAAGCGAACGAATTTCTATGCCCCACAAATAACTCAGAGATGCACTTTAAATAAAAACACACATTCTACTCATGTAGAAACACGTCTGCGGGCCGGATTTAAAACGCGATTGGGCCAGATCCGGCCCCCGGGGCCTTAGTTTGCCTACCCATGTTCAAAACCATCCCCAAACCCTCTAAGTTGCATCTCGGAGCTTGGGTTGCAGCGAAATCAACGGCACTTAATAACGCGATGGCTCGACGCAACATTTTCCTTTCTCTGGATTCTTCCCGTTAGGTTTCTGCCAGGTGGGGTAACAGTAAACTATGGCTAAGGGTTGGTTTTTTTGGGGGGGGGGTTTCAATAAACTATGGGTGAGGGTGTGCAAGAGATTACATGTGGAAACAGAGCGTTGGGGAGGGCAGTGGAATATTCCTAGGTTGCCAAAAGTATGCGCAGCTTCTTTCTCTCATCTCCCCTGAGACCCCCCCCTCTCCCCCCACTGGAATCTCAACCCTGTTGTTCCAAGATATTTTGATGTCCACCGCCCCCCCTCCCTGAACCTGTTCTTATTCTTCATACCACAACAATGACGACTTGTTCCAATTGTTCCAGGGGAAGCACGATAGGATTGGGGTGTTGGGGAGGGAAGTGGTTGGGTGGGGGGAAGGAGAGAGAGGAATGGGTCCGTGTGCCCATATGAGGCCGGCCGGTGGGAGGGAGCGGGGGTTTATAACCAGGGTCCTGGCCAAGCACCCAGCTTACAACCCCACCCATCTTGCACTGGTCTCAGGTAAGGCCCAACGCCATCTATTCCACATTGGAGGGTTTGGGGGCGGCTGAGAAGGTATTGTGTTTGCCGGTGATTGGGCTCTGGCCATCCGGGCATGGGGAAATCTAGGCAGGGAGTTTGCACCCATGGAAGGAACTCTGAAGGACATCTAGTCCAAACCCCCTGCTCGAACCCACAAACCTGAGATTAAGAGTCTTATGATCTACCGCCTAATCTATCCTGGGGGCAGGGAATGAAATCCAAGCAGCCAAGTGTGCTTTCAATGTACCTGGTGGTTTGTGATTTTTTAAAATTTTTTGCACATTTGCAATGCAGGCAAATGGTAGAATGCTGCCTTTATCGCCCACCTTTTTCTCCCAAGGAGCTCAAGCTTGCATACCTAGTTCTCCCCCTCCCTGCTCATTTTAATTTCCACAACAACCCGGCGAGGTAGGCTAGGCTGACCGGCCCAGGGTCACTCAGTCGTGAGCTTTGTGGATTTGAACCCTGGTCTCTCCCAGTTCTTAATCCTGATGCTAGCGGCTCGCAAGACAGTGGCTGGAATTGGGAATGGGCTGCGGTGTTTGCAAATATACACGGGTATTTGTGCTGGGGTCTCTGTGCAAAATTGGGGCTTTGTGCGCGCCCGTTGGTGAGTCGTGTGTTCGGAGAGAGATTTGCACGCACGTAACAAACAGCATATGCAAATAAGCACACTTCCTAAATGGGGCTTGTGAGGATTGGACGCGGCTCTCAAAAATGCGTTGCACGAAGGGGCTAGGATTGTGTTTTCGTGAGTGTCTAAGAATGTGAGTTTGCAGTAGTGAGTGTGCCTGGTTGTGTACTTCCAGCAAATTCAAAAAGTGTGTCTTAATTCTGCAAATCCTGAGATCTGAGAATTTCATCTGGATGCTGGTGGTTATACCGTTAAATACCTCATCCATCCTTCTGAGAATGGTTACATCCTGAGAATGGGTGGTGTAAAGGCATTTCTTGTTTGAATTTTGAAGACAACACTCCACTCTTTCCTCTCCCCCCCCCACCTCAAGTATTTCCACTAGACTTCAACTACCAGCTGAATATTAAAACTTAAGTTCGAAATTTAGGCGTTGAAATCTTCCGGGATTTCTCTTGCCTACATGCGGCTTTGAGAATCGGGTGAGAATTTCCATGGGCTGTATGTTGAGAAACGAAGGATTTTCCTCCCGGGTTTGCTTTAGTGTGGCCCAAGGAGAGGATTCTGGAAAAATTTTATAATAACGAATCGTCGTTCCGTTTTTTGTTTTTGTGCTAGCCATAAGTCTAGCTTGTTTTCCCTCTGGAAGGAAAACTGGTGAGCTGATTGTATGGGTGCTTCTGCCTCAAGAACCCATAGCTGTTCATCCCCCCCTTTAGAAGTGGTTGTGCAAAATCACAACCTTGGCGCGAGACAAATCGCACAGGGAGCTTAGCAGTTTTCAGATTGCATGTATTTGAGCTGTGGAACTCGCTGCCACAAGGTATAGTGATGGCCGCAGCGTTGAATGGCTTTAAGGGGTTTAGACAAATTCATGGACGATAAATCTGCCTGCCATAATGGTTATGTGCTACTGGTTGCTCGGAATTGCAAGTGAGGAGAGAGCACTGTTGAGCTTAAGCTCTGCTTACAAGCTTCTGATATGCATCTGGTTGGCTCTTACGAAAACAGGATGCTCGAACAGATGGACCTGCGTTCAGATGCAGCTGGGCTCATCTTATGCTCTTACCTAGGCAGCCCCACAGCACAGTGATGGTTAGAGCATCACAGCTCAATAACTGAGCACATGAATCACTGGCGGAAGATTCAGGGTTCCCTGGCATCTCCCATCAAAACAATATTTTAACTCGGATGACGGCTGGGAAAGCCTCTACTTTAGGTTCTTGACTCTTTTCAGACCAGGGATCTATCTAACTTTAGCCCAAAATTGCACGTGGGGACTGACACTTGCAAGGCGGTACTGCTTCTGCTGTGACTCATTATGGGGCAGGGGGTAACCCAGGAGTGTAGCCTTTTGCCGGTAGTTTGTCGAACTACAAAGCCCATCATCCCCTGTCAGCATCTCCAGTGACCAGGGATGATGGGAGTTGTAGTCCAACAGCAACAGTTTCTTATGTCTGTATGCAGGCATGGGGCTAATTATATGTATAATTGCAGAACTGGGCGTGAGATGCTCAATGGTTCAAGTTTCCTCTCAGCCGCAAACCCCGCAGGGTGACCTTGGGCCGGTCTCCCTCTCCATGCCCCAGCTTCCTAGGTTGACACACCTCACGGGGTTGTTGTGCGATGATAAAATGTGCGTGGAGAACTGTATGCTGCCCCGAGCTTCTTGGACGAAGGCAAACTTTTCACAAAGATTTATGTGCAAGGGCAACATGTACATAAATGTTTGCCTGGGGCTTTCGCTCCTCCAGGCCCACCATTCTCAATCACAGGAAGTTCTATCCCTGGAGCTGCCTCCCTGCTGCTGGGGCCCACTGGGAATGGTGGGACTGGTGGGAGGCCGGGACGCAAGGCAGGAGGCCAGCAGTAGGTGGTGCCACAGCCAACGACCGTCGCAACTGCAGCCAATGCTAGGTAGAGACGCTGAGTTTTAGTTCTGCCCTTGCCTTCCTCCCTATTGAGTTCTACCAAGATGAAGGAGAAGGAAGCTGACACCTAGGGTCACTCGCTCGACAGGGTATAAGCGAGAAGGCCGTCAGATGGGCTGGCTGATGGCAGACCGAGGTCAGTCACAAAATCTGAGGTCACAAGATTTGGCAAGGTGCGAATTTAAAGGATTTTGTTCACGTATTGGCTCAGGAATTGCAAATCAGGAAAATTCTCAGGGAAGTGCAAGAAGAGAATTATAGATATCGTATATGTTTGTGATGAGCAGGCCAGGGAGGATAAACATGTCTATATTTTGTGTTTTTCGCCTACAGTCATCCGGCCCCAGGTAGCCGATCTCCTGTGGAACCCTAGGAAAATAAAAAAGGTAAATATGGGGCGCTTCTGTCCAGGAGCAGTTGCTTTTGCGGGCAGGTGTTTTATTCACAGCTTGCTTTTAGCTGGCATCCAGATTGCAGCGTCTTCTAGGGGTGAAGAACCAGACCTGTTTCTAAGGGGTGTTTTATTTTTGAAAGCCCACAAGAGGGCAGAATACTTGCCCAGGAGGCAGCAGCGTTAAGCACGGCGCAGTCCTCCCAATGTCCACTTGGGGGCAGCAGCACAACAGCTTCCCTTTTGGAGAGGTGTGTTGGGCAATGTGGAGCTCCCCCCATGGGCATTTTGTGAACTGCATATATTGCATACCTCCTCCTCATGGGACGATGGTCCCCCCTGGTGGCTGGTTGGCAAATTGCACCATACCCAACCGTTGGGCCTTGAAGTCCCGGGTTCGAATCCCACGAGCCCCGGGCTCCTGTTCACCGCTGCCAGGACGCCTCTGCTTGCTGCATGGTTGTTAACCTTGGAAATGTTCCCGTTCCAGCTCCAGCCATGTCTTCGGATGCCGAGATGGCCGATTTTGGCCCCGCAGCCCCTTACCTGCGCATGTCGGAGAAGCAGAGGATCGAGGCGCAGAACCGGCCTTTTGACATGAAGAAGGACGTCTTCGTGCCGGATGAGAAGCTGGAGTTCGTCAAGGCCAAGATCACGTCCAGGGATGGTGGCAAAGTCACCGCGGACACAGAGAACGGCAAGGTGCTGGGCTGTTTCTTGTGCTCTCATGCCCATCCCATCGTATAATAATAGTAATAATAATAATAATAATTTATTATTTGTATCCCGCCCATCTGGCTGTGTTTCCCCAGCCACTCTATGCGGCTTCCAACAAAGATTAAAAATACATTAAAATGTCACACATTAAAAACTTCCCTGAGCAGGGCTGCCTTCAGATGTCTTCTGAATGTCAGGTAGTTGTTTATCTCTTTGACATCTGGTGGGAGGGTGTTCCACAGCGTGGGCGCCACTACCGAGAAGGCCCTCTGCCTGGTTCCCTGTAGCTGTGCTTCTTGCAGTGAGGGAACCAGCAGAAGGCCCTCAGCGCTGGACCTCAGTGTCCGGGCAGAACGATGGGGGTGGAGACGCTCCTTCAGGTATACTGGGCCGTTTAGGGCTTTAAAGGTCAGCACCAACACTTTGAATTGTGCTCAGAAACGTGCTGGGAGCCTATGTAGTATCTCTTCTGCGTGTTGTGCTCCAAAACTTCTAAAACTTTGGCATTAAAAAAATGCCTCCCACAACCATCTTCCCTTCTGCCCAACACCATGCCCCCATGATCTCTCCTCTGTCTTTTTAGAAATGCTGTTCTGGCCACCCACCTCCCCAGTGAGGCGAAGTGCCAGCTGCCATGCCCTGACTGGGGTCTTCTAGTGCGGCTGCCCCTGTTCTGTCGAGCGGGCATCCCTGTTGTGTCACTTCCATTTTCCATCTATGGCTTCCTTCCATCCTCTCCCTGCTACCCAAGTAAAAAAAGAGGTGGTGTCCAATGCTAGTCCTACTCAGAGTAGACCCATTGGAATCCGCGGACCTGAGTGGGGCCCGTTAACTTCATTGCATCTGCTCTGAGGAGGGCACTGGACGCAACCCGGTGGGTTCAATTTGGGGGGCCGTTTGGGGGAGGAAGAGGTTTGCCGTCCTTTGGGCGCTGCCTGTCCCGCTGGCTTGAGGCTTCACTGCCTTCTCTCCGCAGACGGTGACGGTGAAGGAAGACCAGATCATGCAGCAGAACCCGCCCAAGTTCGACAAGATCGAGGACATGGCCATGCTGACCTTCCTGCACGAACCTGCCGTCCTCTACAACCTCAAGGAGCGCTACGCCGCCTGGATGATCTATGTAAGTGAGCACAATCCTTCCTGGCACCCGGGAAGATGCCTTATCTCAAGTCAGGCCATTTTGGGTCTGTGTAGCTCAGTATTGAAAGGGATGCAGGTGGCGCTGTGGGTTAAACCACAGAGCCTAGGACTTGCTGATCAGAAGGTCGGCGGTTCGAATCCCCACAATGGGGTGAGCTCCCGCTGCTCGGTCCCTGCTCCTGCCAACCTAGCAGTTCGAAAACACGTCAAAGTGCAAGTAGATAAATAGGTACCGCTCCGGCGGGAAGGTAAACGGCGTTTCCGTGAGCTGCTCTGGTTCGCCAGAAGCGGCTGAGTCATGCTGGCCACATGACCCGGAAGCTGTACACCGGCTCCCTCGGCCAGTAAAGCGAGATGAGCAACCCCAGAGTCGGCCACAACTGGACCTAATGGTCAGGGGTCCCTTTACCTTTACCTTTAGCTCAGTATCACCAGCAGTGGCTCTCCAGGGTGTCAGGCAGGGATCTTCAACCTGGGACCTTCTGCATGCAAAGCAGGTGTCCTCTCCCAGTGCTATGGCCCTTCCTTGTAGGAAACTTGCAGGCCTCCGGGTGACGCTGGTCTCCTCCTCCTCCCGTCCATCAAGACAGCTGCTGGGCTGAGAGGCCCAGCAGACATTCCCCCTTACCCAGCACCTGAACATCATCCAGAATCTGCAATATTCCCACCTCGCTGGAGTGGACTTGTTGGGCACTGATAGTTAAGGGTGTTAAGAGAGCCCTGCAGGATCGAACCAGAATTCCACCTACCCCAGCTTTCGGCTTCCAACAGTGGACAGTCGTTGGGTTTCCTGGAAACCTGCAGGGCGGGTTAAAAATAATAATTCCAGGCCTCCTGAGGTTCTCGGCTTCCTTTCACAACCCGCACCATCCTTCAAGTTTCTTGCCATTTTAATTCACCACAAGACATCATTTTCTTACAGAACGACCTTCCTCCTCCCTCCTCTTCCCTCTCTCCTCTATAGACCTATTCCGGGCTCTTCTGCGTGACTGTCAACCCCTACAAGTGGTTGCCGGTCTACAACGCGGAAGTGGTGGCTGCCTACCGGGGGAAGAAGCGAAGCGAAGCCCCTCCCCACATCTTCTCCATCTCTGACAACGCCTATCAGTATATGCTGACAGGTAAGGAAAAGGGGGAAGGAATGCGGGTGGCGCTGTGGTCTAAACCACTGAGTCTCTTGGGCTTGCCAATCGGAAGGTTGGCAGTTCGGTCCCTGCTCCTGCCAACCTAGCAGTTTGAAAGCACGTCAAAGTGCAAGTAGATAAATAGGTACCACTCCGGCGGGAAGGTAAACAGTGTTTCCATGCGCTGCTCTGGTTTCGCTAGAAGCAGCTTAGTCATGCTGGCCACATGACCCGGAAAAACTGTCTGCGGACAAACGTCGGCTCCCTCGGCCAGTAAAGCGAGATGAGCGCAGCAACCCCAGAGTCGTTCACGACTGGACCTAACGACCTAACGGTCAGGAGTCCCTTTACCTTTACCTTTTAAGGAAAAGGGGGAGGGTGCAGAAACTCTCTCTCTCTCTCTCTCTCTGTGTGTGTGTTGGCAAGAAACTGGGGAGCAAAAATCCTGCTTTGCTATTTTCCACTTCCTATTTCTTCTGTGTTTTCTCCCTTTCCATTTTCCCCTCCTCTCTTTCCTTTTAACTCTTCTCTCTCTCTCTCTCTAGATCGTGAGAACCAGTCTATCCTGATCACGTAAGTCCTCCCTTCCCTTCCCCTCTCCTTTCTGTTTCTTCCTACAAAGTCTCCAGAACACCCTTAGGAAGCTGGCTTTGCCCTAGTCAGACCTAGCTCCATATTGCCTGCACTGACTGGCAACAGCTCCTCAGCATTTTCCTGCAGGGTTCTTTTGCAGCCGGGGAATGAACCTGGGATCCCCTGGATGGTAGCGCTTGAGACTCTTCATCTTAGGGTTGTGGGTTCAAGGCCCATGTTGGGCAAAAGATTCCTGGACTGCAGGGGGTTGGACTAGATAGCCCCCGACTCCCTTCCAACTCTACAATTCTATGATTCTATAACATCTGCAAAGCAGATGTTATGGCCCTTCCACCCTAAAACCTGCCATTCTATCTAAGGCTGCCTCTTGGTCTATTCATTTTATTTCATAAAATTTATATACTGCTTGATTTTATTTTTAAACCCTCCAAGTGGTTGGGCCATCAACTCCTGACACTGCTGTTTTGGCTGTCTCCATCAAAATAATAATAATAATAATAATAATAATAATAATAATAATAATTTATACCCTGCCCATCTGGCTGGGTTTCCCTGTCTGGGCGGCTCCCAACAGAATATTAAATTTACGATAAAACATCGAACATTAAAAAATTCCCTAAACAGGTCTTCCCTAAAACCCATTGACACCATGGCAAACCTCCAGCTCACGCTCATTCCCCCTTTTCTCATTTGCCCTCTTCTGTATCTAGATGGAACTATTGCTTCCTCACCTGGTCTCCTGGGGTGAGCAGCAAGAATTGGCCAGGTGACCATCTGAGCAAGGAAGATTCACAAAATTGGGTGGTTCTCCCTCTCCGCTGCTGTTTGTGCCACAGACTTAACTATTAAAAATCAGGTTCCTTGCCTTTGTTGATTCTCTGCAAAGCTACAATACTATTCCTTATTTGCAACACAAAATGGTTAATGCTGTAATGGCAGCCCATGACGCTTGTACTCTTAAGAACAGCCATGGTATATTAGAATAATAAATTACATTTTTTAAAAATACCATTGATTTTGGGGTGGGGGGGATTACTCGAGAGCCACTGGAAGTGGGATGAGGATGTAGCTGATCGATCGGTTGATCAGTCTACAAACACACCCGCTCTTCAGCCTCGTTTTTCTGCCCCACAGCGGAGAATCCGGGGCAGGGAAGACTGTCAACACCAAGCGTGTCATCCAGTACTTCGCGGTGATCGCTGCCATCGGCGACCGGACCAAGAAGGAGCAAGCCGCGGCTACCGGCAAGGTGACCGTTTTGTCTGCCTCTGGCTTCTTGTAGTGGTAGCTGGCCTCCTCCAGGGCTGGTAGGGCAAAAGGACAGGAGACGAACACCAGGTGGCGCCAGAGAAAATGATAGGTGGAACCACCCACCCCCTGATTGGCTAGAGGTGAAGCAGGCAGGCAGGGAGGGCTAGCTGAGAGCCTAAAGGACCAGCTGGCTGCCTTCCTCACCTAGACCACGTGAAAAGCAGCCCGACCACAGCTACTCAGAGCTTCAAGCAGGCAACAAAAGCCAGAGGGGCAAGGAAGAAGGAGCTGGCACTGTCCACGGACTTCTGTCGTCGTATCTTTCCCACTGCTAACCACGTTCCCTTCTCCTCCTGCTCCTCCGGCCTCTAAGCTGTTTGCTGATATTATATTCATATCCCACCTTTGCTCCAAGATGTTCCTCTCCACATTTTACCCCTGTGAGGTAGGCTCGGCTGACAGATGGTGACTGGCCCGAGATAATAATAACAATAATTATCACACAGCAAGCTTTCTGGCCCAGAGGGGAGTTGAACCCTGGTATCCCAAGTCCAAGTCTGGCACTCTAACCATGAAACCACACTGGTCCTCACGTGTTTAAACAGGCATTCCCCGAATCTGATGACTCAAACCTCCTTCTTCCATTGTTTTGGTTGCTATTCTAAATGGGCTTCCTTTATTGTACATTGCAATTATGGATTTTATTCAAGTCTGCTATATAGTGGTACCTCGGGTTACAGATGCTTCAGGTTACAGACTCCGTTAACCCAGAAATAGTACCTTGGGTTAAGAACTTTGCTTCAGGATGAGAACAGAAATCGTGTGGCGGCAGCGGGAGGCCCCATTAGCTAGAGTGGTCCCTCAGGTCAAGAACAGTTTCAGATTAAGAACAGACCTCCAGAACGAATTAAGTTCTTAACCCGAGGTACCACTGTATGTGTATATAGATACAAATATATTGGTTTTAGATTTGTAAGCCACTTTTGGTGATGAAGAGGCATGCAAATGAATAAGGAATAATAATGAGCTGGTAGAGAGAATGTTTCTAACCTTTCGCTGTACCGACAGGGGACTCTGGAAGATCAAATCATCCAGGCCAACCCTGCACTGGAGGCCTTTGGGAATGCCAAGACTGTCCGGAACGACAACTCGTCCCGATTTGTGAGTGTCGCTCGAGAGGGAATTTGAGGCAGGGGCGAGGGGGGGACTACACTGCCAAAATAACTGCCTACGAGGTTGCATAATCCCATATAGGCCCACTCAAGTCGCTTCCACCTGCAGAACTGGCACTGCTACAGGGGCCCAATCACCCTCGTTCTGCAATGGTGAGAAACAGATCTTTTAGTGCTTCAGCTTCCAAACTTTGGAACTCCCTGCCACTTGATATCAGAGGACTCGTTTCAGCATCTGCTAAACACATTTCTGTCTAGGCAAGACTCCCCAGGGATTTAGAACATTGCCGTGTGTTAGATAATTATTATTTGTGCTCCCCCCGCCCTGCCTGCACCTCCTGCTCAGTTTCTTCTTTTCTCTTCCAGGGCAAATTCATCCGGATCCATTTTGGGGCGACAGGGAAGCTGGCCTCAGCCGACATAGAGACCTGTGAGTTTGCCAAAGGCCTGTCCTTCTTTCCTTCTCCTGATCTCTGGCCCTCCTCCCTGAATTAACGTAAGGTCGCAAGTAAGGCCCTGCTGGCCGGATCAGGCCAATGGTGCACCTAGCCCACCCCTTGTTCTCACCTGTGGGAACCCCCATAAAACGCAGAACCCGAGTGCAAGAGCATCTTCGCCTCTTGCGGTTCCCAGCTGCTCATATTGCCTCCAACAGTGGAGATGGAAGTTTGGCTAGAAGCCTGTATCCTCCATGAATTTTTTCCCCTTTTGCTGTTGCTCCTCCGTTTCAACTGCCCCGCCTTCTCTTCCTCTTAATTCCTCAGACCTCCTGGAAAAGTCCCGGGTCATCAATCAGCTGAAAGCTGAGAGGAACTACCACATCTACTACCAGATCTTGTCCAACAAGAAGCCGGAGCTCCTAGGTGAGTTGCTGCAAAGGAGAGCCACTCTGGCCCGGGTCTGAGATCTTGTTCTGTGCGCGGAAGAAATCTAAGCCTGTGCTAGAACGGCGGTAGGGCACCTGGTCTGCGGGCAGAAGGTCCTAGGGATTCCCTGCCTGGAAGGCTGCCAGTCAGAGTAGACAATGCTGAGCTACAGCATAGGTCGGCAAACTAAGGTAATTAGATACAAAAAAAATAGGGGGAAATTGGAAATTAAAAAACATATATATTAAAAATAAAAATAAAAGGGACAATCTTCCTTTTGCCTTATTCCCTGCCCAATGCCTTTCCTTCCCAGACATGATGCTGGTAACCAATAACCCGTACGACTACGCCTTCATCTCCCAAGGAGAGACCACGGTGCCGTCCATCGATGACGCTGAGGAGCTGCTGGCCACTGACGTGAGTAGCTGGGGTGGGGGGCAGAAGCCGTATTCCAAGCGAGTCACCCACCCCTCGCGGCCGTGTGAGCAGCAACACCCAACCCTCCCTTTGCTTCCTCCCCCCGCAGAGCGCCTTTGACGTCTTAGGCTTCACCCAGGAAGAGAAGAACTCCATCTACAAGCTGACGGGCGCCATCATGCACTACGGAAACATGAAGTTCAAACAGAAGCAGCGCGAGGAGCAGGCAGAGCCCGACGGCACAGAAGGTGAGGAAGGATGCTCGCGATGATAGGCAAGCGAGGCAAATGAACGCTGGGTCACAGGGAAGGATCCTCTGTCCCAGCCTTCCCCAACCTGATGCCTCCTTTGCGTCAAGAAAACAGAACCCCACAACTTGTGTAAATTATAGATACATGTATATGCATATAGGGACGCAGGTGGCGCTGTGGGTTAAACCACAGAGCCTAGGGCTTGCCGATCAGAAGGTCGGCGGTTCGAATCCCCGCGACGGGGTGAGCTCCCGTTGCTCGGTCCCTGCTCCTGCCAACCCAGCAGTTCGAAAGCACGTCAAAGTGCAAGTAGATAAGTAGGTACCGCTCTGGCGGGAAGGTAAACGGTGTTTCCGTGCACTGCTCTGGTTCGCCAGAAGCGGCTTAGTCATGCTAGCCACATGACCCGGAAGCTGTACACCGGCTCCCTCGGCCAATAAAGCGAGATGAGCGCTGCAACCCCAGAGTCGGTCACGACTGGACGTAATGGTCAGAGGTCCCTTTACCTTTTGTTTTGGCAAATCCTGGGCAGGAGTCACGTGGGGCAATGAAACCCTCCTGCAGCTGGAGAAATTCCAGCTGCCTCTCTTATTCATTAATTTATTCATCCAAATAATAATGATAATTTATTTCTACCCCACCCATCTGGCTGCGTTTCCCCAGCCACTCTGGGCGGCTTTCAACAGAACATTAAAAACACGATAAAACATCAAACATCAAAAACTTCCCTAAAGATTTCGTCATACTTTGCCTGCTGCCTCCGCCCTGTTTCTAGCCTTGATCATTTTAATAATTTTAAATGGAATTTAAATGAAAGGAGGCCCTCTTGGTTTCCTGACGCATAGCAGAAGTCGGTAGCAGAATCCTGTGCATACTCAGAGCGTCCCCAAGAGGTTGGGAGAGGTGGGCCCGCTTCCCTCACGGGGTCCGCCTTTGAGGCTGCCTCGCTTTTGGGAGCCCTTCTGTCTTTTCTTCTGCCGTTCCTCAACCAAGATGAGCCATGGTATAACCAAGTGGTTTCCTCCCCACCCACCCCCTGCCCCAATTCTGAATTTCCAGAAGCCGACAAGTCTGCCTACCTGATGGGCCTGAACTCGGCCGACCTGCTCAAAGGTCTCTGCCACCCGAGGGTCAAAGTTGGGAATGAGTACGTCACCAAAGGGCAAAATGTCCAGCAGGTGAGAGACAGACTTGGATATGAAATGTGTGGGGGCATTCTTCCGAGGTTTTGAAGGCCACAGGTTGCCCCCTCGATCTTCCCAGATTTGTTTTAGCTGGTTAATGAGATGTACCTCTCTCTCTCTCCTCCCCCCTTTTAAAAAACAACCCAGGTGTACTACTCGACTGGAGCCCTGGCCAAGTCTGTATATGAGAAAATGTTCAACTGGATGGTGACCAGAATCAATGTCACGCTGGAAACCAAGCTTCCACGACAGTATTTCATCGGGGTGCTGGACATTGCTGGTTTTGAGATCTTCGATGTAAGTGGTTCTCTTCCAAGGAGAATCCATTTTGAGATTTTGAGTACCGTATTTTTCACTCATAAGACGCACCAGACCACAAGACGCACCTAGTTTTTGGAGGAGGAAAACAAGAAAAAAAATATTCTGAATCTCAGAAGCCAGAACAGCAAGAGGGATCGCTGCGCAGTGAAAGCAGCAATCCCTCTTGCTGTTCTGGCTTCTGGGATAGCTGCGCAGCCTGCATTCACTCCATAAGACGCACACACATTTCCCCTTACTTTTTAGGAGGGAAAAAGTGAGTCTTATAGAGCAAAAAATACGGTAAATAACTGGGCGGTCCAGCTTGGCTTTGCCAGGTGGAAACCAGGAAAGACGAATGGGTGGTCCAGCGTGACCGACAAATAACCGTCTGGTCCCCATTTCTGCTGGCATTATTATTATTCTTATTATTATTACTACCACCCACTCATGAATCTATGCAAAATAGTTCATGAGGTAATTTTCAGAAGGCTTCCTGCAAAGACTGGCAGCCTTCAACATCACTCCTGGCTAGTGAGCCAGTGTGCTGGAGCAGTTAGAGTTCCAGACTAGGACCCAGGAGACCAGGGTTCGAATCCCTGCTCAGCCATGAAGCTCACTGAGTGCACCCATCACTGCCTCTCAGCCTAAGCTACCTCACAGGGTTGTTGCAGGGATGGATTGAAAAGGAGGGGGAGACCTGTATGTGACCACCTTGGCTCCTTATGAGGAAAAAGGTTGGTTAAGACACATAAGTAGAGGGAGACAACCTGGAGGGGAGGACAGATTGCCATTCCTTGATTTCCTTTCCCCCCTCTCTCTTCCCAGTTCAACAGCTTTGAGCAGCTGTGCATCAACTTCACCAACGAGAAGCTGCAGCAGTTCTTCAACCACCACATGTTTGTGCTGGAGCAGGAAGAGTACAAGAAAGAAGGGATCGAGTGGGTCTTCATCGACTTCGGCATGGACCTCCAAGCCTGCATCGACCTCATCGAGAAGGTGCCTCCTTGCTTCCGGCGCCCTCCTTAGTCCCCAAAGGGCAACTTCACTTATTTACGCCTAAGTTGGGGCAATTGCCTCCCAGAGTGGGCAAGGTTGTCGATAGGTAGGGCAGTAAGAGATTGTAAAGGTAAAGGGACCTCTGACCATTAGGTCCAGTCCTGGCCGACTCTGGGGTTGCGGCGCTCATCTCGCTTTGGTGGCCAAGGGAGCCGGCGTACAACTTCCGGGTCATGTGGCCAGCAGGACTAAGCCGCTTCTGGCGAAACAGAGCAGCGCACAGAAATGCCGTTTACATTCCCGCCGGAGCAGTACCTATTTATCTACTTGCACTTGGACGTGCTTTCGAACTGCTAGGTTGGCGGGAGCAGGGACCGAGCAACGGGAGCTCACCCCGTAGCGGGGATTCGAACCGCCGACCTTCTGATCGGCAAGTCCTAGGCTCTGTGGTTTAACCCACAGCGCCACCCGCATCCCATGATTGTAGAATCATGGAATTGTGGGGTTGAGACCCTCAAGAGTCATCCATTCCAACCCCTTGAGGTAAAGCTAAAGAATCCCTTCCAGGAGGTCATCCAACCTCTGTTTAAAAACCTCCAATGATTACTAGATCTGTCTATTTCTCTTCCATCTCAGTTTCACATGTGCCACAATCATAGGCCCATTCCATATCATGGATTTTTCAAAAGAATGCATGGGAAATTTGCATTTGTCCACCTTTCATGCACAATTCTTCCCCCGGGAATGTGCGTTTTTGCATCCTCTTCAGCACCCAGCTCCAAAATATGCATCCCCCCCCACGCATTTTAAAAATGTAAAATGCATTCAGTGGTACCTTGGTTCTCAAACTTAATCCGTTCTGGAAGTCCATTCCAAAACCAAAGCACTCCAAAACCAAGGCACACTTTCCCATAGAAAGTAACGCAAAACGGAATAATTTGTTCCAGACTTTTAAAAACAACCCCAAAAGAGCAATTTAACATGAATCTTACTATCCAATGAGACCATTGATCCTAAAATGAAAGCAATAATCAATGTACTATACTATAAAATAAATAAGACAGTATTATAAATGATAAAAATTAAAAAAAAAAAATTTCTTACCTGCACTGATGATAGTCATCGCTTTTATCCATTTCTGCAGTCACACAATGAATCGATCAGTAGCTGAACTGGGTTCCACACGGTCACAAAAACAAATTAACCAAAAAAGCCTCAAAAGCAAAAATGCAAAATAAATAGCAAAAACAAAAGCACCAAACTTAATCCATTCCGGAAGTCCATTTGACTTCCGAAATGTTTGAAAACCAAGGAGCCAACAGCTGCATCAGATGTTTGGCTTCCGAAAAACGTTCAAAAACGGGAAAAATTACTTCTAGGTTTTCGGTGTTTGGGAACCAAGGGTCTGACTACCAAGGTGTTTGAGAACTAAGGTACCGCTGTATTTTTATATACATTTATTGGCGCCGAGAATGCATGGTGACGTTCGGACTTCTGCAAAATCCACTTTATAGTTGCGTTCCAATCTGCACATTCAGTCTGGGACTGGCAAATCAAGCTGGCCCTTTTCCAAAAGCAGCCTGGACAAATTTCTCCTCCATCCCTAAACGAGGGGAACCACCTGAGGTCATCTGGATGCCCTGACATATGAACCTGTTGCCTCCACAATCTGCACAGTCAGAGTATTCCTTTGTCAGTGTTGGGAGGTTTTAAAGCAGAGCTTGGATGGCTGCCTGCCAGGGATTTTTCCTGTGTTGCAGGGGGCTGGACCAGATGCCCCTTCCGACTCTACCATTCTTCGATTACACGCTGCTGCTGCTCTTTATGGCGAATGCCATAAAGAGAAGCGCCGTGGCTCAGTGGTGGAATACCTGCTTTGCATGCAGAAGGTCCAATCCCTGGCCTCTCTCTGTGCTGGGCCCGGGGGTAACCCGTGAAACACGGTCCAGGACCGGTCCAGAATCCAAAGGTTCTGCTGGGAGACAGTCCGACAGGGCCAAAGCAGGACACGAGGCAGGAAACCAGGCAAGGACAGGTGCAGGATCTCAGGCAGGATCTAGCATACAGCAATATTGCTCCCACAACCTGGGGCAGGGTCCGAAAGCCTTTTACCTTCGTCGGGGTAGCGGCCGGTCCTGATCCCCTGGCGACTCACCTCCCTGATTCACCCGAAGGCGAGCACTCCTCCTGCGAGTACTCAGGTCTCTCCTTCTCTCAGACCTTAGTCTCTGCAGTTCGGGAGACGTCGGTGGGTTACTAGACCCAGAGGCCGCCTCAGCCTCCCCTGACCCAACTGGTAGTGGAGCAGCTGTAAGTGATGGCCCAGCTGAAGGCAACGAGGTCATCCCCACATCTGGAGCCAGGGCAGGCTCAGGCCCCTGACTCGGCCCAGCTGGTGTTTGTTGCAGGGGAACCTGTACAGACTGGGACTCTTCAGGATCCGGCCCCAGACTTGGTTCAGATGATGCCTGAGGCAAAGGATCTGGGGCAGACTGAGTCTCCTCTGGTTCCAAGTCTGAGCCCAAGTCCCAGGCCATCATACGCTCCCTGCTCAGCCTCTGTGCGATCAAAATCTTGGGGGGCCGCTGCCAGTCCGTGTAGATAGTATTGAGCTAGGTGGACCCAATGGCCTAGCTCAGCATAAGGCAGCTTCCTCCATCCATAGCAAACGGCCACGGGGCGGAACTGCCTGCTGGTGCCTCCTCCTCCTCGCCCTCCATCCCCTGATGCCTGGTCCTCTTCCACAGCCCATGGGCATCATGTCCATCCTGGAGGAGGAGTGCATGTTCCCCAAGGCCACGGACATGACCTTCAAGGCCAAGCTGTACGACAACCACCTGGGCAAGTCGGCCAACTTTGGGAAGCCCCGCAACATCAAGGGCAAGCCGGAGGCCCATTTCTCCCTCATGCACTATGCCGGCACCGTCGACTACAACATCAACCACTGGCTCCAGAAGAACAAGGACCCCCTCAACGAAACCGTGGTGGGGCTCTACCAGAAGTCGTCCCTCAAACTCCTGGCTCATCTCTTCGCCAACTACACCGGATCGGACGCACGTAAGGGAGGGAACGGAAGGGGGCAAGGCCGGGCTGTCCGCATCCCAAACTCCATTCCGGTCCGTGAGATTGGATCTACAGAAAACCAAAGGCTCTGGTTTGGAGTCATTCGCTTTAATACTAGGGCAGCCCAGTGACCCTCAGTCAGCGCGGCCGTTGGAGTGTGGGACTAGGATCTGGGAGACTGGGGTTCGAATTCCCGCTCTGCCGCAAGGCTTCCTGGGCAACGTTCGGCCTGTCGTTCGCTCTTAGCCTGACTTACCAGGGCACGCGAATGAAAGCAAAACGCAAACTGGGTGCCTGCCCACATCGCATTGCAATGAAAACAAAACAGTGTTATGTATTTGTAATAAAAATCAGCAGCCCTTTGTCAGCCTCATGCCCTGCCCTTGTCTCAGTGCATATAGTTTCAAGCCAGCCACTAATAATAATAATAATAAATTTTATTTATACCCCACCCTCCCCAGCCAAGACCGGGCTCAGGGCGGCTCACAACCAATAATAAAAACAAGTTGATTAAAATACAACTTAAAAAACAAGATTAAAATACAACATTAAAACATTAAGATGCAGCCTCTTCACAGGAGGAGAAAGGAAAAAAGAAAGAGGAGGAGGGAATCAAATTGATTCTAAGCCAAAGGCCAGGCAGAACAACTCTGTCTTACAGGCCCTGCAGAAAGAAATCAGATCCCGCAGGGCCCTGGTCTCATGAGACAGAGCGTTCCACCAGGCAGGAGCCAGTGTTGAAAAGGCCCTGGCTCTGGTTGAGGCTAATCTGACTTCCTTAGGGCCCGGGACCTCTAGGGTGTTGCTATTTATGGACCTTAAGGTCCTCCGTGGGGCATACCGGGAGAGGCGGTCCTGTAGGTACGAGGGTCCTAGGCTGTGAAGGGCTTTAAATTCATGGGAGTCCTCTCCAACCATGTAGATATTTGAGATGTAGCGGGGGAAACCTGTGACCCTCTCCTGTTGGATCCCATGCCTTCCTGATTAATGCATTCCGGTATTTCTGCACATATCCTCACCCTTTAGGCTGCATCTTGAATCCCCGTTTTTCTCTCTCCAAACAGCTCCTGATTCCAAGGGGAAAACGACCCACAAAAAGAAGGGCTCTTCCTTCCAGACTGTGTCTGCTCTGCACCGGGTGAGGATATCCTGAGGCCTGCTTCCTTGGAGAGTCTGGCAGCACCATCCTTAGGCGGCAGCCCTTGGGCTGCGCTCCTTCCTTACTCCTGGGGCTCCTCTGCTTCCTTGCAAACCCTTTCCCCAGAGGAGAATGAGCTTCTGTGGTGGGCTTCCTCTGGTTGCAGCGCTCTCCTTAGGTCTACTTGCCCCATCACCACCAACCTGGTTGGCTGTCTGGAAACAAAAAGGGTTGCAAGGACGTTATTGGGGGACCCAGCGAGGGCTGAGCCAAGCTTGCCATGTTGCTCCCATCGCCCAAACTTCTCTTCAGTGGAGGCCACTGAGAGTTCCCACAACGAAGACCAAGTGGACAAACGCATCTCTTCTCCCCAGCCACTGACTTATGTCCATCTCGATCTTTTCATCCCATCCCAGCCTCTTCTATATTATGTTTTGGACTTTTTCTTTTTTCTCCTCTTTGGCGATCCCTCGTAGCCGAGTAAGATTGTCTTCCATGAACACGGTCTTAACAGTGAGTCTGTAAGTGACTGTGGAGGCCAATTCTGGATCCACAGGTCCTTCCATGGTGGGCACATAGGTTTCCGGGCGGGAGCTGATTATGGTGAGGGTTTGCCTAATGTGCCTTCCTCTTAGCACAGCCTTTCTCAACCTGTGAGCAAGGCCAGAGCTCAGGGATGATGGGAGTTGTAGTCCAACAACATCTGGGGACCCACAGGTTGAGAACCGCTGTCTTAGCACATTTCTCCCTTTTGTCCAGAGTTCGAGTGTCTTCAAAGTCCTTGACACCTTTAATAAACGCTGTCCTCCAACTAGAGTGCTCGCAGGCCAGTATTTCCCAGTTGTCAGTGTTTATACTACATTTTTTAAGATTTGCCTTGAGAGAGTCTTTAAACCTCTTTTGTTGACCACCAGCATTACACTTTCCATTTTTAAGTTGGGAATAGAGTAGTTGCTTTGGAAGACGATAATCAGACATCCTGATTATTTTGGACAGCAACTTGGCTGGCTGGGGCTGATGGAATTTGTAGTCCAAAGCATCTAGAGCAGGCATGGCCAAACATGGCCCTCCATATGTTTTGGGACTACAATTCCTATCATCCCTGACCACTGGTCCTGTTAGCTAGGGATGATGGGAGTTGTAGTCCCAAAACATCTGGAGGGCCTGATCTAGAGGTTGGCCAAGCCTGCCTTGTGGCCTCCAGTCCCTTTTTCTCATCCTCCTTCCTGTCTCCAGCAAAACTATAACTCCTTTTCTCTGCCTGCTTTCCTTCCCCGTCAATCAAATCCATCTGCCCATCCTCTGCCTTGCCTGCCTGGACACCTCTCATTCCGCCCTCTTTCATAAAACTCGCTCCATCTCAACTACCTGCCTGCCTTCCCAGGTTGTCCTTCCTCGCCTCTCCCCTTCCTCCACCCCATCTCAACTCGCCTGCTCTTCCTTTCTCACCCAGGAGAACCTCAACAAGCTGATGACCAACCTGCGCTCCACCCACCCTCACTTTGTGCGCTGCATCATCCCCAACGAGACCAAGTCTCCAGGTGAGATCCCAGGTCCCTCTTGTATGATGTGCCTTTGGGGCCCTAGCGCTCTCTCTCTCTTGGACTCCCATCAGTCCAAGCCAGCACGGCCAATGGTCAGGGGTGGTGAGAGCTGTAGTCCTTACGGAAGGCCTGTAGCTCAGTGGTAGAGCCACCTGCCTTGCACGCTGAAAGTCGCAGGTTCAATCCCTGGTGTCTCCAATTAGGGTTTCCATTGTAACTGGGGTAACCCCAGTGAGAGAGATTTTTTGAAGTATTTTAAGTGGTTAGGAAATGCTTTTAAATCACTAGATTAAAGTGCTTACTTGGTAGGGACTGATTTCCCCCATTCATGCACCCTTCCCCTTTCTCCTGCTCTCTCAGGTGTGATGGACAACCCCTTGGTCATGCACCAGCTGCGCTGTAACGGGGTGCTGGAGGGGATTCGGATCTGCCGGAAGGGGTTCCCCAACCGGATCCTCTACGGGGACTTCCGTCAAAGGTAGGCTTAACTCTCAAGTGGGTGAAGACGGATGATGCTTCAGAAAAGCTGAGAGTGTCACTGGGGGAAGGTACATGAATATGGGGGTGCCCCGAGCGCAATGGGGCAACGTCGGAGGAAAGTTGCCCGCATGGCAGTTCACTGTCAAGGTTATGTCTGCTCAGTTCAAAAAGAAAATGCATCCTGCCTTTTATACAATCCTAGAATTGTAGAGGTGGAAGGGACCCCAAGGACCATCTAGTCTAACCCCCTGCGGTGCAGAAATCATAGCTGTACATACAGTCCTGCCTTAGTTGTCAAACGCCCTGGAACTCGGACGTTTTGGCTCCCGTACGCCACAAACCCGGAAGTGATTGTTCTGGTTTGCGAACATTCTTTTGGAACCCGAATGTCTGACGGGGCTTCCGCGGCTTCTGATTAGCTGCAGCAGCTTCCTGCAACCAACCAGAAGCCGCGATTTGCTTTTCAAACGTTTTGGAAGTTGAACAGAATTCCAGAATGGATTCCGTTCGACTCCCAAGGCCCGACCGTAAAGACATTTATATACCGCTCGATCTTCAACATTTTATCCAAATGTAAAAGGTACTCACGGTACAGTCCTTAAATGATTTTAGCGTTGGAAGAATTGACCGCTAATGCCTCACAGTCTCGCAGCTTCATACCAGCAAAGGAAGCGTTCTATCCGTTGCGTCGCAGCTCCAACCCACTCGCTCTTGGAGCTCAAAACAGAGCTTGCCGGGGGGGGAGCCTGCTTTTGACCCCCGCTGGATCCCACGTCCTCAAAATTTGAGTTTTTTCCTGGGGGTCTGCTACGCTGGAGTGGTTTTCCCCGCCTTTGATGTACCGAGATCTCCTCCGACGCAGAGACCTCTGACTGTGATGGCGCGCGTTCAGCTGGAAGCCCCTGATCATCAACATTTTCAAGTGGTTCTGTGGGGAACTTTGAAGTCCTCTTGAACATTCCTACCCAAATCTCTAGTTTCTTGAGATTTAGGCATGGGCCACACCTTTCCAAACTTGGTTTCACAGTCATGAGGACTAGAAAGTTGATGAGAGAGAGAAAGATGAGATTCCCCGGGCCCCAAGTATTCTGCCACAATTTAGTTGTGAAATATACACGGTCCTGGCCTTTGATCTGGGCATCTGCCCACGTTGAGAGGGAAAAGCCTATGGAAGGGAAGCTGTCGGGGGTTGTCTAGCGCTGCTTCCTTTCCTCTTCCCCAGATACCGCATCCTGAACCCAGCCGCCATCCCCGAAGGCCAGTTCATCGACAGCAGGAAGGGGGCGGAGAAGCTGTTGAGCTCCCTCGATATCGACCACAACCAGTACAAATTTGGGCACACTAAGGTGAGAGGCGGGATGAGCCACTTCCTCACAGGGAAAAGGCGGTGACATCATCATTCTGGGCCGCGCTGTTGATTGGCTCTTCACAACAGAGGAGGCTAGGGCTAATCCTGGGTTGGGGTATGTGTTTTCTCCGCTGTCAAGGTTCCTGGTGAGGTTTGGCTTGGCTGTGACACACAAACACAGGCACAGGACCTAAGCTTCAATATGTACAGAGCAGGGCAAGCGAAATCATATAGGCCCAGTAGCAAATTGGTAACCTGTGCAGGGGTCTGCGCACAGGCTGTTTTTCTTAAAACAAAAACCAACCAACCACAATGCTCTTTTTTTGCCCAGGTGTTCTTCAAGGCTGGTCTCCTGGGTCTGCTGGAGGAGATGAGGGACGAGCGTCTCTCCCGCATCATCACCCGCATCCAGGCCCAGTCCCGCGGGGTCCTCGCCAGGATAGAAGTCAGGAAGATCATGGAAAGGAAGTAAGCCCCTTAGTGGATTTTCCCGGAATTTGTAGGTGTGGTTAGATGGGGAATGGCCTGGGCATGTTGGAGCCCTCCGGTTAGAATTAGGGATTAGGCGAGAAATTCAGTCCAGTTCTCATTTAAAAGTGAACCTGCCCAATTTACGGTTACTGAAACTGAAAGCTGGTCATCCTTCAAGATTCACAGCTCCCCGAATTTTGCAAATGCCGTTCTCCAGGCAAGTAATGTGCCCCAAAATGCATATAGCAGGGTGAAGTGTGCAGAGAAATGCACGTATTAGTGGAAATAAATACATTAACATGAAGCTATGCATAAAAGGGGGGGTGCAGTCGGCAAAATTGCATACTCTCGCGGTAAACACTCGCTGGTGAATTTTCGCGAGGGATTTTCTAAAAAAAGAACTGCAAACTAATGTGGAGAATTGAACGAGGGGAAATTGGGAGGCTGAGAGACACCAAAATAGACAGACTCACTCCTCCCTTAGTCAGAACTAGGTGGACTCAGGAAACTGCTCACATACAAACTAAGCCTTTCTGTATAATCTTGAGGACTATAAAATTTATGGAAGATTACATTCTCAGGATGTGGAATTCTGTGCTTCCTGCACTGAATGCAACTGCAAAATGGTGGAATAATCCCAACCTTGCTTGTTGCAAGTGAGCCTCCTGTTTCAGGCAGGGCTGCGTGGTCTCCCACTTGGCGAGGTGGCCTTTTCTGTGTTCTGTACCCTGATGTGTCCTCCCTCACCATGCCACCCCAAACTCTCCCCTTCTCTGATTGGCAGGGAATCGCTGCTGGTGATCCAGTATAACATCCGGTCCTTCATGGTGGTCAAGAACTGGCCTTGGATGAGACTCTACTTCAAGATCAAGCCTCTGCTGAAGAGCGCGGAGACCGAGAAGGAGATGTTGGCCATGAAGGAGGAGTTTGCCAAGCTGAAGGAGGCTCTGGAGAAGTCGGAGGCCCGGAGGAAGGAGCTGGAGGAGAAGATGGTCTCCCTGCTCCAAGAGAAGAACGACCTCCAGCTGCAAGTGCAGGCTGTAAGTTGGGGCGATGGGGCAACAAAGATATGATTTGACCTTCTCCCTTAACCGCGGGTGGCGCTGTGGGTTAAACCACAAAGCCTAGGACTTGCCGATCAGAAGGTCGGCGGTTCGAATCCCCGTGATGGGCTAAGCTCCCATTGCTCAGTCCCTGCTCCTGCCAACCTAGCAGTTCGAAAGCACGTCAAAGTGCAAGCAGATAAATAGGTACCGCTCCGGCGGGAAGGTAAACGGCGTTTCCATGCGCTGCTCTGGTTCACCAGAAGCGGCTTAGTCCTGCTGGCCACATGACCCAGAAGCTGTCTGCGGACAAACGCCGGCTCCCTCGGCCTATAGAGCGAGATGAGCGCTGCAACCCCAGAGTCGGTCACGATTGGACCTAATGGTCAGGGGTCCCTTCACCTTTACCTTTACTTAACCGCGAAAGGCAAAGTGGCTGAAAAGCACCATGAACTCCGGGTTTCACAGTAAAGCCTTGGGCGTGTCTTCTTCCTTTGCCAGGAGCAAGACAACCTTGCAGACGCAGAAGAGCGCTGTGACCAGCTGATCAAGAACAAGATTCAGCTGGAGGCCAAGGTGAAGGAGCAGACGGAGAGGCTAGAGGATGAGGAGGAGATGAACGCCGAGCTGACGGCCAAGAAGCGGAAGCTGGAGGACGAGTGTTCGGAGCTCAAGAAGGACATTGATGACCTGGAGCTGACCCTGGCCAAAGTGGAGAAGGAGAAGCACGCCACGGAGAACAAGGTGAGCGGGGATGGAAGCGAAATCCAAGGAGCTTTTGCTACTATCAGCTGGGTCTGGATCAAGGTTGGCAGCCGGGAGAGTTGATTCTCCAAGAGATTCCTGTGCTGGGTGGACTTAGAGTTTTCTTTTGGGAGTCTCCAACCTTTGTTGTGTTCCATTCAGTGCCGCCTTGAATTTTGCCTACATCCACCTTCTTCTTCTTTGGCGATCACTTATAGCCGAGTAAGATTGCCTTCCATAAACACGGTTTTAACAGTGAGTCCGTAAGTGACTGTGGAGGCGAATTCTGGATCCACACGTCCTTCCACAGTGGGGACAAAGGTTTCCAGGCAGGAGTTGATCACGGTGAGGGTTTGCCAAATGCACTTTCCTCTTAGCACATTTCTCTCTTTCGTCCTGAGTTTGAGCGTCTTCAAAGCCCATGACACCTTTGGTAAAGGCTCTTCTCCAATTGGAGCACTCACAGGCCAGTGTTTCCCAATTGTTGGTGTTTAAACTACATTTTTTAAGATTTGCCTTGAGACAGTCTTTAAACCTCTTTTGTCGATCACCAGCATTGCACTTTCCATTTTTAAGTTGGGAATAGAGTAGTTGCTTTGGAAAAAGATAATCAGGCATCCGCACAACATGACCAGTCCAACAAAATTTATGCTGAAGAATCATTGCTTCAACGCTGGATATCTTTAGTTCACCTGTCTGCCCATTAGTTCACCTGTCTGCCCAAGTGATGTGTAAAAATTTTCTGAGACACTGTTGATGGAATCTTTCGAGGATTCCATCTAATAACTCAAAATTATAATATGCCCATAGGCTAAGAACCTCACAGAGGAGATGGCTGGCCTGGATGAGATCATCGTGAAGCTAACCAAGGAGAAGAAAGCTCTCCAGGAGGCCCACCAGCAAGCCTTGGATGACCTACAAGCTGAGGAAGACAAGGTCAACACCCTTACGAAAGCCAAGGTCAAGTTGGAACAGCAAGTGGACGATGTAAGTGCATCGACTGCAACACTCGCAGGGGAGACAGCCTGTTATTTTTCGCACCTTCCTTGAAGTAGTCGGAGGCATTCCGTGTAGTAAAAAAGCCCCACACACAAGTACATTGTTGATCTTAGGAGTAGCAATTCCTTTCTCAGTTTCTGGATTCAGGGTCTCACTGTCTTTGCTCAACAGCTGGAAGGATCGCTGGAGCAAGAGAAGAAAATCCGTATGGACCTGGAACGAGCCAAGAGGAAGTTGGAAGGGGACTTGAAGCTGACCCAAGAAAGCATCATGGACCTGGAGAACGACAAGCAGCAGTTGGACGAGAAGCTGAAGAAGTAGGGGTGCTTTAGTTTATCGCCAACTCCCCGCCCCCAACTCCTTTGTTGTTCTACTGCTGCCTGCCTCTCTGTGGTTGGATGTAGCAAGTTGGTTCTTGTCTTCCCCAGGAAAGACTTTGAGCTCAACGCACTCAATGCTAGAATTGAAGATGAGCAATCCTTGGCCATCCAGTTGCAGAAGAAGCTCAAAGAGCTACAGGTAAAAGGTTGATGACAGGGTGGTGTGCGTTGAAGCCAACTTCACTGGTGTGGTCTCTCTCCCCCTCTGTCTGTCTGTCTGTCTCTATCTGTGTGTGTGTGTGTGTGTGTGTGTGTGTGTGTGTGTAACTAAGGACCAAAATGAGGCATATTTTTGGGTAGAGGATAGCTGCTTCCAACAGAGCAATAACTTCTGAGAAATTCTGTACCTCAAATATCTGCTGTAAGGAATGGGGATGTTATTAGCAACCATGTTAGCTTTACATTCTGATCAGTTTTCTGCCATTTTTTTTAAAACCCACAAACCTCTCGCATTTAAATTGTATGCATTTCCCTCTAAAATATACACGCTTGCATGCACTTTCCTACGAAATGCATTTCCGGATGCAACCTTACAAGCTGAGAATTGCATCGTTCATTCACTCCGAAGGATACAGTCGTAACTTGGATCCTGAATGCCCTGGAACTCGGACGCTTTGGCTCCTGAACACTGCAAACCCGGAAGTGATTGTTCTGGTTTACAAACGTTCTTTTGGAACCTGAACGTCCAACGGGGCTTCCAGGGCTTCTGATTGGCTGCAGGAGCTTCCTGCAGCCAATCAGAAGCCACAGTTTGGTTTTTGAACGTTTTGGAAGTCAGAACGGATTCTGTTTGACTTCCAAGGTACGACTGTAACTGTGTTCCGATCCATGTATTAGTCTAGGAAGTGCAAATTGGGTCAGTCCACTTAAAGATTTAGATTGAATGGAATCCTCCAGTGCCCCTAGATGTTATTGACCTTTGAACCTCCATGGAAGCTTCACGAATCTGGATCTAGGCCTGGGCTTTTGAAATGGAGGCCGCCGACAGAATTCCTGGAGCGTGCTTTTCTGGATCTTGCTGACAGAATGTCTCCCTCCTTCCCTGGTCCAGGCGCGGATTGAGGAGCTGGAAGAGGAGCTGGAGGCGGAGCGCACAGCCCGGGCCAAGGTGGAGAAGCAGCGCTCCGACCTCTCGCGGGAGCTGGAGGAGATCAGCGAGCGGCTGGAGGAGGCCGGAGGGGCGACGTCCGTGCAGATCGAGCTGAACAAGAAGCGGGAGGCGGAATTCCAGAAGATGCGCCGCGACCTGGAGGAGGCGACTCTGCAGCACGAGGCCACGGCGGCCACGCTCCGCAAGAAGCACGCCGACTCGGCGGCAGAGCTGGGGGAGCAGATCGACAACCTGCAACGCGTGAAGCAGAAGCTGGAGAAGGAGAAGAGCGAGTTGAAGTTGGAGCTGGACGATGTCGCCTCCAACATGGAGCAGCTGCTGAAAGCCAAGGTTCTAAGCCAAAGAATGGGGGCGGGGTTTGTTTGGGGCGGGGCAAGGCAGGTGATGTCATGGTCTGAGGGCGGAGTCACGGTTTGCGGCAGGGTTGTAGCACGGCGGGAGAACAACCTGGAGACATCGAACCGGTTGATTTGGACTGGGATACAAAGATAGGGAGGGGATGAGATTCAGAGGGAGCTCCCTTCGTTCCAGAATTAAAATTAAAATTGTTCCCTCCTCTGACTGGGTGCTGCTACTCTCCATTCACCACTACATTTATTCCCCAACAACTCCTCTCGCCGTTGGGTTTCAGGCCAACCTGGAGAAAATGTGCCGCACCTTTGAGGACCAAATGAACGAGCACCGGGCCAAGTCTGAGGAGAGTCAGCGAATGGTCCACGACCTCACCTCTCAGCGAGCTAAGCTCCAGACTGAGAATGGTGAGTAGAGAAGGCTGATGCACGTTCATACGACGTCTTTTTCCTGGAGATTGAATTTAGGACATTTTGCATGTGAGGCTGGTGCTCTAGCATTGAGCTAAAACCCCTCTCCCATAGCTTGATGGCTGGCCCTTCCAGACAGTTTTCTGGTTTAGCCATTTCTCCTCCATCTTTGCTCAGATGCAACCAGGTTTCCACCTACCTAAACTTCCATCCATCCGTCCATCCATTCAAAGTTTTCTTTCTTTTCTTTTCTTCCTTCCTGCCATGCCCTACTTTCATCACCCCTCCCTCTTTTCCCCATCTTTCAAAATGATTGCTCGTACAGTGGTTCCTCGGTTCTCGAACGTAATCCATTCCGGAAGACCGTTCGAGTTCCGAAACGTTCGACAACCGAGGCACAAAGGGCGACCTGCAAATTCAATTGAGGAAATTGAAAAACACGCAGCAGAAGCCGTTCGACTTCCGAGGTGCGTCCAAAAACGGAAGCATTTACTTCCGGGTTTTCGGCGTTCGGGTTCCGAAACATTCGTCAACGGAGACATTCGAGAAACGAGGTACCATTGTACCATTTTCATTTACAGTGGTACCTCGGGTTACAGACGGTTCAGGTTACAGATGCTTCAGGTTACAGACTCCGCTAACCCATAAATAGTACCTCGGGTTAAGAACTTTGCTTCAGGATGAGAACAGAAATCGCACAGCAGCAGCGCACCGGCAGCGGGAGGCCCCATTAGCTAAAGTGGTACCTCAGGTTAAGAACAGTTTCAGGTTAAAAACGGACTTCTGGAACGAATCTTAACCAGAGATACCACTTAACCACTTAACTAGTTCTTAACCAGAGATACCACTGTACTTTCCAAGCTAAAAATCAACATTCTGATGCTCCTCCCCACTCCAAAAGAAACCCTGAATACATAAATGACCCGAGCTATCCTTCATGCCTTAACTCTTAACCCTGCAGGGGGGAGGGGGAACCAGCTAGCCACTAACTTCTATTTTTTTTTAAAAAAAACCCTAGTCCACCTAATTTGGTGTTCATCTTCGATGGCACCCTCTGCAGAGCATTTTCTGAAGAGAAGCGTGTAGAGACAGACACTGTCAGCCTGTGGGGTCCCTGTTCAACATGGCTGCCGATTCCGATGACAAAACTCCCGGAGATAATGGATTCCTCCGCCCCAACTCTTCTCCCTAGGTGAATTATCCCGCCAGATGGATGAGAAGGATGCTTTGATCAACCAGCTGACGCGAGGGAAGCTGACGTACACCCAGCAACTGGAAGATCTGAAGAGGCAACTGGAAGAAGAAGCTAAGGTAAGGAGGACGCAAAGAGGTTTGGGAAGGAAGTCCACAGGACTCAACGCGAAGGGTAGATACTGGTCCTGTCAGGACTGACGGTCACTGAGGCCACGTGGCTGTTCCCTTCCCCTCAGGCCAAGAATGCTCTGGCGCATGCGCTGCAGTCAGCCCGCCATGACTGCGACCTTATGAGGGAGCAGTATGAGGAAGAAACGGAGGCCAAAGCGGAGCTTCAGCGCTCGCTGTCGAAGGCCAATTCCGAGGTGGCACAGTGGAGGACCAAGTACGAGACTGATGCCATCCAGAGGACGGAGGAGCTGGAGGAAGCCAAGTAAGTGGGGCGGAGGGCAATGAGACCCACAACTCGCCTCACCTCACAACCACAGGCCTGTTGCACCACCCACCCTTTCTCACCCTTGTATGTTCAAGTTGAAACAATGCAATAGCCAATACAGTGGTACCTCTGGTTGCAAACGGGATCCGTTCCGGAGCCCCATTCGCAACATGAGCAGAATGCAACCCGCGTCTGCGTGGGTCGCGATTCGCCGCTTCTGCGCATGCGTGTGATGTCATTTTGAGCGTCTGCGCATGCGTGAGCGGCGAAACCCGGAAGTAACCCTTTCCGGTACTTCCGGGTTGCCGCAGGACGCAACCTGAAAATATTTAACCTGAAGCAAACGTAACAAGAGGTATGACTGTAAAGGGGGGAAATGCAATTGAAACAACAAAAACACGTAGAACGGTAAAACCGTCCCAGCCGAAAACAGGACAGTCGATTCAGCAAAAGAAATGGGTCTCGTAAAACAAAATAGGCGAAAGTAAAGAGGTGTGTACAGCGAAAGCCGTACATTGAAGATGCTGGGCTCTGTGAGGAGGGAATTCAATGGCTTAAGGGCTGCCACAGAGAAAGTTCTTGCCCTGCATTTTAGAGGGTAGACCAAGTACCAAGGGGTCTGCCAATCTCAACACCTGAGAGAGTCTTTAGGGACGGAGGCCATCTTTCTTGAGGCCTAAGTGGCCTAGGTTTTAAACGCCACTACGAGCTCCTTGAATTGGGCCTGGACACTTTTGACTCCAGCCTGAATTTAATTCCCCCGGAGGAGTTGTTATTTTAAGCAAAGCAGGAGGGGTGAGCCCCTTCTGATTATCTCCTTTCATTAAGCCCTTCCTTGTCATGGGTTTGGGCTCCTTCTATTGGCTTATGGCACCTGTCACCCTGCCCCATTTGTGTGTCAGGAAGAAGCTGGCGCAGCGCCTGCAAGACGCCGAAGAGGCGGTGGAGGCCGTGAACGCCAAGTGCTCCTCGCTGGAGAAGACCAAGCACCGCCTGCAGAACGAGATCGAAGACCTCATGGTGGACGTGGAGCGCTCAAACGCGGCCGCAGCTGCCCTGGACAAGAAGCAGAGGAACTTCGACAAAGTACGGTGGGAAAAGTGGAGGGAATGATCCGGAAGGGATGGGTTGGGGACAGCTGTGGGTACCCCAGTTCTGCTTGGTGGGGATACTGGGCCGTACTGGACGCTTGTGAAGCTCAGCTCACGTCTGCGCCACATGCTCTTAACTCACTTTAACCAGTACGCCACAACGGCTTGGCTTCAAGGGCGTCCGTTTGCTCGTTGTTGGGAGCAGCGGGCCTAGGAGTGCCTCAAGAAATAGCTATTCTCAAACCTTACTCTCTCCGCTTCTCCATCACCCACCGCAGCTCCTGTCAGAGTGGAAGCAGAAGTATGAGGAGTCCCAGACGGAGCTGGAGTCGTCGCAGAAGGAGGCCCGTTCTCTCAGCACCGAGCTCTTCAAGCTGAAGAACGCCTACGAGGAGTCGCTGGAGCACCTAGAGACCTTCAAGAGGGAGAACAAGAACTTGCAAGGTGAGCCTTTCTCTCCCTCAGGGGCCAATCGTCCCGTGCCCCGAACAAAACCGGCTCCTGTCGGATGCCACCTGACTCCCTACCTTTTTGCTGTTCCCGGCAGAGGAGATTTCCGACCTCACAGAGCAGCTTGGATCCAGCGGCAAGACCATCCACGAGCTCGAGAAAGTGCGGAAACAACTTGACGCGGAGAAGATGGAGTTGCAGGCAGCTCTGGAGGAGGCTGAGGTGAGGAGGGCCTTTGGCTGTGATCCAAAAGCGACACCGCGGCCATCTTGTTTTTCAGTTGGCCTTTCCATCTTCCTCTTTCCGTTCCCTCTGATTCGTTTCATCCTCCCCTCACGATCTTTCGCCTACAGATGTACAAATGTTCTCTCTGTCAGGCCTTTCTCTCCTCGCCCCTATTTTCATCTGAGGAATGCGGGAGGACATGGCATGACATTGTTTCTTTCTCTCTACCCAATATCTCCCTCCACGATCCAGGCCTCTCTGGAGCACGAGGAAGGCAAGATCCTGCGGGCCCAGCTGGAGTTCAACCAGATCAAGGCCGACATCGAGCGCAAGCTGGCCGAGAAGGACGAGGAGATGGAGCAGGCCAAGCGCAACCACTTGAGGATGGTGGACTCGCTCCAGGCCTCCCTCGACGCCGAGACCCGCAGCCGCAACGAGGCGCTGAGGGTCAAGAAGAAGATGGAGGGCGACCTCAACGAGATGGAGATCCAGCTCAGCCACGCCAACCGCATCGCGGCCGAGGCGCAGAAGCAAGTCAAAACCTTGCAGGGATACCTCAAGGTAACACCTGAAAGTTCAGTCTTCTTGTCCCCCCCTCCCCCCTGGCAACACGGCAGTGGGGTGAAGCCCCCTTCAGTTTGTACCTCATCTCTCCCTCCCCACAACCCCTGCCTTCATCTTGCCTCCCTTCTTCTTTTTCTATAATTTGTATTAAATTTTCTGTTTTACATTTTATAATATTCATTTAAACAACCTTAAAATATCAGTGACTTCCCTTCTTCTCTTTCCACGGCTCATTTCGCATAACATAAATCCTTGTATATTTTATATCAACTATTCAGTATTCCATTATTACATCCATCAAAACTTATTTACGCCATTGAATTTATCTTAATGCTGCCCACGGTTTCAAATACATGCGATTTCCCCCCATATATTCAAGAAACGTTTTACAGTCTTTTATAAATGTATGTTGTTCTTGTTCTCTTATTCTATATGTTAAGTCTGCAAGCTGCGCATATTCCATCAGTTTAAGTTGCCATTCTTCCTTAGTTAGAACCTTGCTCATTTTCCATTTTTGGGCTTACAAAACACGGGCCACAGTAGTGGCATAACCATTTTTGACACCTGGGAATTTCCATCTGAATTATCCCCAACGAAAAGGACTCTTTTTTAAAAAAGTACTTTAAAACATTTTTTTCAATTCATTGTGAATTATTTCCCAATGCTCTCTTACCCTTTTACAGGTCCACCACACATGATGGACCGCAGCCTCAGTCTCATTGCATCTTCAGCACTTATCTCGACTCCCTCCTTTTCCCTCCCAGGACACCCAGATACAGTTGGACGACGCCGTCCGAGCCAACGAGGACCTGAAAGAGAACATCGCCATTGTGGAGCGGAGGAACAACCTGCTGCAGGCGGAGCTGGAGGAGCTGCGTGCCGTGGTGGAGCAGACGGAGCGGGCCCGAAAGCTGGCAGAGCAGGAGCTGATAGAAACCAGCGAGAGAGTCCAGCTCCTCCACACACAAGTAAGAGCAGCCTCAGAAGCAAGGCTGTTACTGAACCTCCCGGATTGGGATCAGCCAGGAAACAGAAAATTTCTGCCCTCAGACATCCCCTCCTATTATGTACATTTTCGCTGTTCCTCTGTATAGTGGCATTCGCAGGAGTGACTTAATACTCATCTTGCATTTGTAAGACATCAGTACTTTAGTGTGGCAGCACCTTATGCTTCGGAACTCCCTGCCGATTGACACCAGGGGGCAGCCTTCCCTGTGCTCTTTCCGGCGCCTTCTTAGAAGCATTTTTGTTTACACAAGCCTACTCAGTTATGGAGCATGTTAATTGGGGTTTGTTTGTTTTTAGCTTACAGCTGTTTTTAATTAATAGTAGGATTTAAAAAAAAATAAATAGCTGTTTTTAACTCTTTATGACTGATAATTTTATTGTTTTATTGTTTTTGCAAACTGCTCTGAGGTGCTTTATTTTTATTTTTTTAAAAATCAAACGGTGCATAACTTTTAAAAAATGAAACAAATACCGTATTTTTCCGTGTATAAGACTAGGTTTCCTCCTTCAAAAATAATGTACAAAATTTGGGGGCATCTTATACACGGATAGAGCCCCCCTTTTTTCTTAAATTGGAGTCCCCAAAAATAGGGGGCGTCTTATACATGGGGACGGGAAAATACAGTAACTTCTCATTAATCGAGGCATCAGGGCATCCAAACTGGGGCCCTCCCCGGTGTGGCCACGCAGCCCTGACCTCACCGACACCTTGGCAGTGATGCCACTGCTATTGCCACAGCTCTTCCCTGCCCGGTGAGCTGCTCCTGGGCTTTCTAGAACATTCTGAGCAGAGACCAGCATTCACCGTATAATCCTAATGTTTTTACCACTGCCTCAGGAGTGGTGTGGGGGAATGGATTTATGGATTGACCAGTAGCAGAAGCTTGGGGTGCCAAGCACGGAACGGAGTCGGGAGGTGATTTCTTAGCTGGGGGAGATGGTAGCAGTGCCACAGGCCGCCAGAGAAACATCTGAGTTGTGGGGAAGGGGCATGCGCAGGCCCTCAGAAAGGAAGCAACACCTAGGAAGGTCCTCTTTCCCCCAACGCTGGTCGGCCACTCCTGCCTCTGGTGTGGGGGCATGGACTTTCCGTCCATAGAAGATTCCAGAAACCATGGGACCAGCGTGCTGTGGGATTTCTTAGGATGGTTCAGAAATTGGGGAGTGGGGGCTACGAGGTCTAGAAAGAGTGGCTGCCTTTGCCTCAGGCTATGAAGCCGTTTTCTGAGGTCATATTTCGGCAGGTCCTCCTATTTCTCCGGAGGCCAGCAGCCCTAGATCAAAAAACCCCCACGGTGTATTTGTTTCACAGAACACCAGCCTCATCAACCAGAAAAAGAAGATGGAGTCCGACCTGTCCCAGCTGCAGACGGAGGTGGAGGAGGCAATTCAGGAGTGCAGGAACGCTGAGGAGAAGGCCAAGAAGGCCATCACGGACGTGAGTGGAATGAGAGATGCGCTCTTCTTCTTCTCCATGGAAGCAGTGGCTCCAACCTGGAAGGGTTCCTTATGAACATGGAAACCTGCCTCAAACCATTGGTCCATTGAGCTCAGTGTTGTCTACACTGACCGGCAGGGTTTAGACAGATGAGAAGCATTTGCTACTAAGGTTATTTAGGAGGAGCTGCCTCAACTGCACACTACAGCACGGGCAAGTGACCCGCGGCCCTGACATCATCATGTGCGGCCCCCAACACCTCCCAAAAGTTGATCCATCTTCCCTTCCTTCCTGTTAACGTCCTTGCTTTTCCTAGGTTCTTCCTAGTGTGCTTCCTCCCCTTTCTGTGTAGTTTCAAAACAGCTGGAAAGCGCAGTGCTTTATTTGATTAAAATAACTTGATGGGCTCTTTTAAAAAAAACTATTCCCCGTTTTATATGGCAAAGGTTTATTTTGGCCCATCATTCTGAGAACAAACGCATAGATTTCAGTCATCTGTGTGCACGTCCGCTGAAGCACACTAAAGTCAGAAAGGAATTTTGTTCATTTGCTGTAGTTCTGTTGTATAGCTACTTACCTGAGAGTAGCAACATTTAACTCAGTGGCGCTTCGTTCTGAGTTGAATTTTCGCAGGACCAGGAATTCTAATCTGAGGTAGCCATGGTGAAAATTGAAGCAGAGCTGGGTTTTTTCTTTTCTTTTTCTGGATTAATTAAAAAAAAAAGCCTATTTTCGTTGCTGGCTTCACCCACCAGCAGTTCTGCCCACTGCCAGCATGCGGACTCCTTAAGGAATGCAGCCCTGACAGAAAAAAATGTTGCCCCCCCCACCCAGAACACTGTATTCTTCTCCCACTAGTAGAACCATGTTTAATGAGGATAATGAGAGCATATCCCAGAATTCACTTTTTCATTTGATTTATTGAGAGGAGCCATCCTCTCTGTGGTGGAAAATGAGGAGAGGCCTGTTAGTCACATTGACAGAATACAGTGGTATGTCGGTTTTCGCACGCAATCTGTTCTGGAAGACCGTTCGAGTTCTGAAATGTTCGAAAACCGAAAACTCAATAGCCGACAGCTAGGCCTCAGGATCTTGCATTCAGTGGAAGCCGCATGGCATGTTCAACTTCCAAGCATGGCTGCCAACTTTTCCCTTTTCTTGCAAGGAATCCTGTTTGGAATAAGGGAATTTCCCTTTAAAAAACGTTGGCAGCTACGCTTCTGAGGCGTGTTTGAAAACTCAAGTATTTACTTCTGGGTTTACGGCGTTCGTAAACCGAAATGTTCATCAACGGAGACGTTCGAAAACGGAGGTACCACTGTAAGTGGTTCAGGGATATAAAGAGGAGTATGGGCTCCTGGCCCCTTCACCTCCTCCCCTCAGGATTTTTAAGGCCTGCGTTGGGTTTGCCAGACTGAGGTAATTCTCTGCGTTCTCTCTGCTTCCTCCAGGCGGCCATGATGGCGGAGGAGCTGAAGAAGGAGCAGGACACCAGCGCTCACCTGGAGAGGATGAAGAAGAACATGGAGCAGACCATCAAGGACCTGCAGCTGCGGCTGGACGAGGCGGAACAGCTGGCCCTGAAGGGCGGCAAGAAGCAGCTGCAGAAGCTCGAGGCCCGAGTGCGGGAGCTGGAGAACGAGCTGGAGATGGAGCAGAAGCGCAATGCTGAGAACGTCAAGGGCATGCGCAAGTGCGAGAGGCGCATCAAGGAGCTCACCTACCAGGTGCGGGGGCACACAGACCTCCTTTCTATGCAGATCTTAGCTGAGCCAAGATCGAACATGGTTCAATCTAACCGCATTCCGAGCAAGCAGCCTTCAGAACACATTGTCAGCGCCATCTCGAACCCAGCTCAGCCTCTCCCCCACCCCGAATGCTAGTGGCTTGGCTCAGGGATCTGGAAAGATCTAGAATCAGGATGGCGATCTCGCCAAGCTTAAGATCACCTAATCGAACTGGTGGCATACAAAATCTAATGAAGAGCTGCGTTGCCCTGTGATTTTCAAATAACAGGGAGAGTTGAAACTAGTTGAGACTTCAGAAGTACAGTGGTACCTCGGGTTAATTACTTAATTCGTTCCGGAGGTCCGTTCTTAACCTGAAACTGTTCTTAACCTCAAGCACCACTTTAGCTAATGGGGCCTCCTGCTGCCGCCGCACCGCCGGAGCACGATTTCTGTTCTCATCCTGAAGGAAAGTTCTTAACCCGAGGTAGTATTTCTGGGTTAGCGGAGTCTGTAACCTGAAGCGTATGTAACCTGAGGTACCACTGTAATATCTTCTCCTGAAAATGAAAATGCAGGTGTGTTGCACTGAAAATGTACACCTGACATGAATTAATACATGTAACTTATTAGGTCAGCCAGATGTTGCAGGAGACAGGTGGATCTGTTTAGGAACGGCTTCTGGAACCAAGCATGGTTTTTTGAGTAAATTCTAAAGAGGAAAAATGTCTCTGGAACAGAGAACTCAATAGTGCCCCCTCACCAGATACAACCACACACAGTGTGGAGATCAAAATACTGATATCTCTATTAGGAATTCAGAGTTCTGATGCGATGGCTGTCAGTGGAGCTTCAAAACATGTCCATCATCTTTTAAGTCTAGCACAGTCCAGAAGGAATTAAGACTCACAGCTGTGACAGGGGAAGGCAGGACTGCCCAGTGACAAAGGGGAAGATGGCAGCCTCGCATTCCACATTTGGGAGCAGCAAACTTGCTTAGGGAGTGAGCTAGCTTTGGGTTCTCCGGGGGTATGGCTGCTGACTTACTGCCACCGCTGCCAGCATCTTCTATTCAAATGTGATTTTGGTTTTAAATGCAGTGTAAGGTAGTCTCTATGGGAGTACAGTGGTACCTCGGGTTAAGTACTTAATTCGTTCCAGTGGTCTGTTCTTAACCTGAAGCACCATTTTAGCTAATGGGGCCTCCTGCTGCTGCCGCACCGCCGGAGCACGATTTCTGTTCTCATCCTGAAGCAAAGTTCTTAACCCGAGATACTATTTCTGGGTTAGCGGAGTCTGTAACCTGAAGCGTATGTAACCTGAAGTGTATGTAACCCGAGGTACCACTGTATATTGTATTTAATTATGGGGTATCAGAGTTTTTAGGGGGCTAACCAGGCTGGGATAGCTGGGATAGCAGGCTTGTTAGTTTTTGAATGTCTGATGTAGATTTTTTCGATTTTGTTGTTCTGTATGGGGCAATGACAATAAAGATTATCGTATCTGCCACCTGAGGCAAATGCTCATTGCTGCCTAATGGTAAGGCCAGCTCTAGGATGCAATGCGAGCAGGAACGAAAGTCATTTAGGAATGGATGTATGGGGGAAGAATCAGTTCTGGGTGAGCCCAGCAGGGAAAGGAAACTAAGAAGGCCTGTTTCGGTTTTTGAAAACCTAAGAAAACCTTGTTTCAGTTTTTGAATAGTTTGGTAGCCGTCTACGGCTGCTGGGTAAAGTTTGTTCCTTCTAATCCAGCCTCCGTGGACCATTTGCAGTCCTGCAAATACTACATGGGAGGTGGCAAATCTGTAAACCCAAGCACAGCGTGTCAGTTTCCTTCTTCAGCTGTGTGGATGCTAAATAACCTGCCTGTCTCTCCTTTCTTTCATTTTGTGTTGTAGACGGAGGAGGACCGGAAAAACCTCGTCCGTCTCCAAGATCTGGTGGATAAACTCCAGTTGAAAGTCAAGGCTTACAAGAGGCAGGCTGAAGAAGCGGTAAGCATGCAACCTTCGGGGCTAGCGTCCTTCAGCCCTGGGTCGTCGTCCCCAGACGGTGGTGGACTACAACTCCCATCAGCCCTAGCCAGTTTAGCCGACGGTCAGTGATGATGGAAGATGTCGTCAAAGCAACATCTGGGGGACTCAAGGCTGAGGAACACTCTCCTAGGCTCCCTCTGCCTCCTTGACACCTGGGAGAACTCGTCATGACCTCCCTCCTACATGGCCCACCTAGGAACACAGAAAACTGTCTTATACTGGTATTGAGATCAGTAATGCCTGCCATTTCTGGCAGCAGCTCTCAAGGGTTTCAGACAAGCGTCTCTGCCAGCCCACCCAGAGATGCTGAGGATTGAACCCTGAGCACAAGGCAGGTGCTCTAACCACTAAGCTCTGCATCCACTCCTCGCTTCTCCATTCCCCGTCATTATCCCCATTTACGTTCCTCAATAAATGGGCCTGCGGGTGAGCATTTTGCGGTCACTGTGGGCGACCGCCGAGAGCACTTCCATCTTCCCCAGATTCCCCCCTCGCGCTACACGCACTCAGAAGTATTATCTTATTTCTTGTTTACGCCTCTCCCCACCCCGTCCCCGCCGACAGGGCAGCCGAACGGAAAAAAATGACAACAGAAGCAAATGAAAATCCAATATCCAATTCCATTAGAATCAGAACTTGTAAGCGGCGTAAAATCAAATAAAACCACATGTCAGCAGGATGTAAAATGACAAGATTAAAAACAGCCAGACTGTTAAAATCAACCGTCACCTGCTTTAATGCCTGCTGGGGGGAGAAAAGGAAAAAAAGGAAAGAGGTTTTTGTTTTGTTTCTGTTAGTTGGTCAGGACAGAGGTGGTTTTTAACAATCTTTCCAGAGGAGGAAATCCCATTCTAGGGGCGCCCATGCCGATAAGGCCCTGCTCCTCCTTTGATGTCTGTCTCAAAGTTCTGACAGATAGGAGGAGCGAGGCTCATCCAAGGGTCTTTATTGTAGGGCCAGGGTAGGCAACATTTTTATTTCCCCGTTGAGGGCTGAATTCCCTTGAGGATAATGCATCAGGGGCTGCAGATTGGCAGTGGGCGGGGCTATGACAACAGTGGGCGGAGCTGGAGAAAAATGGGGCGGGGCCTCCCCTTCCATCCCTTTCCCTCCCTCTTTCTCCTCATCCGGCAACCTGCAGGGACAGGGTTTCTCCCTACCTGCGATTCCAGCAGCTGGCAATACTGTCTGTGACAGCAGAGGTAGTACCTAAGCCTTTCGTCTCCGGTAGACGCAGACAGCCTTACCCTCCGTGAATTTTCCAGTTCTCTTCTAAAGCCATCCAAGTTGTTGGCCGCTGCTAACCCCTTGTGGCAGGGAGTTCCGCAGTCTGCACTGTGCGAAGAAGGTTCTTTCGTTTTGCCTCGCATCTCCCAACATTCGGCTTTGTTCGATGCCCCCTGGTGGGACGAACTAGCTTTAATACACCACCCCATTGTGATTTCACCCCATCTCTTTCTCTGCCCCACTAATGCAGGAGGAGCAGGCCAACAGCAACCTGGCCAAGTTCCGGAAGGTTCAGCACGAGCTGGATGAGGCCGAGGAGCGGGCGGACATCGCCGAGTCCCAAGTCAACAAGTTGAGGGCCAAGAGCCGTGATATTGGGGCAAAGGTGAGAAACCTCTGGTGCCTTATCGCTCCTCTCCAACTCCTATAATTTCAGTTTCTTCCCCCCTCCCACCTGATATCTGCATTTCTCCGCTGACTCCTTCTTCCTCTCTCCCTGTCCCCTTGCAGAAAGGTCTGAACGAGGAGTAACTCCTTTTGAAGATCAGACGCCCCCCATCCTCGAATCACACGTGTACCCCCAGCTCCACACCTGAAAGGCAGTGGAGGACGCTTCCCCCCCGCTCTGTATATCAGCACAGCCCCCGAAATGTAGAATAAAGGCTATCAAACAGCTATTGCGTTCCATGTGTCTCCGTATGTGTCAGGGGCTATTTGCCAGAATGGTATATGATATAAAGGCTTGCAGGGTACAGGGGTACCTCAGGTTACATACGCTTCAGGTTACATATGCTTCGGGTTACAGACTCCACTAACCCAGAAATAGTGCTTCAGGTTAAGAACTTTGCTTCAGGATGAGAACAGAAATCGTGCTCCGGCAGCAGCACGACAGCAGTGGGAGTCCCCATTAGCTAAAGTGGTGCTTCAGGTTAAGAACAGTTTCAGGTTAAGAACGGACCTCCGGAACGAATTAAGTACTTAACCCGAGGTACCACTGTACATGCGAATGAATGCCAGTTGCTGGAGGCAAGCCAAGAGAGAAGGCGTTTTGCTAAATCACTGTGCTAGAGCTAGAGGAGCCTTTTGGTCTGGTGCTGCAAGATCCCTTAAATAAAACCAAACTGCGAGCTGCAATAAAATGTTGCAGCATGAAGTGCTCCAGCTCTGTCCTCCAACCAGCTGAGCTCCACCGCCCTGCCCTGGAAACACCATTCCATTCACTCTTCCCCTGGTTTTCTTTTTGCTTCATTTCCCAGCAGACATTTGGTTATTAGTGGCCACAAAGTCCGCCCAGTCCTCCCTGAGTTTTTCTTTTTAGGGATTACTTCCTCTTTAGTCCTCCCCCCTAAAGATTTTCTGTTGTCCTTCTGCAAATTTGCGGTTCTCCCTAAACATGATGGTACTGCCTGGGTTTTTGTGTGTGTGTGGTATTGTTTGGGCTTCAGAAACAATGGCACTCATAGCCTAAACATCAGAATTATAAGGAATAATCATGATTTTACTAAGCATTTAGTGGCATGAAAGGTGCATTGTTGCATAATAAAAATAAAAATAATAATAATAATAATAATAATAATAATAATAATAATAATATTTGTACCCCGCTCATCTGGCTGGGTTTCCCCAGAGTACAAGGGGGTAAAGATCTGTGCTCTGAGGAAAAGAGAAAATCTCTGGGCTCATCCAGACGACCTGTTTATACCCCATTCCTCCTGTTTTTTTCTTGCACAAAGCTTACACAGCTGTCAGGCTATTCCCGGTTTTTACTGAGTGTTGCTTCTGATCTGTTTGCGGTATATTTATATGTATTCCCATCCATCATTTGTTCCCCCCACACTTTCCAACATATGTTCCCATCACTGCAAGAAGCCCTCTCTCTTTTTAAGAGGATTTGTGGCACTAGGGGGACAGAGCCCTTAAATCCATCTTAATTGTGCAAACCCGAGTTTCCGGAAATGTGTCTGAATCTCTCCATGCAAAATGCAGCCTGGAGACGCCCTCTCTGTTGCATCCCTGGTCCTCTCAGGACAGCACCCTTGACCAACCCCTTCTCCCTGGGGGAGCCTGCCTCTCCACTGATGCAGAAGCAGCAAATTCACAGCAAAAGGCAAAGTTCCCTTTTGTCCAAAGTACCCAGAGTTGGCGTTTTGCCCAGTTTTCTGGCAGTATCTCAAGCCCCTTCCTGAACAACGGCTGCCACCTTGTGGCTTTCACCTGTTACTGGCTAATTGGGCCTAATCTCTTTCCTTGTAAGGAAGAGAGATTTGCTAAAACGATGCTTTTGAATTCTGGTGCTGGAGGAGACTCTTGAGAGTCCCATGGACTGCAAGAAGATCAAACCTCTCCATTCTGAAGGAAATCAGCCCTGAGTGCTCACTGGAAGGACAGACCCTGAAGCTGAGACTCCAGTACTTTGGCCACCTCATGAGAAGAGAAGACTCCCTGGAAAAGACCCTGATGTTGGGAAAGATGGAGGGCACAAGGAGAAGGGGACGACAGAGGTCGAGGTGGTGGGACAGTGTTCTCGAAGCTACCAGCATGATTTTGACCAAACTGCGGGAGGCAGTGGAAGACAGGAGTGCCTGGCGTGCTCTGGTCCATGGGTCACGAAGAGTCGGACACGACTAAACGACTAAACAACAACAACAGGGTCACAATCACACCATACAGAATTCCGGGAGCTGTAGTTTGTTAAAGGCGCTGTAGTTTGTTGGGGGGCCTCTTCCCCTCCTAGAGCTGCAATTAGCAAAGTGGTTTAACGATCAACCCCTCTTCCTAAGGGACTCTGGGAACTGTAGCTCTGTGAGGGGAATGAGGGGTCTCCAAGCTGCTCTCAGCACCCTTAACAAACTACAGTTCCCAGAATTATTGGGGGGGGGGGGGGAAGAGAGCCATGACAGTTTAAAGTATCATAGCGCTTTAAATGTATAGCACGAATGTGGCCTGAATTCTACTCAAAGTTAAACCCATTGGAATCAACGGACCTTAGTCATGTTCATTTTTTTAAGTGGATTTACTCAGTGGGGCACTAATATTGGTTATAACCCTGACTCTGAGGCTCAGCTTTCAATTAAATTTGTGTGTTGTGTGTCACTAAAAAGTCCTGAATTGATTTACAGTGGTACCTCAGGTTACATACGCTTCAGGTTACAGACTCCACTAACCCAGAAATAGTACCTTGGGTTAAGAACTTTGCTTCAGGATGAGAACAGAAATCGTGCTCCGGCGGCACGGCAGCAGCAGGAGGCCCCATTAGCTAAAGTGGTGCTTCAGGTTAAGAACAGTTTCAGGTTAAGAACGGACCTCCAGAATGAATTAAGTACTTAACCCGAAGTACCACTGTACAAGCAAGTAAAAAAGAATAATGCAGAAATTTAAAAAGATCTAACGGTAGAATTGTGGCAGCCCCTAAATTGTGGAATTCCCTCCTCCAAGTGGTGTGTTTTGCATCATTATATAGTCTCCCTCACATGCTGAAAGCACACATTCTTTACCCTCCCTAGACTTGGATATCTAAGATTTAGATTTTCTTTGCAATTGTTTTAAGCTCTGGACTGTAACTCTGGGACCTTAAAGCAAAAGGTGGGTAAGAAATCAGATAACTGATAATTTCAGGTGCACTATTTGAATGTCTAGAGCAGGCGTCGGCAAGGCTTACTGGGCATGAACCGGATCACTCCTGCGGAGAACTTCCATGGGCCGGACTAGTGCAGCGTGACGCCAGAAATCACATCTGCGCATGTCTGTGGCGCCGGAAATCACTTCTGCGCTGAAAATACTCAGAGTTGAGTGTGGATTTCATGCTCTTTATTCAGCTCATAGTAGTGAGGAATGAAATTCCCCCAAAATATCTGCTTTATATACATTATTTACACAATGGGCTGCACCTGATTGGCTAATTCCTGGATTCTCCTGTAGGCCTATCAGGTTGCGGATTCACTTCCACCTGGAGCTGGATTGGGTGGCTCCTGCCGACCAATCATACTGCTGCATTGTTCTAGGACAAATCAGACTGCTGCATTTTGGATCCTATTGTTCTAGGACCAATCAGACTGCTGCATTTGGATCCTATTCAGCTCAGTACATAACACGCACAGAAGCGATTTCCGGAGCCACGGAAGAGTCCCTGCGTGCCGGTTTAGCGCAGCGTGGGGGGACTCGCCAAGAAGGCGGCTCAGTTTGGGGGCAGCTCATGGGCTGCTTCCGGCCCATGGGCCTTAGGTTGCCAACCTCTGGTCTAGAGCAGGGTTCCGAAGGCCAGTCTTGGCCTTCCAGGACACCCCGTTTGGCCCACAAGGCATTTCTCCCCAAATTACACCCACCCACCAGCCGATGTCAGCTGAGGACAGGGTGGAATCTAGCAGGAAACAGGCTGGCTCAGAAGAGGCAGCAGACATTATTATTTTAAAAATTGTGTACTGCTCATCTAGGGTCACAGAGTGGTTCGTATCACAATAATAGAAAATGAGAATGCAAAGTACATAATAAAACAGAAACAATCTGCAAGCACAGTTAAAAGGCCATAGCATGTTAATCAGCCAAAGGTCTGGTTAGAGAGAAACGTTTACGCCTGGCGCCTAAAGATATGTAATGAAGACGCCAGATGAGCCCCTCTGGGGACAGTTAAAAGCGAAACTAAACTCTGCAAAACTCCCCGTCCTGGTCTTATGGGGATACCTGGTGCATTGGTCCTCAGCATCCCAAGGATCACAGATTTAATCCCTACTTGTCAGCTGATTAACGGGGGTTAAATCCTGCTCAGCCCAGCATTCCTCTTTGAGCTAGGGAGGCTCAGGCAGGAGCCTGACAAGGCTGCCAGGAAGCCCTTTGGTGAAAGCGCTTCCAAGCAGTTTGGCATTCCTGATTGACCCTCCGAAAACAGCAGCTGCGGGGCTTTGCGAGAGCCCTTTGCAAAAGCGCTTTCAAGCAGCCCGGCGTTCCGCTCTGAGCCTCGGTTCTCAGAGCTTCAGGCGGGAGCAGTGGGTGAATGAGTTCTGCAGCCAAGCAACACCCAGAGACCCACAAGTGCCCCACCCCAGCTATAAACCTGCGCCTGTGATTCCTGCAGTGCTTTGCCCCCAAGTCACAGCCCTTTGTGCAGAAAGCCTATAAGTCCCAGGCTGTATCCAAAGCACAGATAAATAATAGATTGGTGCCAGCCTTGTGGCAGCAGATATAGCCTTTCGCCAAATCACAGAGGTGGAAGGGTCTCAAAGGCCTAGCCTTGTTGGCCAACACAGGAAATCCTCTGCAAGGCGCGCCTTCTGCTTAAAAAACTCAGTGAAGAACACCATCACCTTCCAACACAGTCTGGGTGGAGAGGGACATTTATGTGCACTTCTGTTCTCCAGTATACACCAGTTTCGGATACATCCATGCCATACATTTAAAGCACACAGCTTCCCCCCACCCAAGAATCCTGGGAGCTATAGTTTGTTGAGGATGCTGGGAATTGGAACTCTCTGAGGGGTGAACTACAGTTCTCTCTCGCCACAGTCATAATGGATGTTGACCTTTCATACACTGGCGAACTACAACTCCCATCAGCCCCAAAAAGCATGGCCAATGGCCAGGGTTGATAGGAGTTGTAGTTCGGGAATAACTGAAAGGCCAAAGGTTCCCCGCCCTTAGTGGGTTGATTGTACCAGTTGTAATCAGCTTAATTAGTCAGTGAAATCTGCACGTATTCACAGCAAAATGAACACAGAAGTCCCCCCCTTCTACTGTTTGGTAGCAGTAGATTCAGGACCGACAAAGCGGTTGCTTCACACACAACCCCCCCAAAATTAACTTGCAGAACTGCCTGCCACATGAAACTGGTGGTGGGTGCTAGCATGGGCATCTTTTGAAGGGGATTAGGCAAATTCATGGACTACAGGTGTGCTGATGGCTGTTATCCACGATAGCTAGCTAGAGTAACTTCCATGTTTAGACGCAGTGTACCTCTGAATTGTCTGTAGGACGAGGGTGGCGCTGTGGGTTAAACCACAGAGCCTAGCACTTGCCGATCAGAAGGTTGGCGGTTCGAATCCCCGCGACGGGGTGAGCTCCCATTGCTCGGTCCCTGCTCCTGCCAACCTAGCAGTTCGAAAGCACATCAAAGTGCAAGTAGATAAATAGGTACTGCTCCTGCGGGAAGGTAAACAGCATTTCCGTGCACTGCTCTGGTTCGCCAGAAGCGGCTTAGTCATGCTGGCCACATGACCCGGAAGCTGTACACCGGCTCCCTTGGCCAATAAAGCGAGATGAGCGCCTCAACCCCAGAGTCGGTCACGACTGGACCTAATGGTCAGGGGTCCCTTTTTACCTCTGAATTTCAGTTTCAGGGGTGCAACAGCAGGGGAGGACCCCGCTTGTGTGCATCCCGGAGGCATCCGATCTGCCCCAGTGAAAAGAAAAATGCAACCTTTGATCTAGCAGGACCCTGATATGAACAAAAAACAGGCACCCTCTTAGAAGACACATTATTTTAAGACAGACACTGCTATTCACAGCTCTTTCAAACATTTGCATTCAAAACAATTCACACTTTTCTTTTCTTTTAAATCAGATGCTAAGTTTGTCAACTATCATAGCTATCTGTACTGTTCCTGTAAGGGTTGCGATGTTTGTATCTATATATTTTTGTTTGTGCTGAGAATTGAAACCATGAAAATAGAAATAAAAAACAGCTGCTTGGTTAATCCAGGGCATCCCCCCCCCTTTAATCGATCCAAATGACAATCAATCAATCAATCAATCAATCAATCAGATTGAAGGAATAAACTGAATAATGGAATAAGCTAGCTTCACTGACTGTCTGGGAAAGTCCTGATTTGGGGAGTCTCAGGAGAGAGAACTGGAGGTTTTTCCCCAATGTAAATGAGACTCGCCATCCTGTTTCACACCCAGCAGAAAATTCCCATAGAAAAATTTGTTGGGGATGCAAAAGGAAAGCAGAGGGGGTGTCAGCTGCTGAACAAAAGGCAGATTAAAATATGCATATGTGCAAATGAGATTAAACCAGGCTGGTAGGTGCCTGAAAGGGATCAGAGGCATTAAGCCCAATATTCAGGGAGATTAGAAGAGATGAAAGCACGCAGATGTATAGATTAGGCTGCCTTACGCCGGATCCCTTGATTAAACTGATTAAAATAGGTCAGCACTATTAAAATAGACTTGGGAGGATTAGAAGGGGGCTATTGATAGATATTGTTTTTAACAACAACAACAAAAAAAACACACCCAGGACGAAGCCATTCCTGGGCAAGTCGATCTGACTTCCTGAAACAGCTACGAAAATTGCACTGAAACATTCCTCTCTGGGAAAATGTCCAGCCAGTTCCTTGCATCCTGGAGCAGCCCTGTTTCTGCAAGGGAGAAGGGGTGCCTTTGGGCTCTTTGCTCCGAGAAAGAAAATGGCAAGCAAAGTGGGTGCATTTTCCTGGACTTACCTCAGCCATCCAAGCAGTGTTTGTCGTACTCCTTCAGGATACCGTGGGGACGCGGGCGGTTCCTTGGTCTTGCCGAACGGCTGTGTGGCCTAGTTTTCCCTCACCGGTGCTGCCATCTTTACCTCCACCTGCTGAGAGTCAACAATGAGGTCCCTTCCCACGAAGGACAGGCCTTCTCCTGCTTTCTCCACTCTCTCAGGTTGCAGGGAATTGGACTAGATGACTTGTGGGGTCCCTTCCAACTCTATGATTGTTGTTACGGGACTTATGGTCTCTGTGTGTGGTTTGGGAGCTGCACGGTCAGGGGAAAAACAATGCTGTCCAGGGTTGTAAAGACTGCGGAGAGAATAATTGGGTGCACTCTTCCCACCTTGGATCAAATCTATGCTTCCAGGTGCCATAAGAAAGCTGCAGAGATAGCGCTGGATAGTGCGCACCCCGGAAATGATCTCTTTCAGCTTCTGCCTTCTGGAAGAAGGGACAGGGTTATAAAGACTAGGACTAGCCGCCTGAGAAACAGTTTCTACCCAAATGCGATCTTGGTTTTAAACACATTGTAAGGAGCCTAGGAGGATGCGGATGGCGGGAGCCTAGGACTTGCCGATCAGAAGGTTGGTGGTTTGAATCCCCGCGACAGGGTGAGCTCCCGTCGCTCGGTCCCTGCTCCTGCCAACCTAGCAGTTTGAAAGCACATCAAAGTGCAAGTAGATAAACAGGCACCACTCCAGCGGGAAGGTAAACGGCGTTTCCGTGCGCTGCTCTGGTTCACCAGAAGCGGCTTAGTCATGCTGGCCACATGACCTGGAAGCTGTATGCCGGCTCCCTCGACCAATAAAGCGAGATGAGCGCCGCAACCCCAGAGTTGGCCATGACTGGACCTAATGGTCAGGGGTCCCTTTACCTTTAAGGAGCCTAGGACTTGCCGATCAGAAGATCGGCGGTTTAAATCCCTGCAACAGGGTGAGCTCCTGTTGCTTGGTCCCTGCTCCTGCCAACCTAGCAGTTTGAAAGCACATCAAAGTACAAGTAGATAAATAGGTACCACTCTGGTGGGAAGGTAAACGGCATTTCCATGCGCTGCTCTGGTTCACCAGAAGCAGCTTAGTCATGCTGGCCACGTGACCCGGAAGCTGTACGCCGGCTCCCTCGGCCAATAAAGCGAGATGAGCGTCACAACCTCAGAGTCGGCCACGACTGGACCTAATGGTCAGGGGTCCCTTTACTTTTACCTTTAAGGAGTCTGTATGGGAGTATATTGTATTTAAAAATGGGGTATCAGAGTTTTTAGGGGGCTCACCAGGTTGGGACAGCTGGGATAGCAGGCTTGTTGGTTTTTGAATGTCTGATGTAGATTTTTCAATTTCGTTGTTCTGTATGGGACAATGACAATAAAGGTTATCATATCATCGTATCGTATCGTACCCAGTGGGAGGGAGCTTTCGGGGAACTCCCTGTTCAAAACTGCCTCCAAGCAGCTCCCCAGGAAGACACCTTGGTTATAAATGCAGACATCATTAACTTCAGGCAGAAAGATAACAGCCTAATCACAACACACGTTTAATGTCCACTTAAAAGTGCATTAAAACATTGATCAGCACCAACAGGATAATGAATCTGAATTTCCCAGCACCATCTTCTTAACCGGCGTTGTTGCTCTCTTAAAGTGCCTATAGACAACTGGGAATGGAGCTATTTTCCTGGCCCGTGTGATAAACTGCTCTGTGTAGCTCCAAAGCTTGCCTCTCTTGCAAGCTTCATACACCCACTCTTCTTTCTCTCTGTGTCTCTCTCCCCAGCAAGCTGAGCATCTTGTGGGGAATGGAAAATAAAGGGAGCCCAAAATATTCCCTCTTTGCACCGAAATGCCTCTTTTCCCCAATAGAAAATCTCTACGCCGTGGTCCAAGATGAATGCTACTGAGTAAGTTCAATACAGATATATTGTCAAAAGAACTGGTCTTGTGTATGGTCTCGGCAGCTCAAATAGTCATTGCAATTCAACGGAAAACAACCCAGAATCTTACCACTCTGGAATATAGCAATAATGGAGAAAACGACTCATAATTTGAGATTTCGACAGGACACTTTTTATATCATTTGGCATTCCTTTATTGCACATGCAGAGGCACCATAATTTTCAAGACAAACCTCATCACAAGCCCAGAAAAATTGGAATTACGCTTGACAATCAAATCATGCCGATATTCTTTACTTGCATTTCCCCCAAATTTGACCCATGCACAACTCATTCTACCCTGCTTTATAGTTTTGCCTCTCATCTTTTGATTTCCATCTACGGTTTTGTATATGTTACACAAGGAAATAAAAACACATTTACAGAAAAAGGAAATCTCTGCGCCTCCCCAGCCCAGCCCAGCCCAAATGTACAGCTTGATACATTTCTAGTATGCAAAAGTACCTGGTGGTCTGAGGGCTCCAGAACTCAATATCCTGTTGCCTCTTCTTGCTTGGGATTAATCTGACAGAGGAGGGGATGCTGCCCTGGCTGGCGAGGGGAGGGTCTTAGGTCGTGGGGAGGGAGGGGCAGGAGACAGCTGTGAGCTGGAAGAAAAGTGGGGAACAATGTACTTGTCAGTCCTCTGCCTATTAATCTGCACCAGCTCCGAACTGGTTCAGCCCCATGGAATCCTATGACTCCCATCTTGTTTTGTCAGTTTATTTATTTCTCTACAAAATACAGTACTTACTTTGCACATAAATAATAACCCGTGCTCTGTACTTTTGCTTTTTATAGGGTTTTTTAAACATATCATTTCCAACAATCATTGAACATTAATTTCTCTATTACTTTTAATTATCATTAACTAATAACTCTCTTCATAGTCTTTCTTGCAATATTTCGAGTAGTCCTCCTTACAGAACTTCTTGCAGTCCTACTAGCGTAATCTGTTAATTACAATTGCTTTTCAAATAGTTCAAATATTTATTCCAGTCTTCTAAGAATCTCTGGTCCCGCAGGTTTTGAATCCTTCCTGTTAATTTATCTCATTCTGCATAGTCCATTAATTTCACCCGCCATTCTTCTTTCGTCGGTAATTCTTCTTGCTTCCATTTTTGTGCCAATAATATTCTTGCTGCCGTCATTGCATATAAAAACAACTTAAAACATGCTCTGCACTTTTGCAACAAAGATGGAGCAAGCTTGTTTTCTCCCGCTCCGGAGGGCAGGACTCAAACCAACACCTTCAAATGGCAAGAAAGGAGATTCTGACTCAACATCAGGAAGAACTTTCGGGTGGCAAGAGCTGTTCAACCCTTGGGAAGTGTTGGACTCTGCTTCCTTGTAGGGTTTTGTTTTGTTTTTGTATATAATTTTGATTAAGTTTTCTGTATTACAACTTAAGATACTCGTTTTACCTCCTTAAGTTATCAGTGACTTCCCTTCTTCTCTTTCCATGGTTCATTTTACATATCATAAATCCTGGCATGTTTTACAAAAACCATACCTTTCAGTATTCCATTATTGCATCCATCAAAACTGTTGAATTTACCATATCTTAATACTACCAGTGTTTTCAGCTGTACACAGTTATTTCCCATATATTCAATAAACATTTTCCAATCTTCTCTAAACGTATGTTCTTCCTGTTCTCTCATTCCAAATGTTAAGTCTGCAAGCTGTGTACATTCTGCCAACTTAAGTTGCCATTCTTCTTTAGTTGGGACCTCACTCGTTTTCCAATTTTGGGCTAACAAAACATGGGCCGCAGTAGTGGCATACATAAATAACCTTTTTTTGACAGCTGGGGATTTCAGTCTGAGTTATCCCCAACAGACAGAACTCTGGTTGTTCTTTTTAAAGTACTTTAAAACATTTTTTTCAATTCGTTATGGATCATTTCCCAATACTCTTTTACCCTTTTGCAAGTTCTCCTTCAAAGAACAACACGCTGTAAACTTCAAGTCACTTTTCCAACGTTTCCCCCAGAGGTTAACCTTCCTTGGAGGTTTCTAAGCAGAGGCCGGGTGGCCATCTGCCATGGGCGCTTTAGCTGAGATTCCTGAATTACAGGGGGTTGGATTAGACCAGGGGTCAGTCAACTTACTGTGCCTCGGGCTGGTGTCTCCAGCCTTGATCGCACGGCGGGCCGGAAGGCGGGGAAACGTGTGCCCATACATGTGCGCACACGCTATTTCTGGCACACTTCCGGGTCGGAGGAGCACCGGAAATAGCTTGTGCGCATGTGCACGGGCCTCCTCTGACCCGGATGTGCACCGGAAATAACGCTTGCGTATGCGCAAATAACGCTTGCACATGAGCACAAGCTATTTCCGGTGCTCCTCCAACCTGGAAGTGGGCAGCGGCGCAGCGCAGCACTGGTGAGAGCGGGCGGCGGCAGCGGGTGGCGGGGGTCACCACGGGCCAGATAAACGAGTCCCTCGGGCCTTATCCGGCCCACGGGCCTTAGTTTGGGGACCCCTGGATTAGACGACTCTTGGGGTCCCTTCCAAGTCTGTGAGTCTATGAACAGAAAGTGGCTTACCTGCAGACGGAGTGCTTACTGGCTGGAAAGGGCAGCAAGGTGAAAAGTGCGGAGACCCCCCCCCATTTACAAAATTCATAACCTGAACTCGTGCCCACTTAGTTTCCTCCTTCCTAAGACATATTATTCTCTCTTCCTCCCCTCTATGTGTGGCTCCTTCATCAGGAACGTGTTCTTAAGTGCCCTTTGCTATATCTTGCGGTGTCCTGGGCCCCAGGGGCATCTGCCGGAGCTCTCTAGGCGGCAAGTCTGGCGCATTCAATACCTATAGTTGCAAAGGTTCGAAATGATTTGTGTTTGCCTCGCCCAGCCGTGCCATGATGTTCTCAGAGTCTTTGCGTCTAGCAGGTGCTCTAAATCTGAGAATTAAAACAAGGGCAACCCAACCCCCCCTCCTCCACTCCTCCCTCTGAAAGACAGTTGTCTCTCTCTTGCCCAGCCCCCTGCTGACCCTCGTCTCTTGTGGGTTTGGGGCCTGGCTTAGAAGGCGTCAGGCAAGCTGATGCGAGGGATGAGAGGAAAACCAGAAGAGCCCAGCTGGATCAGAAACCCATGACCCATCGAGACCAGGATCCCGTTCTCACTGACTAGATTAAGGTTGCCAGACGTCCCCGTTTCCCGAGGACAGTCCCCGGATTTACAAATCAGTCCCCTGACAAAATCCATCTATTTAGTAGGAAGTTGAAAAGTGTCCCAGGATTCACTGAAAAAAATCAGGTAACCTTAGACTAGATGCCCACAGGAAACCTGCAAGTGGGACCCGGGCACAAGAGCATTTTAAAATTTGTAATTAAATTTGTATACCACCCTATACCCGCAGGTCTCAGGGGTTCACAAGATAGAATCGCAACAGCATAAAACGCATAATAAAAACAAGAACAAGAACAATCCAACAATCCCACACCTACCCAACACATTTTAAAAGGGCGTTGGTTGGATGTTAATCAGCCAAAGGACTGGTTAAAGAGGAACGTTTTTTGCCTGGCACCTAAAGGCATATAATTTTCACTTTCTGGGGTTTCCAGCAACTGGTATTCAGAACCATTGCTGCCTCTGACCATGGATATTCAATAAACACACGAGACGTAATCGGCTGTGTTCCTAGATAAATAAGGTATACTATTCATTGCATCAAACTGAAGTAACTCATAAAGTTCAACAAACGAACAAAGCAGAAGACCCAGTGGATCAGATCATTCTTCAGTCAGTTCATGCATAAGGTCCATCCATGTGATGGTGTCTATTCCATCTGTCTGGGTCCACTTTGCCTTATTTATCTAGGAACACAGCTGGTTACGTCTGTGTTCCTAGATAAATAATAGTGCCCCACCTATATGACCGAGTTGCCCCAGCCACTCTGGGCGGCTTCCAACATATATAAAAACGTAATAAAACATTAGACATTTTAAAAAACCAAAACCCTTCCCTATACAGGGCTGCCTTCAGATGTCTTCTAAAACTTGTCTAGTTACTTATCTCCTTGACTTGCAGGGGTCGCCTAACTCCATACCTTCCAACATTTCTCCGGTGAAAATAGAGACGTCCAAAGGAAAAGCAGGTCATTCTTGGATCAAATGAGAAACTGGAACAGCTTCTTTAAATCTGGGGCTGTCCCTGGAAATTAGGGGCACTTGGAGGGTCTGGTAAAAGAGATCAGCAGAACAGGGATAAAGGTGGGATGTTGGAAGGCCCAGGCCCAACCTGAGAAACCCTGATGTATCTCTGTGTGGGGCTATTTTTTTGTGGGTGGTGAGGATACTTGTCAGGGCTTGAGGATGGTTGTGGGGCACCGCTAGAGCAGGAAGAGGCAAGTATGGGGCAACTGAGCCTTCTGGTTCAGAGATAAGAGCTTGCCTCAGCCAAGCAAAGGAACGGAGTTCATGAGGTTGGGGGGCTGAAGGCCAGATTGGAGGAACAGAAGAGGGACCCGAGTTGTGGGTTTGGGGGCTCGGGACAGAAGGGACCAGCAGAGACGGCTCTTGTTGTTGTTGTTTAGTCGTGTCCGACTCTTCGTGACCCCCTGGACCAGAGCACGCCAGGCACTCCTGTCTTCCACTGCCTCCCGCAGTTTGGTCAGACTCATGTTTGTAGCTTCGAGAACACTGTCCACCATCTCGTCCTCTGTCGTCCCCTTCTTCTTGTGCCCTCCATCTTTCCCAACATCAGGGTCTTTTCCAGGGAGTCTTCTCTTCTCATGAGGTGGCCAAAGCCTCAGCTTCAGGATCTGTCCTTCCAGTGAGCACTCAGGGCTGATTTCCTTCTGAATGGATAGGTTTGATCTTCTTGCAGTCCATGGGACTCTCAAGAGTCTCCTCCAGCACCATAATTCAAAAGCATCCATTCTTCGGCGATCAGCCTTCTTTATGGTCCAGCTCTCACTTCCATACATCACTACTGGGAAAACCATAGCTTTTACTATACAGACCTTTGTTGGCAAGGTGATGTCTCTGCTTTTTAGAGACGGCTCGGTGAGAGCTAATTCCCCATAGCAGGGGACGGGGCACAGTTTTGGCGGCAGTGAAGTCAACTCAACCCAAATTCTGTTGCAGATGACATTAGGCTTGGGTTGCGCAGTTGCATCTCTGCACCGACACCCTCTTTGTGCGTGTGTGCCCCCCCCTCCAAATCCCCGGAATCTCACACCTCTTCCTGGATAACAGTTGCACTCTTGTTTGGGTATCACCACTTTATACCAACTAAGTGGACATTATGTTCAGGGAACCGGGCCAGATTCAATTCCTCCAGCCTCTCTCCTGCGGATGCTTTTTCGCTAGCGCAGGAGGAGAGACAAAGGCCTCAAGATAATTAACTCTTCTCCCCCCCCCCCCCGCCCACTGCAGCCACCCACCCCGTAAGCTATCCCCTTCTTCTTTTTGTCTCGATATAAAAAGACCAGGATTCCAGAAAGCGAGCCAAGGCTGGGAACCTGTCAACAGCAGCTGGGTGTGAAGAGAGATATTTGCCAGAGACAGGGAATGTAGCACTCCCAGATACCGACAGCAAGGATCCCAGCCTCCGACCCCTTTCTCCCCACATCCAACCCCCAACTGACGTGCGGCTCTCTCAGTTTCAAACCCCCCCAAAACCCCCAAATATCCCAACTAAAAGAGACAGACGTCGGCAGACAGCTATGACTTTGCTAGAGCGACATCCCTGCGAGGGAGAGAAGGTTACGACATTTGGGACTTTCCTTTCCTTTTTATGTTTTTATTCATACTTTCCCAAGTTTATACATTTCATTAGTTTCACAATTGATTTAACATTTCGCAGTTGGACTTCCTTCCCCCTCTTCCCGCAGATCCTTAATTTTAATTTTTAAAAAATATTTCCTGCATATCCAAATTCATTAAATTTGCTCATTTAATTATCTGCTTACAATATATACTTTTATGAATCTGCAGGTTATTACAATAACCCTGCCAATGTTTTTATCTGTTTACAATTTTTTCTGTAAATATTCAATAAACCATTTCCATTCTTTTATAAAACGTTTGTTATCTTGATTTCTTATTCTTCCGGTAAGTTTCACCATTTCCACATATTCCATAAGTTTTTGTATCCATTCTTCCTTTGCTGGGACTTCTGTTATTTCCATTTTGGGGCACGTAGCATTCTTGCTACTGTAGTAGCATACAGTACATGAATAAATTTCTATAGAATTTAGGTAGTTCTGTCCCTATAATTTCCAAAAGAAAAGCTTCTGGGGTTTTTTTTTTTGTGTGTGTGTGTTTTTTACAAAAGTTATTTTGGGCTTTCCTGTTGGAAAATGTTAGATGTTTTACTGTGTTAGATGTTTAATGTTAGATGTTTTGATTTGTTCGAAGCTGCCCAGAGTGGCTGGGGCGACCCAGTCAGATGAGCAGCATAAAAATAAAATATGAAATGAAATGAAATTCCTCTCTCACAATATTAGAGCTTGGTGGCATCCAGCAAAGCTAAATTTTGGAAGATTCAGGACAGGTGGAAGGAAAACTACGCAGCGCGTAACTGTGGAACTCCCTCCTGCAGGAGGTAGAGATGGCTACAAACTTGGATGGCTTTAAAATAGGATCGGACATAAAGAATGTTAGAGTGATGTTGGATTGAAAACAAGTGGCTTCCAGCTGTACAGGATTTAAAGTTATAGATAGATTAAGATTAAGGATTAGGATTAAAAAAGTTTAAGGAAATGGAAACTTGGTTTTTAAGAGGTAAAATTTTAATGTTATATTATATTAAGATTAAAGATTGGGATTAAAAAAGAGGGAAAGAAATTGCTGGACAAACAATTTGAACTGGAATACAAAAGAGGGAGGTATGAGGAGGTCCAGAAAATAAGTAAACTTAAAAATGGAGATGAAAAGGTGATATTGTTTTTAACTGTTTCTTTTTTCTTCTTCTTTTTTTTCTTTTGTTTTTTGTTCTTTTTGTTCTTTTTTGGATTATGTATTGTGTATTTTTGAATTGTGTATTTCTTTTCTATGTTTTCATGTTTAATCTTTTATTGATGTGTTCTTTTTATTGGAAAATTTAATAAATATCTTTTAAATTAAAATAGGACCGGACAAATTCATGGAGGAGAGGACTATGGTCAGAGGCAGCAACACTTCTGAATGCCAGTTGTGCTGGAAACCACAGGAGGGGAGAAGGATCTTGTGTTCAAATCCTGCTGGCGGGTTTCCAATAGGCATGTGGTTAGCCACTGTGAGAAGAAGAGGCTGGGCTAGATGGCCCCAGAGAAGGCTCTTCCCGCGTTGTTGTGTCTTTCTCACATTCCTCTCACGCACCTGTCCAGACAGACCACAGAAGCGGCCTGTAGGTCTCCGGTAGGGATGTCAGGGGGTTGGGGAGAAATTCAAACTGCCCACTCCACACTTCCCAGAGCAATTCATTAAACAAAACCGCAGCTCTCATTCGAAATGGATTTTGCAATGTTGTTCTCCAGCTGAAAAAAGAGTGAAGAAATGTGAAACAGTGTGCATAAAAATGCAAACGTTTCCCTGTTTAATTTTTAAGCAGATTCCCTTCCCTTCCCACTCCCGGAACTTGCAACACAAGGAGACAAAGCAAAACTTGGTCATCTGTTTCTGAAAACAACATGCAAGCATGCATTGTATTGGGGAAACTTGATTTTAAAAAGAAAAGAAAAAAGTGTATCCCCCACAGTGGTGCATCCTGCACTGTCATTCTACAACTTCTGGAGGATTCTGAAAACACACTTTATCCTGGTTTTTAACCCTTGAGGTGCATATTTTTGGGACCCAACCGATTGTTGTGACTGCGAGTTGTTTTTAAAACTGTTTTCAACAGTTTTCTTGAACCCCAGTTGATGGAAACCACAGGCAAACAGTGTGCTGTTGTGCTCAGGTCCTGCTTGTGGGTATCCCCAAGCATCTCTATAGGCTTCTTTTCTTCTACTTCTTCTTCTCTGGCGATCACTCGTAGCCGAGTAAGATTGTCTTCCATGAACACAGTCTTAACAGTGAGTCCGTAAGTGACTGTGGAGGCCAATTCTGGATCCACATGTCCTTCCACAGTGGGGATGTAGGTTTTCAGATGATAGTTGATCATGGTGAAGGTTTGCCAAATGTGCCTTCCTCCTAGCATGTTTCTGCCTTGCATCCTGAGTTCAAGTGTCTTCAAAGCCCATGACACCTTTGGCTGTTCTCCAACTGGAGCGCTCGCAAGCCAGTGTTTCCCAATTGTTGGTTTTATACTACATTTTTTTTAGATTTGCCTTGAGAGTTTTTAAACCTCTTTTATTGACCATCAGCGTTACACTTCCCCTTTTTAAGTTCGGAATATAGTAGTTGCTTTGGAAGACGATATTCAGGCATCCGCACAACATGACCAGTCCAGCGAAGTTGATGTTGAAGAATCATTGCTTTGACACTGGTGATCTTTGCTTCTTCCAGTACACTGGTATTAGTTCGCCTGCCTTCCCAAGTGATATGTAAAATTTTTCGGAGACACCATTGATGGAATCTTTCGAGGAGTTGGAGATGGCGTTTATAAGTGGTCCATGTTTCACAAGCATACAGGAAGGTTGGTAGTACAATAGCTTTGTAAACAAGCATTTTGGTTTCCCTGCGAATGTCCCAGTCGCTATGTCTAGATGGGCCATAATTAACTCTTCCTGCAGGCTCTCCTTATATAGGGTTGCCATATTTCAAAAAGTGAAAATATAGACACAAAAGTTATTAAGTTGTTGAGCTTTATTTGCAAGGGCTGAATACCAGCTATGTCTGGGAAATTCCAGACGTATGGCAACCCTATCGTATGCCATTATTTATTGCTTTGCTAGTCGCTTTGTTTATTGTACCTGCAATTCTGCTGCAATTTACTCCGGGATTACTCCTAATAGCCAATTTTTTTTGGGGGGGATGATAGTTACTAAAGACACAGAGGTGCAAAGTCTCTCTGTATGTTCAGCAGAACCCCAAGCTTGGCCAAAGTTTGTAATATTTAAAAAAATCAACAGGCCGGCATAGTTGGCACTTGGGTGATACAGAAAATGAGCAGAAAATGGGAACCAACAGCATCTTGTTCTCACTCAAAGTAATGACGGTGACTTTGGTCTGAGTCATTTGCTGTCTTCTTGTGAAAACCATGTGGCTTCATGTTGTATTGGTAAAATGGGGGGCTGGGTGTTCCAGATAACATGATCCTTTCCTGCCCTTACCCCAAGGGACAAAAGAATGCAAGAGTGCGAACGAACTGCATTATCCCACTCATTGGAACTCCCTGCCTGTTGACAACAGAAATTCACTTTCACTGCGCTCTTTTTGTGCTCTGCTTAAAAACGCTGTTGTTTTAGGCAAGACTATCCATTGTAGTCCATTTCGGGATGCGGGTGGTGCTGTGGTCTAAGCCACTGAGCCTCTTGGGCTTGCCAGTCAGAAGGTTGGCGGTTCGAATCCCCACGACGGAGTGAGCTCCCGTTGCTCTGCCCCAGCTCCTGCCAACCTAGCAGTTCGAAAGCATGCCAACTAGATAAATAGGTACGGCTACGGCGGGAAGGTAAACAATGTTTCTGTGTGCTCTGGTTTCCATCACGGTGTCCCGTTGCGCCATAAGCAGTTTAGTCCTGCTGGCCATATGACCCAGAAAGCTGTGTGTGGACAAATGCCGGCTCTCTCAGCCGAGAGAGCCGATGATGAGTGCCGAGATGAGTGCCGCAACCCCATAGTCACCTTTGACTGGACTTAACCATCCAGGGGTCCTTTACCTTTTACCCATCCATTGTAGTGAACGATGGTATAACAGAACAAAGAACACTAGCCTGAGGTACAAGACAAGGATGCCCTCTTTCCCCAATTTTACTTGTATTGGGCATTGATTCTCTGGCCAATATAATTAGAGAAGATGGAAATACAAAAGGGAAAAGGAAAAATGGAAAACAGAAAATAAGCTTACTTGCATATGACACCTTGCTAACAACCGAAAATCTGTTGGAAAATACGCAGGTAATAAAGGCACCTTTGGAAAGAAAGAAAAAAGTCTATCTGGACATGTAGTGTGTTGACACATGCTTTAGTATTATCTTTAGCGCATCGTTGATTTCAATTATATTTTCTGAATGTTTCAAATAGTTGCCTTAAACTCCACCCCCCCATTGCTTTATTCTTTCTGTAAACCACCCTGAGGTTTCGTTATAATCAAACCGTCCATAGTTCTTGCAAAATAAATAAATAAAAGCAAATACTCACTGGATCTGTATGTTACCAATGCAGTGTGCAACCAGACTGGGGGCAGTTCATCATGGGACCTCTGAGCATGTGCCGTGTGCCGTTCCCTCGCATCAGAGTCTCAAGGGCCATCTGACAAAGTGCCTGGCCATCATAGGACAAAAATTCTGCATCAGGGAGTCACAACTTCTACAATTTTAAAAGGAGAAAGATTTATTCAATCTGAGAAGAAGCCAGAATATCTGTTTTAAGCCCAGGATATGCCCCATATGGCTTCTTTCAGTCTAAGTCAGGCATCCCCAAACTCAGCCCTCCAGATATTTTGGGACTACAACTCCCATCACCCCTAGCTAACAGGACCAGTGGTCAGGGATGATGGGGATTGTAGTCCCAAAACATCTGGAGGGCCAAGTTTGGGGTGCCTGGTCTAAGTTGTGTGTATTAATTTTGCCTTTTAATGCTCCGAATCGCACTGAGATCTTCAGATGAGGGGCAGTATAACAATAAATAAAGTTATCCACCAGGAAGAGATGAATCTTGTGTACAGAAGGAACGAAGCAGAATAGACTGCAGTTTAATCGTAAATAAATTCAATGACAAATTATTCTGCTCCTACAAGCTTTGCAGGATGGTTAAGGCCCACCTACCGGCCACAAGAAGATCTTCCTTGCCACCTCCTTTAACCGTGCCAGCGATGAGGACTAGAATCTTGCGGCAAAAGCAGATTCGGCCGTGGCAGAGGCACCACCACAGTTCCGCGGGATATACAAAGGGCTGCGGATGCGTCAGAACGAAATCGAGCCCTGCAATCTCGCGCTCCACCTGCCTTTGTCCTGCCGTGAGGCACCCGTCCCACTCAGCACCCCAGTCCAGCTGCTGCCATCCACCCCCACCTAAAAAGCATCTTAGCCCTCACTTCCCTGGGCCTTTTGGGCTCCCCCCTCCCCATCAGCCATTGCACGCCAGCACGGACCGCTTCCTGCCCCCTCCTCTGCGACAAAAGAGAGCCGGGCCCAGGAAATGATCTGAAAGCATCCTAGTGCCACAAACAAAACAGGTGTTAATCCCCAAACCTCGCCAAAACCTCCATCTCCCCCCTCCGGCCGCTTAATCCCACCCCTGGGCTTATCCTGGCTCCGAGCACCTGTCCCCCATTCCCCATCCCTCCCTCGGCTGGTCAACAATAGCAGCTGAGAATCAGCGCCAGTCAACAATGGCAGCTGAGAATCAGCACCCTGGTCAGAAAGGCCTTGGGAAGGCGTGAAGTTCCCGGGGGGGGGGGTGGAGGTAGCGGGAGAGAGCTAATTCCAGCTCCCCATCTCTGACCGCCCTCCGAGGTCCCCTGTTCCCTCAAACAACCCCCATGCCGTCCGCCCAAGGTCAGGGAAGGTGACCGGGGTGGTTTGGAGGGGAGGGCAGAGGTCAAAGCCAGACATTTCCCTCTCTCCCATCCCCCCCCCACGGCATTCTTTGAGCGTCTTCCCTCCTTCGCAAGCGACATCCTGTCCGCGCACCGGTGATGATTGGCAGCCATGCGAAGAATTGTAGGACCGTAGAATTGGTGACCAAGGGTCATCTAGTCCAACCCGCTGCAATGCATTGCAGCTGCAAAAATTCATGGCCGTCTTACAGTTTTCCATCGGTGTGCATTACTTCTGAAATCTTGCAGCTTTTCACGCCACAGATGCTCCACAGGAGGACTCTAATGTATACCACCCTGTGTTTTTCTGAGCAAGGGAGGTATATAAATTTAATAAGTGATAAAATCATACGAGTTGCGCTCTAAGTAAGACCCTGTTTGCGCCATACTGTACATTGAAAGCACTGTGAAGCCACTTTCTACAATCGTGATTCTACGATGGTATGATTCGTTTTATTCTACTGCATGTTAACAAAAAGGAAGAAGGAAGGTGCCACGTCAGCTAATGCCAGCAATAAGAATAATCTGTCATTCCTAGATTAAACACCTATAGCAGAGCTTTCCAAACTGTGTCCCATGACATGTTAGTGTGTCGGCTGCAGTGTGTCGGCGTGTCGCACGAACGCTCCCCACACTCCTCCCAGGACTGGAAAGGGGTTAGTTTAACCTCTGGTTTGCTACTAAAACTGAACTACAGTGCTACCTCGGGTTACATATGCTTCAGGTTGCAGATGCTTCAGGTTACAGACTCCACTAACCCAGAAATAGTACCTCGGGTTAAGAACTTTGCTTCAGGATGAGAACAGAAATTGCGCAGCAGCGGCGCAGCAGCAACGGGAGGCCCCATTAGCTAAAGTGGTGCTTCAGGTTAAGAACAGTTTCAGGTTAAGAACGGACCTCCAGAACGAATTAAGTACTTAACCCGAGGTACCACTGTACTGTGTCGCGAAACGATGCAAAACACAATTACTGTGTCGTGAAATGGCGCAAATCTAAGAGGCGTGCCAGCAACATGCAAAATTTGGAAAGCTCTGGTCTATATTAATGTACAGCCTTTAGTGTCATCGTCCCAGAGGTCTGGAACACTGTACCAGTAGACATTCAGCAAGCACCTTCCTTTTCAGTTTTTAAAGGTCTGCTGGAAACTTATGCAGGCAATTGAAAATACTGTACCGTCTTTCCATAATAGTTAGCTGCTTTCCTAATTTTTACATTGTAACATCGATGGATAATTGTTGCAAACTGCTGATTTTTTAAAATGCATATCTTTTTTTAAAAACAGATAATATGAGCAGAACTTGTGCCCCCCCAAACCCCTTGTTTTAGAGATATGCACTTTTAACACATGATTCCTTCCTTTCTCAGACTCTCCTCTCCATTGGCAAAGTCTTCTCCTTATCATTGCATTGTCTCCGTCCCTGGCCTAGCATCTTCATACACTTGCATAGACGTGAAACAGGCTGTCATTCCAGCTCACTTCCCTGACGCTTATCAGCACCGCGCCTCATGTCCCCCTCCCCTGAGGAATGTGCCTCCCTCCTCTGGGAATCAGGGGCTGCAGAGAGGAGAGGTTGTGGAGGGGGGAGGACAGTTGAAGGGATGAAGACGAGCGCCATTCATGGTCAGGCTGGTCCTTCGCGGAGCCATCTCTCCGAATCCTTGTCATCATGTCACTCACAGCTGCGACGGGCCTGTTTCAGGGAGGGGGGCGGTGGAAGACTGGGCTGGGGGGTGATGCTATTTCGGACAGGAGGATATAAAGGGATGGGGGTTGGTCCAAAGGCTCAGATCTTCCTCGGACTACAGGCTGAGTTACCTCCGTGTCCTGGTGTAAGAGATTTCTGGTCTGGGGGTGTCCGGTGGGGCTTGTGGGGTGGGCGTAGTGGAGGGAATAAATTAATTGGGGGTCTCGGACGTGTGGGTCAGGAAAGGATGCGAAGGAAGTAAAATGTCTTTCGGCTGTAAATATTTTCTTCCAAGCTGGACCCGGAATAAAAGGGCTGAGATGCTGTTTCTGTTGCTACTGAGGTCGTGTAAGCACCATGTTCCCCCAAAGATTATTGAGAACTGTAGTTTATTTCAGGTGCTGGGAATTGCAGCTCTGTGGTGCGTGAACTACAGTTCCCAGGATTCTTTAGGGGAAGCCATGGGGTGAGAGTTTCAGATTGTAGTATAGCTGTGACCCTAGATGAGTTGGTCCATGTTTGCTTTCGTAGGGGTCAACATTTATTCCTTTAGCAAGTTTGATCTATTATCTGAACAAATGATAGCAATAATCTGTAAGTGGCTTACATATTTGCGGAAGTGCCAGTGACCTCTCTGGCATACAGACACCTGCCTACTTACCTGTGTGGTTCAGACACACCTGGGTGCATCTCTCTGGTGTCTGTAGGCCAGGCGTACGGCAAGGGCAATGAAGTCCGGGATGAGCAAACAAACTGCGAGGATGGAGGTTCTGGTTTGTGGAAGTAAGCTTTTGAGTTTCACAGGTCTTTTTTCCGGAGTTCCAAAGGGGGCTTGGGAAAAATCTAGAGGTCACCTACGAGGGTGAGGTGCATGAAGAAAAGCTTTGTGGATGACGGGGATTTTGAAGAAGGATGCTTGCTATCACCTACAAGGGGGCGGAGGGAGAGGCGAGTTAATAGAGAGGGAGGAGGTATATATATATCATTGACTGAAGAAGGAGACAATATGGGAGGGGGTGTGAGTAGAGCTTGTAGTAAACAGGGAAGGAAAATGAAGGCAAATAGAGGGCTCCGATAGCATTGAGGACTGGAAACTTGAAATTAACACTTGGGCTGCGTGTGCACCACAGTTCCCACCCAAAGCAATTTTGTAGTTTACCCACCACAGAGCTGCAGGTTGCTGCCCCCTTAAGGAACTACAGTTCCCAGAAATATTTGTGGGGTGTCTGCTTTAAAAGTACACAGCCCAGTCCAGCCAGTAAGATAGTCCTAGGGATAGAAGAGGGTCCCCCCCCCCCGCCGCCGCCCCCAGAGGAGGTGTGTGACATAAATCGAAGAAAGAAGAAAAATATTTTTGTGGAAGGTGACAAAGGAGGGCTAGAGGAGGGGTTGGAGATGAGTGGCTAAGGAACTACAGTTCCCTGTATTCATGGGGGGGGAGCTTATGGGGAGGGGGCGAGTGAGGCCACGGTTCACAGTTGGAGCAGGGAAGAAGGAAGATGTTAGAGCATGGGTAGTCAAACTAAGGCCCGGGGGCCGGATCTGGCCCAATCGCCTTCTAAATCCGGCCCGCAAACGGTACAGGAATCAGCGTGTTTTTACATGAGTAGAATGTGTGTTTTTATTTTAAATGCATCTCTGGGTTATTTGTGGGGCCTGCCTGGTGTTTTTACATGAGTAGAATGTGTGCTTTTATAGAAAATGCATCTCTGGGTTATTTGTGGGGCATAGGAATTCGTTCTTTTTTCAAAATATAGTCCGGCCTCCCACAAGGTCCGAGGGACAGTGGACCGGTCCCCTGCTGAAAAAGTTTGCTGACCTCTGTGTTAGAGGATGGATGGAGGAGTGGGTGACTATTACAGGCGAAGAAAAATGTGGGGGTTGCTTGGATGGAAGAAGGAGATTTATGCTCCTCAATAAGGCTATGAGTTTTTGCAACCCCTTCCCCTTCCACCCACCAACCTTTTGGCCCAGACTTTCCTAAGAGGCAGCTGCTCCAGCTGCTTTTCCCACCTGCTCAGCAAGAAGATGCCAGCGACCGGTTCCTGACTCAAGCCTGACACTCATTCTTCCTCCACCAACTCTTTTTATTTCTTTTCTCAGACTCCAATCTTCCTCCTCCAACGCTCTAACAGGTAGGATGACCTTGTCTCAACCTTTCTGTCGATTCCCCTCTGTATCTCCCCATATATGAACTGAATTGTATGAAATGAATTGTATAGGGGGAAATGTGTCTTATCTGCAAAAATGTGTCATCAGGCAAAAGCTCATTCAAGCATCTATTACGATAGATTCGCCTTAGAATGCTTATGAACTTTCATGGCAACTTTTTTTTTTGTTTTCACTGCAAACTGATATGGAAATGCAGAGAGCCAACTCAGCTATACAGCTGCAGATATAATGTTTTGTGTGTTTTGAGTGCATTATACAAATGTGTCACTAGATGGCAATGATGAGCTAATGGGGAATTGCATATGTGTTTTAAAACATTTTTTTTAAAAGCATTTTCACAGCGTTTTTTTATATATGTCTAGATTCAGCGCTTAAGGCTGAAAAAAATGGAAACTGAGATATCATATATTAAAAGCACATCAAGCCCCTACCAACAAATCGGCCGGGTAAATCTGAAGCCTACTATACTAAATATCTTCTGGACGACAAGTCTAATGATATCACAGTGGCTGTGGCAAAGTTTCTTTCGGTAGTCATACGTATCAAAGATCAACATACTTAAGACTAAACAAATATCGTCTTAGTCTCCCTCTCCCAGGCGGTTGTCTGTATGAATCTGCCTTTTATCCTGTGTCTATGTTACGGGTTTTTGGACCGCAATAAAGTTTATTATTATTATTATTAAAAACACATTTCCCCCCAGCCCAGATAATCATGGGAACTGTAGTTTACCCCTTGCGGAACTACAACTCCTGTAACAAAATACAGTTCCCAAGAGTCTCAGGTGCGCGTTTGCACGCTTAAAATATATGGTGTGTCCACAGCTTGTGAGAAAGTGGAACTGACAGATTCTCCCGCTGCTAGGCATGAGCAGGCCACTGAGAAACGATGCAGTACCTTCCACGAGTTGTTGGACTACAACTCCCATCATGCTGGCTGCTGGCGCTTATGGGAATCGGAGTCCAACAGCCCTTAGAAGGTCACAGGCTCCCCATCCTTGCTGGAAAGTTATCGGTGGTGCTGTGTACCGGCATTCTTTCTCTTGCTTCTCTCATGCCCTTCCTGCCTTCTTCTGCCGCGCAGGATGGGTGACGCCGTGATGGCCGAGTTCGGGGCGGCGGCTCCCTACCTCCGGAAATCGGACAAGGAGCGCCTGGAGGCCCAGACCCGGATTTTCGACATCCGCACGGAGTGCTTCGTGCCCGACGAGAAGGAAGAGTTTGTCAAGGGCAAGGTCACGAGCCGCGAGGGAGGCATGGTCACCGTGCAAACCGAGAACGGCAAGGTCTGTGGCAAGGGCGGTGCAAAGAATCAGAGGGCAGAATCATAGACTTGCAGGAAGGGACCCTAAGGGTCATCTAGCCCAACCCGCTTCAACGCAGGGTCTGGACTTTGCAAAAGAGGTGGGCAGGGACATAGGAATCTGCCTCATCCTGAGGAAGGACCCACTGGACCACCTAGTTCAGCGTTGTCTACACTGAATGGCAGAGGCTGTCCAGGACTTAGCTGTATCTGGAGGCACCAGGAATTAATAATAATAATAATAAATTTTAATTTATACCCCGCCCTTCCCGGTTCAAAAACCGGGCTCAGGGCGGCTAACAACAAATTTAAAACACTTAATTATAAAAGCAGCATAAAATACAGTATAAAAACATGAATAACAATAAAATTCAAAAATCAATTTAGGGGAAATAAGCATTAGATAATCCCCAGGGCTAGGTGGCTGAATTGGTCCTACTTGGGCCAGCGAGGAGGCCAGGGGAGAATTAGCTGTGGGGTCTCAGAGCGAGTGATCTTCATAAAAAGGGGAGGGGGAGGGAAGGGAAATAAAAGATCAGACTGAAATCAAATTAAAGGCCAGGCGGAATAGCTCTGTCTTACGGGCCCAATGGAAGGAGGTTAAATGCTGAAGGGCCCTAGTCTGATGGGACAGAGCATTCCACCAGGTCGGAGCCATCACTGAAAAGGCCCTGGCCCTGGTGGAGGATAGTCTGACCTCCTTAGGGCCCGGGACCGGGGCAGACCAGGAGAGGCGGTCCCTTAAATACGAGGGCCCTAAGCCACATTGAACCTGGGACCATCCGGGTGTAAAGCAAGAGCCCGTCCCCTAATGGAATGAGAATCCTTGGGGCTTGAATGGGGAAGAGCATTGCCAAGAAAGGTCGGGGGGGGGCCAATGGGCCAAGGAGGGGTTCATGTTTGTGAGGACGCTTGTCTGCAGCGAAGCCGAATATTGGAACATTTGGGGCAGGGGAAAGAATGTGCTTCTTTCCACGGCGCATCGTTAAACTGCGGAACTCCCTGCCACAAGAGGCAGTGAGGGTTGCCCATCTGGCTGTCTTTAGAAGCGGGTTGTGGACCAGTTTGTGGAGGACAAAGCTAACCATGACTATTTTCAGCCTCTGCGGTCAGAGGCAGGAATGAGTACCAGCTGCTGGAAATGGCAGGAGGGGAGAGAGTGTGCTCGGGTGCCGCTTGCGGGTATCCCATGGGCATCCGGTTGGCCACCATGAGAACAGGATGCTGGAGGAGATGGGCCTTTGGCCCTGATCCGGCAGGCTTTTCTCACGTTCTGATGATTTTTGAGGAGAGCAGGATAGTGTAAAGCCAACGAACTGGCAATGTTCGACGAGGACAGTGGAAATGGGGCTGTGGCTTTTGCGTCTATCAAATGCCAGGATCCAAAAGGGGAACTGGGAGGTGTTCTGGAAGCTTAAATGTCCGATGGGAATTGGCGGATTGGTGTTTTTGATTGTGGGATCTGGACAGTGGTTTCTGCTAAAACTCCCCCAGACGGTGACAGTGAAGGAGGCGGACGTCCACCAGCAGAACCCGCCCAAGTTCGACAAGATTGAAGACATGGCCATGTTGACCTTCCTGCATGAAGCTGCCGTCCTCTACAATCTGAAGGAGCGCTACGCCGCCTGGATGATCTATGTAAGTCCGGCTGGGGGCACCCCACCATCTAGGGGGCTACCTTCCCCAACCAGATGCCCTTCAAAAGTTTTGGACTAGAACTCCCATCAGCACCAGCCAGCACAGCCATCTCGTGACGGTGATTGTCTTGGTGCTGATGGGATTTGTAGTCTAGCTACTGACTGTGGCTGATGGGGATCGTAGTCCCCTTTGGTCAACTATGGTTTCTTTGCTAGATCTTCAATTTTTTTTCAGCGTTCCTATTTTCCTGATTTAGAGAAGCCGGCCCGGTTTCTGATTTCATCCTGGAATGTCCCACTTTTCCTTAGGATTCCCCTATTTTCAATGGAGAAATGTTGGAGGGAATGGAGCTATCTGACCCCTGAGCCGTCTAAAGACAATCCTGTATAGGGAAGGGTTTTTTATGTTTAATAAAAACATAGGTTTTTATATATGTTGGAAGTAGCCCAGAATGGCTGGGGCAACCCAAAAAGATGTCTGGGGTATAAATAGTAAAATTATAATGATGTAATGGGAAATCCCTATTTTCATCGGAGAAATGTCGGAGGATATGAAGTTCACACTTTATTCAAACTTGGCGTGTCCCTCTCAGCTTTTGGTTCCCTCTTCCTTTCTCCCCCCCAGACATACTCCGGCCTCTTCTGTGTGACTGTTAACCCTTACAAATGGCTGCCGGTCTACAACGCTGAGGTGGTCGCTGCCTACAGGGGCAAGAAGCGAAGCGAAGCCCCTCCCCACATCTTCTCCATTTCCGACAACGCGTACCAATACATGTTGACGGGTACAAAGGATTCGTTGCCCTTGTGTGGGGTTTTTATTTTGTGTGGCAGCAGGGACACGTTTCTCCCAGAACCCTCCTAATCTGCTCCGGGGAATTGTAGCCCAAAACATCTGGACAGCGCTGGGCAGTGAAAAGCTAGTCTAAATCCTCCTCAATGCAACTCATAATGTGCTCAAATTCACTGCATTCCATGATGCTACAAGGTATAAGTGGCATTTTTAAATAAATAATTGGAGAACTGGGGAAACCCACAGCTGTTCACTGATGACATCTAACAATAGAACTTCCATGTTCCGAAGGACTCTATCTTTGACCACCTGATATTAAGGGTAAAAGAGCGGAGGGCAACTTTCAGCACCTTACCTTGCATGTGAATATTTCTGAGCAACCTCTGGTTAGCCGCTCAATGCCAGAGACATTGGTCCTTAATCTCAAACAGCATGGCAATTCTTACATTTTCTCTTTCCTTCCAGACCGAGAAAACCAGTCTGTCCTCATCACGTGAGTGCCTCAAAATGACCCCCTTCTCCCCATTTGGCATGTTGTGAAAATCCAAAGTATTTTCTGACTGCATAAGCAGTTGCAGGCTTCCCCTCTGCCCGGCTGCCTCACCGTCGTATTCTGTCCTCATTCCAGCGGAGAATCCGGTGCAGGGAAGACGGTGAACACCAAACGGGTGATCCAGTACTTTGCCAGCATCGCTGCCATCGGCGACCGCAAGAAGGATGCCGCCAACACCAACAAGGTACCCACGAGCGATCGTGATCGTGTGCGACGCACAGGCCTTTCCCTCCTGCGTGAAGGCCTCCCGCCTCCTCTTCCAGCAGAGTAATGCTCTTAAATTCCTCTTGAAAGTCTCTAACGAGGAAGAGAGGCACAGGGAATGCATTCCACAATCGGGGAGCCACCACCGAAAAGGCCCTGTCGCTGCCAGGTGGGTTGAGCAGCCACCAACAAGGCCTCACCAGCTGATCGTAAGGTCCAAGATGGTTGATACTGGGGAAGGTGCTCTTTTAAACTATAGTTCCCAGGATTCTTTGGGGAAAGCCGTGACTCTCAAAGAGTGCTCAGCCGTGGCTGGTCCATTGGGGTGTATGGGGCACTGCCTCATCGACCTCAGCCTGCCCTCAACCAGCCCCCAAATGTCTACCTTCGCATATCCAGCTCAGGAACCAGCTTCTTCCTCCTTAGTCTCAGTGTTGCCCTTTGGAGAACTCAGTTTCCCTGAGAGTTGCTTGAAACAAAGGCATGGATGTGAAGAAACTCTGGTTTCTGACATGCCAGCTTTCTTGCATGGGAATCCGTTCCGGGAGCCCCCATTTACATCCAAAATTGGTGCAGCCCAGACGCAGGTTTCCCATCCCAGGGAGAATTAGGCCCTTGGCATAGCTGGCTAAGGCCCCATTAACATCGTACATTTCAATCACAGAGTGACCCCGAGGGTTGTCTAGTCCAACTCCTTTTGCAGGAATCTTAACACGCCGTCTCCCATCCAACTGGAAACCATATCAGACCCTGCTTAGCTTTGCGAATGTATCAGTGGTTTTATTGCTGCACCACTGGGAGGTCTCCTACTGCTTTGAGCCGTCATGGCTTCCCCCAAAGAATTCTGGGAGCTGCGGCTTATTCATGGTGCTGAGAGTTGTTAGGGGACCCCCACCCCCACCCGCACCCCACCCCATTTCCCTTGCAATTATCTGGGAAGAGGGATTGGCCGTTAGACCACTCTGAGAATTGTACCTCTGTGAGGGGAATGGGGGTCTCCTCACAACTCTCAGCAAAGAGAGGCAGCTCCCAAAATGCTTTGGGGGAAGCCATGACTGTTCAAAGCGGGCGTCATAGTGCCCTAAGCATGCAGTGCAAATGCAGCCTTGTGTTTAATCCAACATGGCAACCCCTGCAGCCGGAAAAAATTCCCCACAGCGGACCCTGGCATGCTCTGAATTTCCCCACAGCAGTGCCCCACAGAGCATGACGTGGCATCTGAAGATGTGTGGAGGGGGTGGATTTAAGCTGCCCTAACCATTCACTCTGCTTTTTCAGGGGACACTGGAAGATCAAATCATCCAGGCCAACCCTGCCCTGGAGGCCTTCGGCAACGCCAAGACCTTGCGGAACGACAACTCGTCCCGATTTGTGAGTGAATCTGGCTGGTTAGGGAGGCGTACGGAAGACCCCCAAATATCAAAGCCCTGCCTGCCTTCCGTGTTGAATCCCACAACTGGGTCACGCGTTTTCTCGTCCGCACCCCCTCACAAGACCCCACGTGAGATCACAGAGCCCCAAATACATGCTTTTTTGAGGGGCTGTGCTCTCACAAGCCCTCAAAAACGTGCATTTTTGGGTGCTGTGCAAAACCGCCAGGTCAAGAAAAGTGCTTTTTTCAGGGTGAGATGTTGGCATGAGATCATACGAGATCATAACACCCAAAATGGCTGGCCTGCTCTCCCGGGGGGGCGGGGAGGATGTCCCGGTTTTTCCGGGATGCTTGCGGGGTGTGCGTCCTGTATATCAGCCTATGCCCTTGGGCACCTAGGAAGCTGAGTCAGACCAGGACTCCATCTAGCTAAGTATTGTCCACACTGACTGGCAGCAGCTCTCCAGGGTTTCCGGCTGGGGACACCTCCAGCCCAACCTGCAGATGCCGGGGATCAAACCTGTGACCTTCTCCATGCAAAGCAACCCAAATTGCAATGAAACATTGCTGTTGTTCTGTCTCTGGGTCTCACGTTCTCCCTCAAAATAGTTCAGAATGGGATTGTTGCCTAACATCCCTGCTAGGTAGGCTTGGCAGCGCAGAGAGGTAGCTTCTGCCTTACCCAAAGCCACCCCATGAACTTCACAGCTTAGAGGATGATTTGAACCCAAGACTTCTTTATCAGAGTCCAGCGCTCTCATATAGTCATGCCCTCCTTTTTCTGTCTAGGGTAAATTCATCCGAATCCACTTCGGAGCAACGGGAAAGTTGGCATCAGCCGACATAGAAACCTGTAAGTCAGACTGCAAAGGGAAGTTTGATCTGTGCGTCCAGCTGCGTTTCTGTCCCCCACAGCAGCCACCTTGTGTTATACCACACACCCTGCAGCCATAGCTGTCAACCGTCCCTTATTTGGCAGGAAAGTCCCTTATCCCAGTGCTGTGTCCCGCTGCTGTCCCTTACTGATGATGTCCCTTAAATTTCCCGGATTTCAAAGGAAGCAGCTCCTCTCCCTCCCTCCCTGCCGGCCAGGGAGGAGGGAGGCTCCAACTGTCTTGCTTGGCTGCGTTGCTCACCCAATAAGGAGTCTCAGAACGACTGGGGGGTGGAGCTTGCATGCCTTGTGCCGATCAAATCGGCCGCCTTGCCTGGGGACTCGCCTTTGCTCAGCGCTTCCCAGTGGAGAGGCGACGGTGGTTTTCCTTGCTTCGTCCCCTTTGCCGGGTTGCTGCGCTGTGGGAACCACCGCTTGAGGCTTCCTTTGGCTGCTGGCTGGGCTTTCTGCCTTTGGCTCGGAGGGGCTCAGATGTTGAACATACTTGTGCCCAGAAAATCCCTTATTTTGGCTGCTGATCCCTTATTTTCGAGGCTGCTGGCCCATATTTTCAAATCTGTAAGTTGACAGCTATGCCTGCAGCAGCCATCTTGTGTTATGCCACACACCCTGCAGCAGCCATCTTGTGCTATGCCACACACTCCACAGCAGCCATCTTGTGCTATGCCACACACACCACAGCAGCCATCTTGTGCTATGCCACACACACCACAGCAGCCATCTTGTGCTATGCCACACACTCCACAGCAGCCATCTTGTGCTATGCCACACACTCCACGGCAGCCATCTTGTGCTATGCCACACACTCCACAGCAGCCATCTTGTGCTATGCCACACACTCCACAGCAGCCATCTTGTGCTATGCCACACACTCCACAGCAGCCATCTTGTGCTATGCCACACACTCCACAGCAGCCATCTTGTGCTATGCCACACACTCCATGGCAGCCATCTTGTGCTATGCCACACACTCCACGGCAGCCATCTTGTGCTATGCCGCACACACCACGGAAGCCATCTTGTGACTGGCACCCACTGCACTTCCCCAAATATTCCACTGGCCCAAAAAGCTTGGCAACTCTTGCCTCCCTCTTCAAATTCCTTATCCCGCCATACATACTCCAGTTAAGAAAGAGTAGCAGTTGTTATTATTAAAACAAATTTACAGGAAACTTCACGATGTAAAGCCATTGGAGGGGTGTGCATAATAATAATAATAATATAATAATAATAATAATTTTTATTTATATCCCGCCCTCCCCAGCCGAAGCCAGGCTCAGAGCGGCTAACAACAGTAAAACGATAAAACATTCTAAAATCATTTCATTATAAAATTAAAAACAGTAAAAGTAAAAACAGAATGAAATAGAAACACAAGCTCTGATGACAATAATATCAATTCAACAAACTCTAATGCAAATGAAACCATCTCTACAAACTCTAAAAGCAACTAACCTGTTTCATCCATTAAAAAACTGATATTTCCCCTCTTCCCCATTTGCTATACCTGAGGGCAAGGAGTGTCTTAGAACTGATTTTGTACGCTGCTCTGAGAGAGCCTAAAAGGATAAGCAAATAAATAAATACTTATATGTAGTAGTGATATCTAAATTTGCATCTAGGCATATAAATTAATATATGCCAATCCTGTGCAACTATGTGTTTTTTGTGTTGTTGCTTTTTGGCAAGATGTAAGTGGCTGTCCTAGATTTTACACAGCTTGCATCAATTCAGTATTCACACAGCCCCCTGCCCCTTCTCTCTCAGATCTCCTGGAAAAGTCCCGGGTGATTTTCCAGCTCAAAGCTGAGAGAAACTACCATATATTCTACCAGATCCTGTCCAACAAGAAGCCAGAGCTTCTGGGTGAGTATTTCGGTTTTGTGTTTCTCCATAACCAGGGGGCGGGGGGGGGGGGATTCATGTGTATACCAGAACTTTAGGTTTGCACATTTATTTATTTTTATTTTAGATTTTATAGACTGCTCTTTCATAATAAAAAAAATACAGCAACGTAGTATCCCGTAAACAAATTTACAATAGCATAAATAAAAACATTCGTAAAGACATCAGTAGAAACATCAAATAAATGCTGATTACTTAAAAGGAGGTTCCCGATTCAAAGGCCTGTCTAAACAACACTGCTTTTCGGGGATGCCTAAAAGAAGGCTGGGGCGATCCCTGCTGAACCTTTAGTGGCAAGCAGTTCCACCGGCCAGGTCCTGCTGCAATCAAGGCTTGGTCCCTAGTGAAGGCTGACCAAGCCTTTGGGACATGGGGGAACCACCAGAAATGCCCCGTTGGAGGATCTCAGTGATCGAGGCAGAACGTAAGGGACCTATGGTCCTAAAGGGAATTTGGTCCCGAGTTGTTTAGGGTTTTGTGAATTAACACAAGAACCTTGCAGCTGATTCAGTAGCAAACTGGCAACCCATCTCTCAGCAGAAGTGTAGTGTGTTGCCAGTTGCCTGCTCCTGTGAACCGTTTGGCCACCGCATTCTGCATTCTCTGCAGCTTCTAGACTATATACAAGGGCAGCCCCACAAACAGCACATTGCAGTAGTCAAGCAGAATAAAGGTCTCTGCCAGCCTAGTGCAGCAAGTGAACTTTCTGCAGTACAGGAAAGGGAAATGCATTGAAAAGTGTGGGCTGAATAATCTTGATGTCCGTGGAAATTCAGGACTGCTATTCTTACCTCATCCACAGAACAGTACCAGTCAGTTGTAAAATTATTTATTTATTACATCCCATCTTTCCTCTGAGGAGCTCGTGGTTCTCTTCTTCCCCTCCATTTTATTCTCACAACAGCCCTGCCAGGTAGGTTAGGCGGAGAGGCATCAAGCAGCCCGAAGTCACCCGGTGAGCTTAATGGCCAAGTGGGAATTTGAACCCTGGTCTCTCCCAGGTTCTGGTCTGACACTCTAACCCAGTGTTTCCCAGACTCGGATCACCAGCTGTTTTTGGACTACAATGCCCACCATCCCTTGTTAGCCGGCGGTCAAGGACGATGGGAACTGTAGTCTGAAAACAGCTGGAGACCCAGGTTTGAGAAACACTGCTCTAACCACCAAACCACGCTGTCTCCTTTTTCCTTTAGCTACGCTGTATTTTCTTGGTCAGTTTCCCCATTAGGGGCAGTTACCAAACTCTGCTAAGCCAATTTGATAAGGAGGCGAGGCTTTCCGAAACCAGGCGATAACAAGTCTAACTATAAATCTACAATAAGTTTAAATGGGTTTAAATGAAATATCCGCATTGTGACCAAATCGTTCTTTGAGCCGATGGTTTCTGGGGAGTCATGCCCTGAATACAGTCTGCTGTTAACCCCCCTCTTCATCCCCCTGTTTCTTCCCCCAAAAGACCTGCTTCTGGTCACAAACAACCCCTACGACTACAGCTACATCTCCCAAGGAGAGGTGACTGTGGCCTCCATCGACGACTCAGACGAGCTGATGGCTACAGACGTGAGTCTCTTTGCATAAACAAGATCCAATTAGGGGCGCCAAAATTTGGTCTCTCAGAGGGCGCCATATTGAAAAAGATGACCAAAATCCTGGGTGTAGCAATCCCTGGACAGAGCTATCTTGCATTTTTTAAATGCTTTTCAGGTTTATACATTTCAATAATTTTACAATCATTTTAACATTTCAAAGCTTGACTTCCTTCTCCTTCTTTCTGCGGTTCCTTAAATTTGTTTTTGATATCTTCTGCATATCCAAATGAACTTAATTTGCTCATTTATTCATCTTAATTTGCTCATTTATTCATCTCCTTTAAATACATACTCTTATAAAACTGCAGGTTATTACAATAGCCCTGCCAATGTTCTGACCTGTTTACAATTTATCTGTTAATACTCAATAAACCATTTCCATTCTTTTATAAAAAGTTTGTTATCTTAATTTCTTACTCTTCCGGTAAGTTTCTCCATTTCTGCATACAGTGGTACCTCGGGTTAAGTACTTAATTCGTTCCGGAGGTCCGTTCTTAACCTGAAACTGTTCTTAACCTGAAGCACCACTTTAGCTAACGGGGCCTCCTGCTGCTGCCGCGCCGCCGGAGCACGATTTCTGTTCTCATCCTGAAGCAAAGTTCTTAACCCGAGGTACTATTTCTGGGTTAGCGGAGTCTGTAACCTGAAGCGTATGTAACCTGAGGTACCACTGTATTTCATAAGGGAGAGCTATCTTGTGGCTACAGAACTGGAACAGCACCACCTGCTGGCAGCTCCTGGAGTGCAGGAAATGTAGTGGGGGGTGTGTCAAAAGTGAATGGTGCCAATTTGAGAAGCGTCCTCGGTGACGTTTTCTTTCTTTCTTTCTTTCTTTCTTTCTTTCTTTCTTTCTTTCTTTCTTTCTCCCCCCCTTCCATATATACATAGAGTGCCTTTGATGTCCTGGGTTTCACCCCAGAGGAGAAAGTCGGGGTTTACAAGCTGACTGGCGCCATCATGCACTACGGCAACATGAAATTTAAGCAGAAACAGCGGGAGGAGCAGGCTGAGGCCGATGGGACCGAAGGTGTGTGGTTTGCAAAGGGCAGGAGAGATCTGTCGGATAAAGGGGAATGTCAGGGAGAAGCGGGAAAGGGATTTGCACAGCCATCCTCAAAAATGAGCATTTCTCTGAATTTTGTAGTTCTCCAGCCAAGTCACGTGCACGAAGAATAAATATACTAGGATGGTGTGTCTATTAAAATGTATGTATGGGGGGGGGATACCATCCCAAAATGCATTAAATTAGGGGGGATTGCTTTGCAGAGGTTCAGATATCAGGCAAAATGACGTACCATCGTGTGTGTAGTACCAGGAGAAATTTGTTGGCGAGGCCTTGCTTTAAAAAATAAAACAAAAATGCAGATTGAGGTGGAGAACTGACCTTAAGATTGAAGAAAGGAGAAATGTAGCAAAGCTGAAACGGACAGACGCCTCCACCCCTTAAAAAATAAGTTGCCGGAGTAGAAAATATAGGATCCCACCCGCAGTATCTGCCATACATATTTCCTTTCCTCCCCAGATGCAGATAAATCTGCCTACCTGATGGGCCTGAACTCAGCCGACCTCCTCAAGGGTCTCTGCCACCCGAGGGTGAAGGTTGGCAATGAATATGTCACCAAGGGGCAAAATGTCCAACAGGTGAGGATGTCTTTTTGCAGGCCGCGCTGCAGCGGGGCCTCAGGTTCCAGAGAGTGTGGTAGGCCATATTTCTTCAGCCTTGGGTTCCCAGGTGTTGTAACACTACAGCTGCCATCAGCCTTGACTATTGGCTAAACTAGCAGGGGATGATGGTAGTTGTAGTCCTACAACATCAGGGGATGATGGGAGTTGTAGTCCTACCTGGGGTTCCAAGGTTGGAAAACACCATTATAGGGTATTTACAGTTGGGCAAGCTCGACATGGGTGCAGCTGCTGGCGCTGATGGTGCTGGCCTCATTATTCGCATCAGTTCAGACTGGAGATGGGGAGAAATTTGACCCAGTTTCCATTTAAAGGCAAACTTAGGCAATTTGCAATTTGTAACAATGCGTGAACCGAAACACAGCCCTCCTTCGAAATTTGCACTTCTCCAAACCTTGCAATGCTGTTCCTGCACCCCATCACAATTAACGTGCACTAAAATGTATATATATTAGTGAAAATAACACATTGACATGCATTACGTTAGAGAAAGTTGCTTTGCAACCGTGAGTGTTTTGGGCAAGGTTGCATTCCCAGAAATGTTTATATTAGGAGATTGGAGCACTAAAATGCGGATGAATTCTCACGAGAACTTTTTAAAAACAAACAAACAAACAATAACATCACAAACTGTTGTGGAAACGGGGAGAACCAACTTCTAATTAATCATGAATAGAAATGTAATGTTAGGCCCAGGGTTGTTGAATTGTTGTTGTCATAATAAAGGATAGAAACCCTTCTAAAAAAAGGAGGGATCGAAACCTTTCTAAAAAAAAACCCAACCGCTTAGCTGGAATGAGCCTGGTTGGATTTAGGGGCAGGTGCCCCAGATGACTGCCTGGGGCGTTGGGTTTGGGGGGTGCCAGGCTCTGTTCAGGGTGCACCTGTCACCCAGATGATCTGCTCCGCCCTGAGTTCGACAGCTGAAACTAACGGAACAAACAGTTCAGAGGCCGCAAATAAAATCCCTTATGCACAAGTTCATCATCATCAGCCACCGTAGCAGGGATCAGGCTTATTTGCAGTCAGGTCATGTAGCAAAGTCACGAAATGGGGTACGAGGTGCCTAAAATTGGGTGGTGTGGGGGTTAAAACAGAGGTCACCAAAGGAACTCTGGACCTGAGGAGCCATTTGGTCTAGGGCAGCGATTCACAAACTTTTTTCCCCTCTGGGTCACAGTTTCAGAATAAAAATTTGCCCGTGCCACTCCAATTTTCTAATTGATAAATACAGTACATTGGAAAACAGAAAAGAAATGACTCCTGGCAGGGCTTGGTTTTGAAAAGATAGCTATCCATACTCTGCAGATAAGAAGAAATATTTTGAAACTATGCTATACTACACTATGCTGAAAATGTTGATATGTTTCTTTGATGGTCCTTGCCATCCTCTCCCTTTGAGAACCATTGGTCAAGGAATGAGCGGACAGTCTGCCTTCTTCTTTGAAGTTCTGCAGCCCTGGGGCATTTTAAAAAATGCTGTGGTTTTGGGGGGCTGGGGACTCAGCAGCCTTTGAAAGACAAAGAGAGAGGTGCTCACAGTCAAGGCAGCAGGACTCCTTGCTCAGAGCCCATATAACTTGATACTGCTGAAGATTATGTCTTTTTCCCCTTTAATTTTTATTAAATTTTCTGTTTTACATTTTAGAATATTCATTTAAACAACCTTAAAATACCAAGGACTTCCCTTCTTCTCTTTCCATGGTTCATTTCGCATAACACAAATCCCTGCATATTTTATATAAACTAAACCATTCAGTATTCCATTGTTACATCCATCAAAACTTATTTACACTGCTGAATTTATCTTAATGCTGCCCACGTTTTCAAATAAACACAGTTTCCCTCCATATAGTCAATAAACATTTTCCGGTCTTCTTTAAACGTATGTTCTCCTATTCTATGTGTTAGGTCCGCAAGTTGCACATATTCCATCTTTAGTTCTTCTTTAGTTGTGACTTCACTCGTTTTCCATCTGAGGGCTAACGAAACACGAGCCGCAGTCACAATGCTGGAGTCTTCTCTGCCCTTTGCCATGAGGTCCCAGGGCAGCTTACAACGCCGTAAAAACACAGTACTAAAAATCAGTTTGAACGATTTACCATCAGAAGACCAGGCTCCATTTGCCTGCTCTCCTTGGCCAGGACATCAGCCCCTGCCATGCTTGTACAGGATCTGGTGCTGAGAAGAAGAAGATTTTGGATTTGATATCCCGCTTTATCACTACCCTAAGGAGTCTCAAAGCAGCTAACAATCTCCTTTCCCTTCCTCCCCTATAATAAACACTCTGTGAGGTGAGTGGGGCTGAGAGACTTCAAAGAAGTGTGACTGGCCCAAGGCCACCCAGCAGCTGCATGTGGAGGAGCGGGGAATCGAACCCGGTTCACCAGATTACGAGTCCACCACTCTTAACCACTACACCACACTGGCCTGCTCTGCACCTGCCTATGCACTCTTGATTTATTTTTCTGCAACTCCAAGCATGCCAGCTGGGACTGATGGGAGCTGAGTCCAAAAATATCTGGAGGGCACCACCAGGCACAGGGACTCAGATTGCTTTCCCCGAAGTGTTGCTCACTTTTCCTTTCCTTCCTCTCCTGGCTCCTCTGCTCAGGTGTACTACTCCATTGGGGCCCTGGCCAAGTCTGTGTATGAAAAAATGTTCAGCTGGATGGTGGTCAGGATCAACAACTCATTGGAGACCAAACAACCCCGGCAGTATTTCATCGGGGTGCTGGACATCGCAGGATTTGAGATCTTTGACGTGAGTACATTGCGGTGGGTGTCACCGGATAGGATCATTGTCCTTAAGTAGATATCCCCTACCTGGAGGACTGGTCTCTTCCTATTGGGGGGAACACAGTTTGTTCAGCAGACCGCAAGCCTGTCATGTTTTGTTTCTTTCCAAGTGTGACTTGTTTTCTGAGCTGCTCATCCGTCCTCAGCTTGGCTAGGTTAGGCTAAGGGTTTGTGATTTGCCCAAGGTCGCCCAGTCCGCCTCATAGTACGTTTCCGAGCACAATTCAAAGTGTTGGTGCTGGCCTTTAAAGCCCTAAGCAGCCTCAAAGGCTCAGTATACATGAAGGAGTGTCTTCACCCCCATCTGCCCGGACATTGAGGTCCAGCTCCGAGGGCCTTCTGGCGGTTCCCTCCCTGTGAGAAGTGAGGTTACAGGGAACCAGGCAAAGGGCCTTCTCAGTAGTGGTGCCCGCCTTGTGGAACGCCTTCCCATCAGATGTCAAGGAAATAAACAACTATCTGACTTTTAGAAGGCATCTGAAGGCAGCCCTGGTTAAGGAAGCTTTTAGTGTTTTGTGTTTTATCGCTTTATTATTATTATTATTCTATTGGGAGTCGCCCAGACTGGCTGGGGAAACCCAGCTAGATCAGTGGGGTATAAATAAATATTATTATCATTATCATTATCATTATCATTATTATCATCATAGCTGAGTGGGGTTTTGAACCCTGGACAGACTGGTTTTTCAAATTGCTCGAGTCCTTGATTTCGTTTCCCTTCCTCGCTCCCTGTCTCAGTTCAACAGCTTTGAGCAGCTCTGCATCAACTTCACCAACGAGAAGCTGCAACAGTTCTTCAACCACCACATGTTCGTGCTGGAGCAGGAAGAGTACAAGAAAGAAGGGATCGAGTGGGTCTTCATCGACTTCGGCATGGACCTCCAGGCCTGCATCGACCTCATCGAGAAGGTGTGGTTTTGAGGTGCTCTCTGAGGGATGGAATCACGCCTGCATACTGAGATCAGGGAAACAGGAGGGAGGGGAAGGGTTTATCATTGGCTTCCCAATTTGCCAGACTATGAAGCTATGATGTTAAGGTGCTAGGAAGCCATTAAGCATTGTTCCTGGTTCAGAGGTAGCAGGAATCCACAGTTAACTGTGGCTCCCTGCCTTGTTTGCATGAAAGGGGTGGGAGAAAGTGAGATTGTATGAAGCTCATGCACCTCTCCATTTATTAAGCCGAGATGTGATTGTGGAAGCACAGCCTAGAACCCTGCCACCTTAAGGGCTAGAAACTTGTTTGTTTGCTTTAAAGGCAAGTAATCCTTCTTTTTCACCCAATGCCAGTTACTGGATTTGCTTTGTCCCTTACCACTGTGTAACACAACCCTGAATATAAGGGGACTGGCCATTAGCACCCTTGTTGTGCCTTGCTAAAATAAATTCGCTTTACCATACATGGGGAGGTGGGTCATGGTTCGACCTCTTCTGGGTTCTTCCCCTGTTCTTCCAATTCCTTCTGTGGTTTCGTCTGATTTCACTACGGCTAACAGCTTCCAAACAACTTTAAACCATGGCTTCATATTCTGGCTCGTTAGGGAACGATTTGCTATAGTTTCCCAGTTCGGATGCAACAGGAAACCATGGTTAGCTGGGTCTCCCTGACTTGCTGCTTTGGCTCTATTTCCCCCCTCTTTCCGTGCAGCCGCTGGGCATCATGTCCATCCTGGAGGAGGAGTGCATGTTCCCGAAAGCCTCTGACATGACCTTCAAGGCCAAGCTGTACGACAACCACCTGGGCAAGTCGAACAACTTTGGGAAGCCCCGCAACACTAAGGGCAAGCCGGAGGCCCATTTCTCCCTCATCCATTACGCCGGCACCGTCGACTACAACATCCTTGGCTGGCTGCAGAAGAACAAGGACCCCCTCAACGAGACGGTGGTGGGGCTCTACCAGAAGTCGTCCCTCAAGCTCCTTGCGACGCTTTTCTCCAGCTACGCCAGCATGGAGGCTGGTGAGATGGATGGGCGAGGAGGAGAGAGGGAGAAGGAGGAAAGGAGAAAGCCAAGCCCAGCACTCAGAATCCTTGGGCAGTTGCCCTGGCATCAGGGCACTCTGGAGAGTGGGGGGGTGGCTGCCATTTTAATTTCCCAAAACGCTCCAAATTAGGGCGCAGATGAATCTGTTAGCTTTGGGTTCTCTCTGTTTCTTCTCATTTTTTCCAGCCTTAAGTCCACCTCCCTACGTTTCTGCTTCAGTTTGCAATTTATATATTTTTTTACTTAGAAGAAAAACCTTGTGGAAATTTGGCAGCATTCAGAGCAAATTTCTCCCAGCGAAGCACGTTTTCAGTACAGTGGTACCTCGGGTTAAGAACTTAATTCGTTCTGGAGGTTTCTTCTTAACCCGAAGCACCACTTTAGCTAATGGGGCCTCCCGCTGCCGCCGCGCCGCCACCACACGATTTCTGTCCTCATCCTGAAGTAAAGTTCTTAACCCGAGGTACTATTTCTGGGTTAGCAGAGTCTGTAACCTGAAGCGTCTGTAACCTGAAGCGTCTGTAACCTGAAGCGTCTGTAACCCGAGGTCCCACTGTATTCGGTTTTGCCTGACAAAAACATCATCATGATCATTTTAATTTGTATATGCCGCCCATCTGACTGTGGTTCCCCAGCCACTCTGGGCAGCTTCCAAAAAAAGTATTTAAACACAAGCAATTTCCACTAAAGCAATGTGTTATTTTCCCCTCCTATGTGCATATCTTTGCACAGTACACGCCTCCCCCCAGTATACACATTTTTGTGTGTGTCATCACACTGGAGACCTGCATCACAAAATGTGGATAAGTGCAAATTTAAAAGCCGTCTGCATTTCAGTTTGTGTATTGCTTCAGAAAGCACGTTAAAATCTACCCTGAACTGAATTTCTACCAGTCCTAGTTTGGCATGATGTTACATGCCCAGAGTGCCTTCCATCAGCTTCGGCTGGTGACCCAGCTACACCCCTATCTGGACAGGGATAGCCTAACTGCTGTTGTCTATACTCTGGTAACCTCAACGTTAGGTAACTGCAATGTGTTATATGTAGGGCTGCCTCTCAAGACAGTTCGGAAACTTCAGCTGGTGCAGAATTCAGCGGCCAGGTTACTCACCGGAGCGAGACGGTTTGAGCATATTATACTGATCCTGGTCCAACTGCACTGGCTAAATATTAGTTTCCGGGCCCAATTCAAAGTGCTGGTTTAGACCAATAAAGTCTTAAATGGCTCAGGACCTCAATACCTCATATGGAATGCCTCTTTCCATATGAACCTACCCAGACCCTGAGATCACCTTCTGAGGCCCTTCTTTGTGTGCCTCCTCCTCGAAAGGTCCGGAGGGTGGCAACACAAGAACGGGGCCTTCTCTGCAGTGGCTCCTAATCTGTGGAATGCTCTCCCCAGGGAAGTTCGCCTGGCGCCTTCATTATAAATTGTTAGGCGCCAGGCCAAAACGTTTCTTTGGTTGATTTGATTGACATCCTATGCCTTTTTAAAAGATGTGTTTTTTGTGGGGGGTGTATTGGGTTGTTGGTTTTATTTTGATTATGTATTTTGTGGTTTTATATTTTGGTTTTATTCCGTGAACTGCCCTGAGACCTCCAGGTATAGAGCTGTATATCAGTTCAATAACTAAATAAATAAAATAAAATAAAATACATTGAAGGAAGCAAGTGGCACTGCAGGAAATGAGAGCAGCACAGTGTAGTGGTTAATTAGAAAGATTTCAATGACAGTCATTGGGAAGGAGACCAGTGTAGGAGAACTAAATTTAAGACTGAAAAAGAAGAAGAGAAACTGAAAGAAACCAAAATTGACCTGATTTGCTCATCCCTTTGATGAGGGAGGCTTGCCTGAGTTTTCAAAACCTTCACTCTCTGCGCTTCTGTCCTCAGGTGGAGATGGAGGGAAGGGAAAAGGATCGAAGAAGAAAGGATCATCTTTCCAGACTGTTTCTGCAGTTCATCGGGTAGGAAACCAAAGGCCGCCCCACAAAAAAGATGGGAGAGGGGTGCTTGTTTGATTATTATTTTTTAAGTCAAGCAAGGGGGAGCAAAGAAGACATTGCTGGAAACTAAATAAGTATTGACACACATTCCTCCCTCTCTTTTCCTCCTTCTCTCCTTTCGTCTTCCCCCTTTCCCTGCCTCTTCTTCCCTCACCTCTTCTCTTCCTTTCTACTTTTCCCTCCCACCCTCTCTCTCCCATTTCTGCCTCTCCCTCTCTCCCTCCTCTGTCCCCCTCTCCTTTCCCCTCCCTCTTTATCTCCTCTCCATCTTCTTCCCTCTCTCCCTCTCCTTCTCTCTTTCTCTGGCAGGAGAACCTCAACAAGCTGATGGCCAACCTGAAAACAACCCACCCTCACTTTGTGAGGTGCCTCATCCCCAATGAACGGAAGGCCCCTGGTAATGGGACAGGGACAGGGCTGGTGGACTGGACTGGGAGGTGCTGGTCTGCTGGTTTGGGGAGGCCCTTGGGCAGCTAACTCACAGACAGGGACGTGTCTACGGTTTCACGTTCCCCCAGCGGTGATTACCTGAAATGCGTACCAACAAAAGGAACGGTGGTGCAAAAGACAGGGAGGGAATCTGCCTCTATTGGCATATTTAGCACAACTCTAGCGGCAAATGGAACGGGACAGGAGCCACACAGAGCAATAGAAACATCACTTCTTAAGTGTATGGGAGGTTCCTCTCCCAATGCATTGCCCGGGATCTCTAGGTGGCGCTGTGGGTAAAACCTCAGCACCTAGGACTTGCCGATCGCATGGTTGGCGGTTCGAATCCCCGTGGCGGGGTGCGCTCCCGTCGTTCGGTCCCAGCGCCTGCCAACCTAGCAGTTCGAAAGCACCCCTGCGTGCAAGTAGATAAATAGGGACCACTTACCAAGCGGGAAGGTAAACGGCGTTTCCGTGTGCTGCGCTGGCTCGCCAGAGCAGCTTCGTCACGCTGGCCACGTGACCCGGAAGTGTCTGCGGACAGCGCTGGCTCCCGGCCTCTAGAGTGAGATGAGCGCACAACCCTAGAGTCTGTCAAGACTGGCCCGTACGGGCAGGGGTACCTTTACCTTTACCTTTAGCGGCAAATGGAACGGGACAGGAGCCACACAGAGCAATAGAAACATCACTTCTTAAGTGTATGGGAGGTTCCTCTCCCAATGCGAAAGGATTGGAAGCGACCCCCAAGGGTGTCCAACCCCCACAATGCAGGAATCTTTTGCCCAACGCTGGGCTCGAACCCACGTCCCTGAGGTTAAGAGTCTCATTCTCTACAGACTTCTGGCTCTGCAGTTCTGGAGCAGGAGTGTGGAGTCCTTTTTCTGCCTGGAGACCACATTCCATCCTGGGCAACCTTCTGGGATGGAGTTGTGGGTGGGGGCAAAAGAAAAAGAGGATAGAGCAATGGGTGCAAATTGGGACGCGGGTGGCGCTGTGGTCTAACCCACAGAGCCTAGGGCTTGCAGATCAGAAGGTCGACGGTTCGAATCCCCTAAACGGGGTGAGCTCCCGTTGCTCGGTTCCTGCTCCTGCCAACCTAGCAGTTCGAAAGCACGTCAAAGTGCAAGTAGATAAGTAGGTACTGCTCTGCCGGGAAGGTAAACGGCGTTTCCGTGCGCTGCTCTGGTTTGCCAGAAGCGGCTGAGTCATGCTGGTCACATGACCCGGAAGCTGCACACCGGCTCCCTCGGCCAATAAAGCGAGATGAGCGCCGCAACCCCAGAGACGGTCACGACTGAACTTAACTGTCAGGGGTCCCTTTACCTTTACCTTACGGCAGGCTAGTTTCAACACACCCACACACCTCTCTCTCCTCCAACCAGGCAAGCAAGAGGCATTAATGACACATGCCATCCAGGCAAAGATATTCAAGGAGGTTGCAAAACGGTGTAGGGTGTGGCCCCTGGACCTGAGACTTCCCACCCTTGTTTTAGAGAGACACTATGGGATGTGTGGCGACATAAACTAAGCTTGGATGGGACCCCAGCCAAATGAAGGGCACAGAAGGGGCCCATTTCTAAGGCGGCTGATACCTCCCCTCTCTCTTTCCCTTCGCCAGGAGTGATGGATAATGCTCTGGTCATGCACCAGCTGCGCTGTAACGGAGTCCTGGAGGGGATCCGGATCTGCCGGAAGGGATTCCCCAACCGGATCCTTTACGGGGACTTCAGGCAAAGGTGAATCTGCTTTCGGGGTCACGCTGGGTGGAGGGTGGCCCTTCTCTGCACTGTGCCTGTTGCAACCTGTAATATTTGCTACCTTCCGCGCCATTGAAAAATGCCTTTCATAACAGTACAGTGGTGCCTCGCAAGACGAAATTAATCCGTTCCACAAGTATCTTCGTCTAGCGGTTTTTTCGTCTTGCGAAGCAACCCTATTAGCGGCTTAGCGGATTAGCGCTATTAGCGGTTTAGCGGCTATTAAAGGCTTAGCGGCTTAGAAAAAGGGGGGGGAGCGGAAAAAAAATCTCAAGACTCGCAAGACATTTTCGTCTTGCAAAGCAAGCCCATATGGAAATTCGTCCTGCGAAGCGCATTGAAAACGGAAAACCCTTTCGTCTAGCGGGTTTTCCGTCTTGCGAGGCATTTGTCTTGCGGGGCACCACTGTACTGTTCTTGGGAGGGCAAATGGCTCTCTTTGGAGGTCATGAAACGGCCTGGTCATTTATGGCGGACAACAGACAGCAACGTGCAATTAATTAGCCAGTAAAAATATCTGGAGCACGGGTTGCCTTTACACACCAGCATGGTAGCTCTGCTCAGTCCGATGATTCTTTAGAAGGTTTTGGAGGAGGTGGAATTGCAGTCTAGAACTCTGGCGTTCTCCTACGACTAGAACTGCCTCCTCAGCAGGGCCGGATTTAGGTTTGATGAGGCCCTCAGCTACTGAAGGGAATGGGGCCCTTTATATGTCCAGCTGTCCTTTGTCAACAACAAATTGTCGCTGTTTTTGTGTGTTGAATATATGAAATCAATCAGTAGGCATAAGACTCCTACCCTTAGTCTATGCTGCCTGATCATCAGTCTACAAGCACTCTTTAATGTTAGATAACAGGTACAACAGCTTGACCTACATTCAACTGTGCTTCACTCCAGTCTGCAGCTGCATGCTACATGTTGCCCTGCAACCAGTCCATGCAGAATGTAGGCACCCTATATATAGAAATGAGCAAACCAGTGATATTTTAGGGAGCAGGCTAGTAGGCTCCTGTGTGAGTGCCTGGAGGCGGTTGGAGGATGGATGGCGGCTAATGGATTGAAGTTGAATCCTGACAAGACAGAAGTACTGTTTTTGGGGGACAGGGGGCGGGCTGGTGTGGAGGACTCCCTGGTCCTGAATAGGGTAACTGTGCCCCTGAAGGACCAGCTGCGCAGCCTGGGAGTCATTTTGGACTCACAGCTGTCCATGGAGGTGCAGGTCAATTCTGTATCCAGGGCAGCTGTTTACCAACTCCACCTGGTACGCAGGCTGAGTACCCTACCTGTCCGCGGACTGTCTCACCAAAGTGGTGCATGCTCTAGTTATCTCCCGCTTGGACTACTGCAATGCGCTCTACGTGGGGCTACCTTTGAAGGTGACTCGGAAACTACAACTAATCCAGAATGCGGCAGCTAGACTGGTGACTGGGGGCGGCCACCGAGACCACATAACACCGGTCTTTCAAGACCTACATTGGCTCCCAGTACGTTTCCGAGCACAATTCAAAGTGCTGGTGTTGACCTTTAAAGCCCTAAACGGCCTCAGCCCAGTATACCTGAAGGAGCGTCTCCATCCCTATCGTTCTGCCCGGACGCTGAGGTCCAGCGCCAAGGGCCTTCTGGCAGTTCCCTCATTGCGAGAAGCAAAGCTACAGGGAACCAGGCAGAGGGCCTTCTCGGTAGTGGCGCCTGCCCTGTGGAACGCCCTCCCATCAGATGTCAAAGCGATAAATAACTACCTGACATTCAGAAGACATCTTAAGGCAGCCCTGTTCAGGGAAGTTTTTAATCTGTGATATTTTAGTGTATTTTTGGTTTCTATGGAAGCCGCCCAGAGTGGCTGGGGAAACCCAGCCAGATGGGCGGGGTACAAATAATATATTATTATTATTATTATTATTATTGGCGGGGCCCATGACTTACATCATAGGAGCCTACACAACACAAAACACTGTTGCTGTATGTAGGTTTTTCCCCCTTTAATTTTTTTGGGGGCCCCCAAGAGAGTGGGGCCCTAAGCTATAGCTTGTTTAGCTTATACGTAAATCCAGCACTGCTCCCAGGCACTTGCTTCTGCGCCCCTAGCCATATAGCCAAATACTATAAGAAGGACTTGCTGGAAATAAGATCTGAACTAGAATACAAAATTGGGAGGTGAGAGGAGGTCATGGAAATAAGTAAAGGGAAAAGGTTATGTAAAGGTTTAATCTGTTTTTGTTCTATTCTAATTCAATGCATTTTTATATTTTTTGTTTTGTCTTCTTTTTTATTCTATTTTATTGTTCACTTTTTTCTTGTTATCTCTCGCTTTGTTATGGTTAAATTTTTTTCTGTATTTTGTATTGTTTTTTTTTCTTTTTTTGTAATTTTAAACTTGGAATAAATATCATTTAAAAAAAAATACTATAAGTAATATTTACGAAGAATAGTACATTACAACATGTTCTAATGGAACTGCTTTATTTTGTGTTTTCATTATGGGTGCTTATTTATTGTTTGTGCCATTGGCCTTTATACTTGTAAACTGCTTAGAAGGCTATTTTGGCACTAAGTGATATATAAATTGATTAACAACAACAAAGGTTAAAAATAAAATAAAAATTGATCGTTCACTGACCCAAATTGAAAATAGGCCTAAAACAGGTCAATTAAGAAATATGCCGTCCTGGTTTTACGCCCCTGTACTTTCTTCCCATCAGAAGAATCTTACAGCTTTGGCAGCGGAATCTAACAGAATATTTCCCTCCCCACCAGGTACCGTATCCTGAACCCAGCTGCCATCCCTGAGGGCCAGTTCATCGACAGCCGGAAGGGAGCAGAGAAGCTCTTGGGCTCCTTAGATATCGACCACAACCAGTACAAGTTTGGCCACACTAAGGTGAGAGGGTGGAGCCTTTGCAGCCGCTTCCAGACAGCCTGTTTATTCAGCATCCATCCTGATTAACTTTCACATAACTTATGTGGTCATTAGACAATATCCAGTATTTATTGAGCATTTGTTCTGATTTGATTTCGTAGAGCGGTTATATCACAGTAATTTGCTTGTGGGGTGTCTCTGCATTTCCTTTAATATTTTGTTCACCCACCCTTTTTGGTGTGTTTCCCAGTCAGTTTCTAAACTGCAAGAAGTTCATATGGATTTGTTGCTCTAAGCAAGCAATCTGCAATAAAACTTGGTACCGCTGGGGTGATTGACACCCGTCAGTCGGATAGGGAAGTGTTGTCAGCACTGAGACTCAGATGTATAGAGCTGAACTCAAAATGCTTGTTTACATAGCTGTTGTACTACCAACCTTACTGTATGCTTGTGAAACATGGACCACTTATAAACGCCATCTCCAACTTCTTGAAAGATTCCATCAACGGTGTCTCTTAAAAATTTTACACATCACTTGGGAAGACAGGCGAACTAATGCCAGTGTACTGGAAGAAGCAAAGATCACCAGTGTTGAAGCAATGATTCTTCAACATCAACTTCGCTGGACTGGTCATGTTGTGCGGATACCTGATTATTGTCTTTCAAAGCAACTACTCTATTCCAAACTTCAAAATGGAAAGTGTAATGCTGGCAGTCAGCAAAAGAGGTTTAAAGACTCTCTCAAGGCAAATCTAAAAAAATGTAGTATGTTGTTGTTGTTTTTAGTCGTTTAGTCGTGTCCGACTCTTTGTGACCCCATGGACCAGAGCACGCCAGGCACTCCTGCCTTCCACTGCCTCCCGCAGTTTGGTCAAACTGTAGTATAAAATGTAGTATAAACACTGACAACTGGGAAACACTGGCCTGCGAGCGCTCCACTTGGAGAACAGCCTTTACCAAAGGTGTCCTGGGCTTTGAAGACACTCGAACTCAGGACGCAAGGCAGAAACGTGCTAAGAGGAAGGCACAATTGGCAAATCCACACCGTGATCAAATCCTGCCCGGAAACCAATGTCCCCATTGTGGAAGGACGTGTGGATCCAGACTTGGCCTCCACAGGCACTTACAGACTCATTGTTAAGACTGTGTTTATGGAAGACAATCTTACTCGGCTACGAGTGATAGAAGAAGAAGAAAAAAAAGAAGAGGAAGAGGAAGAAGAAGAAGAAGGACTGGTGCTCATCTAGTGCCCTTGTGGGCAATATTGTATGATAGATAGATGATAGATATAGATGATAGATAGATAGATAGATAGATAGATAGATAGATAGATAGATAGATAAATGATAGATAGATGATAGATAGATGATAGATAGATAGATATAGATAGATAGATAGATAGATAGATAGATAGATAGATAGATAGATAGATATAGATGATAGATAGATAGATAGATTGATTGATTGATAGATAGATGATAGCTAGATAGAGGCTTAGCCAGAGATTCTCATGCCGACCCCCCCACCACCTTTCCCTCTCCTTCCAGGTGTTTTTCAAGGCTGGACTGCTGGGCCAGTTGGAGGAAATGCGAGACGAACGCCTTTCCCGCATCATCACCCGCATCCAAGCGCAGGCCAGGGGTCAGCTTATGCGCATCGAGTTTAAGAAGATTATGGAACGTCGGTGAGCGCCGTGATTATCCCTTCTTAACTTGCAGGTTGGGCGGGAGTAAGAATCGATTTCCACGGTATCTGGAAGAGGGAGATTCACAATAACAAGATTTCCACAGGATCACCTGTTATTCCATTTCAACAAACGTGCTGCAGGCACTTTCCGAATGCACTTTCAGAGCATTTGGTTCGCAGGGAATCTTAGTTAGTTTTGGCTATTTAATGAGCATTTGTCCCGATTTGGTTACGGGTGCGTAGATGGCGTTGCATCAAAGCAAGCGCATTACCCCATCATTTTGCTTATCGCAGAAAAAAGAAGTCTGGTCTTTAGGGGCAGGCAGGCTTGTTTCCTCAAACGACTGTAATTGTGCAGCCAAAATTTAGCAGCATGGGACAGAACCCCATCTGAAAATAGGGACAGCCTGGAAGCACCTTTTGCGGTCACAAGAAGACCCGCTCTTGATGGTTGTCAGAAATGCTGGTGGGCAGTTGCTTTGCTAGGCAACGTGACTGTTTAAAAGATATTTGGCTAGTACAATGGTACCTCAGGTTACATATGCTTCAGGTTATAGACGCTTCAGGTTACAGACTCCGCTAACCCAGAAATATTACCTCAGGTTCAGAACTTTGCTTCAGGATGAGAACAGAAATCGTGCTCCGGCAGCGCAGCGGCAGCAGGAGGCCCCATTAGCTAAAGTGGTGCTTCAGGTTAAGAACACTTTCAGGTTAAGAACTGACCTCCAGAACGAATTAAGTACTTAACCCGAGGCACCACTGTACTTATACAGTGCTTATTTATTTGCACTTATAGTCTGTCCTTCGGCAAATGGTTCCCAGGGCGAGTTACAAGCACACACAATTAAAATAAGCAAGAACGTGCAGTTAGAATCATTTTAAAAATCATTTTATATTGCGTTTTATACCATAAACTGCCCTGTGATCCGCGGATGAAGGGCAGTACAGAAACTTAATAAAATTAATAAATGAAGTGAAAAAGGGGGCCCGTGGGAAGGGAAAAAAAACCTGTGGAACTCTACAACAATGACCACCAAGACCTCACGAATTGCAGTTTCTTTTTTTCTCCTTGCCTGGAACCTTGTTTTCAAAACCAAAAAGCAATCCATATCAGAATAAATAAATAAAAGCAGTGGCGCAGAATACAATGCACAGCAATGGAAGAGGAGGCAAGGCAGCCAATTGGTCAAAGCCTGGAGGGTAAAGAGTTGAAATTTTGACCAATCACTGAAAACCACAGGGACATAGAGGGCTGCCTTACCCCCAAGTCGGAATATTGAGTCCCTTAGCTCAGCACTGCCCACTGTGACAGTCATAGTTCCTCCAGGGTTTCTGGCAGGAAGGTGGGGGAGACGCTTTCCCCTGCTAAGGGGCTAAATCCCCCGTTTCCTTACCCTCTTTTCCCCAGGGATGCGTTGCTGGTGATTCAGTGGAACATCCGGGCGTTCATGGGGGTGAAAAACTGGCCTTGGATGAAGCTGTTCTTCAAAATCAAGCCTCTGCTCAAGAGCGCAGAGACCGAGAAGGAGATGCAGGTAACGCTTCTCGGGTTACGACTGAAATTTATCCAGAACTGCTAAGGGTTAAAAATAAATAAATTAAGGGCTGCCACACTTGAGTCCATCCAAAAACATCTGGAAGGCCATCGAGTGCTCCAAGCTATCCCTGATTTGCTCACAGGGGTTCATAGCAGGCAGTTTATGCACTCCACAAATATATGAACACCTTGCGCAACAGTGTAAATTAATGCAGAATTGGCCCTGTTACATGTTTGACACGATGCTCATTCCACATTTGTAAGAAACTGACATCAGGCCTTTGCTGTTACTCCTTCTGGTGCCTGCTGGAAATATTTTGGTTTAGGCAAGCCTATCCGGATGTGTAGGGTTGACGCTTTAATCGTAAGTTTTAGCTGATCAGTTTTAATAACTTTTTTTGGAAGGTTTTCAAATTATTTTAAAACTGTTTGCTGATAGTTTCATTTTTTTAATTCTGTTTGTAACATGCTTTGAGGTCACTGGGGTTTTATTTTACAATCAAGTGGAATATAATTTTTTATGAAATAAATACACAAACAGTGAAGGCCAGGTTGAACCCTTTGCATGCTAGTCTTCTACAAACAAGGGCCGTTATTTTCCGGTTGCGAAACCGTTCAAGCACCCAACCTCACACCTTCAATCTGAAGTTGAAAAAGGTCTCGAAGCAGCTTTGCTCTACCAGCTTTGAAACATCCCTTCCCAATATATAAACCTGCCATTCACGTTTCCTTTTAAGCAGCTACCACTGGCTGGCTGGTTGAGTCCATCAGTCTTGTTTTCTTCTCCGCAGACAATGAAGGAAGAATTTGGGCGACTGAAGGAAGCCCTGGAGAAATCGGAGACTCGGAGGAAGGAGCTGGAGGAAAAGATGGTCTCCCTGTTGCAGGAGAAGAATGATCTCCAACTGCAAGTTCAAGCTGTGAGTGACTTTATAAAGCCACCGGGACAAACCGCAAGGTCCTGGAGAGAGAGAGTCCTCGGTTGCTTCCATGTGACCGGCTCATTGAGCATATTTCTGGATTTGTTTGCATAAGGTTTGTGGGGAGGTTAGACAACGTTGGTGATCTGTTGTGCATTGATTCTGGTTTGCTTGCAGAGAGAGTCGGTGCTGCTGCATTGAGTAAGCATCTCCTCACATTCTGAAATTTGTTTCCTCATCTCTCTCTGAAATATACTCAGAGTTGAGAGTGGATTTCATGCTCTTTATTCAGCTCATAGTGGTGAGGAGGAATGAATGTTTCCCCAAAGTATCTGCTTTATATACATTATTTACACAATGGGCTGCACGTGATTGGCTAATTCCGGAATTCTCCTGTAGGCCAATCAGGTTGTGGATTCACTTCCATCTGGAGCTGGATTGGGTGGCTCCTGCAGACCAATCATACTGCTGCATTGTTCTAGGACCAATCAGACTGCTGCATTTTGGATCCTGTTCAACTCAGTACATAACACTCTCCTTATCGCTCTTGTTACGCGACGGATCAACTTTAATGGCGAAACCTGAATTGACCGGTATATGACTGAATCACACCCAAAGTTGGCAAGAAGCTGTGATCTAGCCCCACTGATGGGCCCTGCAGATTTCTTACCACTGCCCTGGCTGCCAGCAGCTCTGCAGGATTCAGATGGGGGTCCTTCCCTGTCGTACCTGGAGATGCCAGGGTCTGAATCTGGGATCTTCTGAATGCAAACCATCAGCTCTGCCACCGAGCTACTGACACCAAAAGATCCCATTTGGCAGCAATACTTGACTCTGTAATTAACAACCTCTATTTTTACCTTCCTGGTAGATGGTAAAAAGGTAAAAGGCAAATGACCCCTGGACGGTTAAGTCCAGTCAAAGGCGACTATAGGGTTGCGGCACTCATCTCTCTTCAGGCCAAGGGAGCCAGCGTTTGTCCACAGACAGCTTTCCGGTTTGTGTGGCCAGCAGGACTAAACCGCTTCTGGCGGAACGGGACACCGTGACGGAAACCAGAGTGCACGGAAATGTTGTTTACCTTCCCGCCACAGCAGTAACTATTTATCTACTTGCACTGGTGTGCTTTCGAACTGCTAGATTGGCAGGAGCTGCGAATGGGAGCTCACCCCGTTGTGGGGATTCGAACCACCGACCCTCTGATCGGCAAGCGCAAGAGCAGGGGTCAGCAAACTTTTTCAGCAGGGGGCTGGTCCACTGTCCCTCAGACCTTGTGGGGGGCCAGACTATATTTTGGAAAAAAATATGAACGAATTCCTATGTCCCACAAATATCCCAGAGATGCATTTTAAATAAAAGCACACACTCTACTCCTGTAAAAACACACTGATTCTTGGACCGTCTGCGGGCCGGATTTAGAAGGCGATTGTGCCATATCCAGCCCCTGGGCCTTAGTTTGCCTACCCATGCCCAAGAGGCTCAATGGTTTAGACCACAGCGCCACCTGGAGGGGGTGGACAGAGTGGACAAAATGCATCCTTCCCACCTAATTGCATTGGCCTCTATAGAAACAAGGTGTTTGAGGAAAGGGTTGTAGCTCAGCGGTAGAACATTTGCTTAGCAAGCAGAAAATATCAAGTTCAATTCCAGCATCTCCAGGTAGGACTAGAAATTTCCCCCTGTCTGAAACCCTGGATAGCCACTGCCAGTCAGGGTGGAAATTACTGAGTTATATGAGCCAATAATCTGACTCAGTATAAGACAGCTCCCTATGTTTCTGTGAAATGGGCGCATATGGAATTGACAAAACGGTTCAGGATACTGGGCAGATATGAAGCAAAGGTCAACGTGCACTGTTGCTATCTCTTAAGAAGACAGGAAGGTACGTTGGGATCAAAACAGCCTTTTACATTATCAAAAAGTCCTAACATATTTGTTTTATTTTTATTTATTAAATTTGTACGCCGCCCTCTACCCATAGATCTCAGGGTGGTTCACAACATAAAATCACAATAAAAGCACTTTTGACCTTTCACGTCTCATCTCTTTGCAGCACCTCCTTGTTCCCGTTTACTCCGTCCTCCTCAAATGCCTAAAGAGATGCTCGCTTTTCCAAAAAACCCCTTCTTTCCTTCCTCTCCTCTCGCAGGAACAAGATAATCTGAACGATGCTGAGGAACGGTGCGACCAGCTGATCAAGAACAAGATTCAGCTGGAGGCCAAGGTGAAGGAGCTGACCGAGAGGATGGAGGATGAGGAGGAGATGAACGCCGAGCTGACGGCCAAGAAACGGAAGCTGGAGGACGAGTGTTCGGAGCTCAAGAAGGACATTGATGACCTGGAGCTGACCCTGGCCAAAGTGGAGAAGGAGAAGCACGCCACGGAGAACAAGGTGCGCTTAGAGTGGCAGCGAGGCAAGTTCCCTATGTGAACCTGCCAAGGTGATAAGGTCCTTAGGTGAGCACCTGTTCCCAGCCCCTTTGACATTAGTGGCACAGCTGGTGGGGACACAAGAGAGGGCCTTTTCGGTGGTGGCTCCCTGTTCTGAACTGCAGGCCCAAAGGAGGGCTTGTGGGAGTGGTTGGGTGCAGGGAGACCAAAGAAGGATGTCAAAAACATCGGAATGGCCAGTTCCAGAGAAGGTGTCGACTTAGGCAAAGCAGCCTGCCGTTTCTCCTAGCCTTTGCAGACACCGCAGCAAGGAGATGGCTTTGCCCGCACCCAAACAAACCTTCTTAATACAGCAGAGCAGCACATGTCATTTCACCCGACTAGATGAGGTCATAGGTGGCAAATACCCAAACCCGTCAGGATGCTTTCAGCGGCTCCCAGCAGGGTTGCCCAGGAAAGTATAAAGACAAGGGAAAGTTTCTTACCGTCCTTTTTCATTTCAATATTTACAGAGAGAGGCTATAGAACCCAGCCTCTTGGATAATGGTGTTGTCCTGAGTGAATCTCCACCCTCCGTCTCTCCCGCTTCCTCATTCGTCTCCTACGGGTGCTGCTACGTGCCCTCTGCCTTCAAGCTCTTTGCTCTCCTACTTTTAAGGCTCAGCGAGTTCTGGGAGATGGAGGGTCTGGGATGCTTTCTAATGACAATGTGTCAGCCAGCTGCCTCTCCAGTTCTGCCTTCCCCTCTCCCATTATTTTCCAGCTTTCCCCCTCATCTGCCTCTGAGCTGTGACCTCCCTCAAACCCCTGTTGTAAACCTACACTGTCCTCCTCTTCCTCCTCCTTGGAAGGGTCAGAATGGGGAGGAGGTCTCCCCTATTCCACCTCTGCCCAGTCCCTGACAACACCTTGCAGATAGTTCTCCTTTCTGGGCTCAGAGCCCAGCCCCCAGTTCCGCAGATAAGGATTGCATCAAAGCAGGCCAATTAGTGTAGGAATATAAACATATGTGAGCCCATTGCTGCAACCACTACCAATTAATTGTGAGGTTTTCTTGACTACCAAGATGCTTCCGGAACAGTTTGCCTTTGGTTCAACACACTCCCAGATTGTGGAATTCCCTCCCAAGAGAGGTCAGACTGGCTCCCTCTTTTGTTACCCTTCCACCAGCAGGCTAAGGCCTCTGCAACATATTCTACCGACAAGCTAAGACTTGCTTTCTGTCCCACCAATCGTCACAGATCAGGCTGAGTGATCTGAGTGGGCTGCCCTCCAGCTAAGAGCTTCTCCCCACATGCTCCTGAGACCCCCACATGTCGATTCAAGGTTGTCCCTTCCCCACAACTCCTTACATCTCTGGGGTTTGGCCTTCCCACCAGGTGAAAAATCTCACGGAGGAGATGGCCGGTCTGGACGAGATCATCGCCAAGCTGACCAAGGAGAAGAAATCCTTGCAAGAGGCCCACCAGCAAGCTCTGGATGACCTACAGGTCGAAGAAGACAAAGTCAACACGCTCAGCAAAGCCAAGCTGAAGCTGGAGCAGCAGGCGGACGATGTGAGTCAACAGCAGAGACTGGAGAGTCTCATGAGAAGCTGTTCTCAGAGCTGGAGCCTTCCAAGTGCTGGCGGACTCCAACTCCCATCAGCCCTGACCATTGGCTGCACTGGCTGCTGAGGCTGATGGGAGATGTAGTCCAGCAACATCCAGAAGGACACAAATCCTCCATCCTTGCGTCCAACCAAAGATCTCTTGCTCTGGCAGATCTTCTTGGTGGGAGAGAGGGGCTTTCCCCACCTTTAGCTATCGCAGTTTCTCTGCCACAGGGGTGGGGGACATTTTATTAATTTTTTTCAATATAATTTTTATTACATTTCCTGTTTTACAATTTAGAATATTCATTTAAACAACCTTAAAATATCAAAACCTTCCCTTCTTCTCTTTCCGTGGTTCATTTTGCAAAACATAAATCCCTACATGTTTTATATAAACTAAACCATTCAGTGTTCCATTATGACAGCTGTCAAAACTTAACTTACACTGTTGTATTTATCTTAATGTTGCCAGTGTTTTCAAGTGTACACAATTACCCCCATTTTTTCCAGTAAACATTTTCCAGTGTTCTTCAAACGTATGTTCTTCTCGTTCTCTTATTCTGTATGTTAGGTCAGCAAGCTGCGCATATTCTGTCAGCTTAAGTTGCCATTCTTTTTTAGTTGGGACCTCGGGGGTAAGGGGCATTTTACGTCCTGTGGGCCACGTTGACAACTTTCCCAAGTCGCATGCCAGCAGTGGATGGGGACAGAGGTCAAACTGGGTGGACTGATACGTGTGCTTTCACTCTGCGTCCACAACTGGAAGGCAGCAGAGCTTCTGAATGCTAGTTGCTGGAAAACACAGGAGAAGAGAAGGGTGTCTGTTTGGCTGCTGAGAGACTGTGGTCCTGGGCTAGGTGGGCTGTGGTCCTGATCCAGAAGGGCTCCCTCTTTCCATACTCCATCCAGGCAAATGTGCCCCATCTCCCAAAAAAAGGTTGGCCAACCTCTGATCTAGTAAAAGGTAAAGGGACCCCTGACCATTAGGTCCAGTCTCAGACGACTCTGGGGTTGCGGCGCTCATCTCGCTTTATTGGCCAAGGGAGCCGGCGTACAGCTTCCGGGTCATGTGGCCAGCATGACTAAGCCGCTTCTGGCGAACCAGAGCAGCGCACGGAAACGCTGTTTACCTTCCTGCCGGAGTGGTACCTATTTATCTACTTGCACTTTGATGTGCTTTTGAACTGCTAGGTTGGCAGGAGCAGGGACCGAGCAATGGGAACTCACCCCGTTGCGGGGATTCATACCGCCGACCTTCTGATTGGCAAGTCCTAGGCTCTGTGGTTTAACCCACAGCGCCACCCGCGTCCCATCTAGTGGACAGCCCCAAATGAATTCTGCAGTCCAAAGCACAAGAAACCACCTGTGAGTAACACCCGTTTCTTCTTCTTGTTGTTCTTGTCTGCCTCTTTCAAACCAGCTGGAAGGCTCCCTGGAACAGGAGAGGAAGATCCGTATGGACCTGGAACGGGCCAAGAGGAAGCTGGAAGGGGACTTGAAGCTGACCCAGGAGAACATCATGGACCTGGAGAACGACAAGCAACAGCTGGAGGATAAACTGAAAAAGTAGGGGACGTGCCTCATCTTAGCACGCTTTGCAGGAGCCTCGGGAAACAGGAGAGAGAGAGAGAGAGAGGCCACCCCTCTCTGCCTGCCACTACCAAACTCTTTTCACTGTTTTCACCCTTTACTCTTGGGTAGCATATTCGTGGAGGAGGGGGCTATGGATGGCTAGTAGCCCTGACGGCTGAGCTGTGCCTTCATACCTGGAGGCAGTAGTAATAATAATAATAATTTAGTATTTATACTCCGCCCATCTGGCTGAGTTTCCCCAGCCACACTGGGCAGCTCCCAACAGAATATTAAAAACAAAATAAAATATCTAACATTAAAAACTTCCCTAAACAGGGCTGCCTTCAGATTTCTTCTAAAAGTCAGGTAGTTGCTTATTGCCTTGACATCTGATGGGAGGGTGTTCCACAGGGCGGGCGCCACCACCAAGAAGGCTCTCTGCCTGGTTCCCTGTAGCCTCACTTCTTGCAGTGAGGAAACTGCCAGAAGGCCCTCGGAGCTGGACCTCAGTAATCTTTTTTTTTTTTTTTAATATTTATTAGGGTTTTCACAATATTACAAAATGGAAAAAAAAGAAAGAATACAAAATAAAAATAGTTAAAAACAATTCAATCTTTCGATCACTTATCTTTCATTTGCTTGTTTCCCAGACCTCCTCATACCTCCCTTTTTTGTATTCCAGTTCAATTTATTAGTTCAGCAAATCCTTTCCCTCTTTGTTTTATCCTGATCTTTAATCTTAATATATTATAGCATTAAATTTTTACCTATTAAAAATCCATTTTTTCATATTCTTTTATACCATTACAGCTAAAAACCACTTAACTTCAATCCAACATCCTTCTAGCATTCATTAATTTTGCAGTATTTCTGTAAATAGTCTTTAAATTTCTTCCAATCTTCCTCCACCAACTGGACCTCAGTAATCTTTCCAAATACCATTTGCTGGAAGCCACAGGAGAGGAGAGGGCACTTGTGCTCAGGTTGTGCTTGTTGGCTCCCCACTGGGGCATCTAGTTGGTCACCGCAAGAACAGGATGCTGGACTAGGTGGACCATTGGCCTGATCCAGCAGGCTCTTCTTTATATCCTTATATATATCTAAAACGAATGCATGTGAGCTGTGTCCAGTTCTGTCCACCAGGGATTAAGGAGGGTGTTGTTGACACTATTGCAACAGGCCTGGACACCCAAGGCTGAAGAGCCCAAGTCTAGACCAAGAGCCTCATTCTGGTGGCAGCTCTGGGTATGATGCTTTGGTAAGGTGAAAATCATGCAGACCGGCGGGGGGTGGGGGGATAGATAGGAATTATGATCAAAGACCAGTTCACATAACATAACACAATAAAAACAGCATTCATAAAGATAAAATATACAATCGGAGCAGATTGCAGCAATAGCTCATGAGTTAAAATTGAGATATAGCCACTTCCACCTTCAAAAGGAGGTGGTGTTGCGTGATTGAGGGAATCCCCGGCCGCGTCATCCCCTGGACAGCCAATCGGCTGGCTCGGGAGGCGTGGCCTGCCCTATTTAATGCAGGCACGGCTGAGGATCTCCCTCTTTTGCCGCCTCCAGCTGCTCCAGCTGAAGGGCAACTTCAGCATTTCCCTAGTGAGCTATTTTATTCTAGAGGATGATCTGTATTCTAGAGGATTATCTGATGTATGAATGCGGTATGGGAAGGGAATGGGAGGATGGTGGTGTTTACTTCCCCAAATGCCTTTTTCAGGAAGGAGTTTGACATCAACCAGCAGAACAGCAAGATCGAAGATGAGCAGGCCCTGGCTTCACAGCTTCAGAAGAAGTTGAAGGAACTGCAGGTGGGTGCCCAGCTTAGACCTTCAGCTTTCAGATATCTCTCCTCTCTAGAAATGCCCAGGGGTGGACTTTCCCTCTTTCCCCAGCTCTTGGCTTTATGTTCTAGAACCACCTTCTGACCTAGAACCAACCCCCTGTGAGTTTGGCCCTGGGACAAGCCACCGGCCACCCAAAGGGTCTTGCCCTTGAGCCAATATGCTGGATGGATTGAGGGACCCGTCTTCTTTTTTCTGTGCTCCAGGCGCGGATCGAGGAGCTGGAAGAGGAGCTGGAGGCGGAGCGAGCATCCCGGGCCAAGGTGGAGAAGCAGCGCTCCGACCTCTCGCGGGAGCTGGAGGAGATCAGCGAGCGGCTGGAGGAGGCCGGCGGGGCCACCACCGTGCAGGTGGAGCTGAACAAGAAGCGGGAGGCGGAATTCCAGAAGATGCGCCGCGACCTGGAGGAGGCCACTCTCCACCACGAGGCCACGGCGGCCACGCTCCGCAAGAAGCACGCCGACTCGGTGGCCGAGCTGGGGGAGCAGATCGACAACCTGCAACGCGTGAAGCAGAAGCTGGAGAAGGAGAAGAGCGAGTTGAAGCTGGAGCTGGACGACGTGGGCTCCAACATGGAGCAGCTGCTGAAAGCCAAGGTGTTGTATGGATGGATGGAGGAGCTAAAGATACGTAGCTCAAAGGGGTACCTGGATACCTGGAGGTGGAAGCTGGGGAGAGGGGGAAGCTGGGAAGGTGTTATCCTGATACCTTCTAGAGACCAAGCTGAGCCAAGGGGCGTCCTACAGGGATGTCGTTTAGTGGACTGTCTCCAAATGACGTAATCAAGCCAACCGAGTGACACGGCCAACGCCGTATTGTCCAGAGCACTGTCTACAAATCCAGCATGTTCCTTTAAACTGAGAGACTCAGTTAAGCCTGATTAAGATTAAAAGGGCAGCATGTGGCCCATTTGCTTGAACGTTTTGCCCCACCTTCCTCGTGTTGCTGCCTTTCTGGCATCTGGAGCTGTCCTCCTCACTCCTCTCTCACTTTCCTCGCTTCCCCCCCCCTTCTCCTCTCGGCCGGCAGGTGAATTTGGAGAAGATGTGTCGCACCGTGGAGGACCAGGCTGCAGATTACCGGGCCAAGTTTGAGGAGACCCAGAGGACCCTCAACGACACCAACACACAGCGGGCCAAACTCCAAACGGAAAATGGTAAAACACACATCGTTTTCCCACTGGCTTTCTGATTATTTACTTTCCTAGAGGGAACAAAATTCAGGGCTGCCCTGCCGTTAGGCATAGTGAGCACCTCAGGTGGCAGATATTGGGGGGCAGCAGCAACTCTTGGATATTCCTCTTTGTTGCCCCTCACTTTTTCTTGGGGCCATGGAAGGTGCTGTTCAGCCAATGTTCATCTTCCAGTCCATTTGGTTTCCATATGTGGAATGGAGAGTGGGTGGCCATCTTGGCCGTCGCCTCAGGCCATGAAATGTCTTGGGCCCCAGACGGAGCCTGCAGAAGCAAACATTCCATCTCCCTTGCCCCTCAGGAGAACTCGCCCGCCAACTCGAAGAGAAAGAGGCTCTCATTTCTCAGCTCACTCGAGGGAAGCAGTCGTACACCCAGCAAATGGAGGACTTGAAGAGGCAGCTGGAAGAGGAGGCCAAGGTAAAAGAGCCGTGAGAACTGTTGGTCTGAAGCAGAGGGACGCTGAGAGAAAACAGAACGACAGAATCGCAGGAACTGTGGGTCCGGGATCAGAGCCTGAGGGAAAATCAGTGGAATATGAGAATCAGGGGGATTCAGGATTCAGAGGTTGCAGTGGGAGAAGGCATGAAGGAGGTGTTGAGAGAGATCAACCAAATATTCTCATGTCCGTCCTTCACTCAGGCCAAGAATGCTCTGGCGCATGCGCTGCAGTCGGCCCGCCATGACTGCGACCTTCTGAGGGAGCAGTATGAGGAAGAAGTAGAGGCCAAAGCAGAGCTCCAGCGCTCTCTGTCCAAGGCCAACTCCGAGGTGGCGCAGTGGAGGACCAAGTACGAGACCGACGCCATCCAGAGGACGGAGGAGCTGGAGGAGGCCAAGTAAGTGAGAAGGTCTGGGATGGATGTCTACCTCAGCCCTGCCAGCTCACAGGCCTGCCTGGCTCTTGTGGAATGGCTCAAGGGTCCAGGCGGAGATGGACAAGCCAAGGCATTTGAGCAGCAGGAGGCTCAGACCAAAGAAACAGGCCTGGCCTGGCCTGACCGCTCCGATAGCCACACAGCCTCCTCTGGCCTATCAGGGGTTTGGGCAGCTGCTGAAGCAGGTGGCCGTTTTCTTTCCTACTCCTTACCTTGGCCGGCACTCGAGGTGGGGATGTGGGCCCCCTCGGCAGCCTTTGGGGTCTGCTGTGGGCCTGACTCTCTCACACCCCACCACTGCCCCCCCTCCAGCCCTGCCCGTCCCCCCAAAGCCCCACGGACATCGCTCTTCGGTTCCTCTAACGGCGAAGCTTTTGGCTCGGGTTATATTTTAAAATGGCAGCGTATAAGACGAGCAAAAAGCTTGTTGGTTGGAGGAGAAATCCCCCACTTAAAAAAACAAAACCAAAAAGGCACTAAGGTAGGTTGAGGTAGGAGGAGCTGTGGTGTTGGTGACCGGGGTGGGGGGTACATTCACTGTCCCCAACGAGGCCAAAAGAGCAGAGCTGGGGGTACGACACACAAGTTGTGGGCCTCGCCTGTGCAGCCACACTCTGCCCCCCTATGATGACTGCTGTCCCAGGTAGAGCAGGGGTGGGGGACCCTCATGGTCCCCCCAGCAACCTCTGTTCCTCCTCTCTCTGTGTATAAAACCCTCTGACTTCTGTATGGCTGGAGTGCAGCCTACAGTACAAAGGTAAGAATCGAAGCCATTGGCCCGTCTACTTTTGCCTCTGTCCCTAATCATTGGCATTCGGCCCTCGGAAGGTTGGCCACAAGGGAATGTGGCCCCTGGACTAGGAAAAGAAAGGTCGCCCACCCCTGAGGTGAGACCATTGAGATTACTTCCCGGAGCGCCCTGGAGAGGTCATTGTGGAGGCCCATTTTCTCTCTGCTGTTCCTCCTCTCCCTCATCCATAGACTGAGGAAGCAAGCCAGCCCCTCCTGCGGTAATAATTGATTCACTTTCCCCCCACCCACCCACCCACAAACTTGCATATCAGGAAGAAGCTGGCGCAGCGCCTCCAGGACGCTGAGGAGGCGGTGGAGGCCGTGAACGCCAAGTGCTCCTCCCTGGAGAAGACCAAGCACCGCCTGCAGAACGAGATCGAAGACCTCATGGTGGACGTGGAGCGCTCAAACGCGGCCGCAGCTGCCCTGGACAAGAAGCAGAGGAACTTCGACAAGGCGAGTGACTCAGCTGGGAGAAAGGGAAATGGGCGCAATTCAGAGTGAAACAAGGGTCGTGTCCTCCAGCTCAAGTTAGAGTTGTTGTTGTTGTTTGCCCTCTTTCCCCTCCATCCTCTCAGATCCTCTCGGAGTGGAAGCAGAAATATGAGGAGACCCAGGCAGAGCTGGAGGCCTCTCAGAAGGAGTCCCGGGCGCTCAGCACCGAGCTCTTCAAGCTGAAGAACGCCTACGAGGAGTCTCTGGAGCACCTGGAGACCTTGAGGAGGGAGAACAAGAACTTACAGGGTGAGTTAGGGTGAGGACGAGGCCTTTGGCAAAGCCTTGCTGCTTCACAGCTTATCCCTCACTTGAGCTTATCCTTCTCTCCGGTCTGAGCCAAGTCTTCCGCTTCCTCCTCTCTCCCCACAGAGGAGATTTCCGACCTCACTGAGCAGTTGGGCGAGGGGGGCAAGAGCATGCACGAACTAGAGAAGGTCCGGAAGCAGCTGGAGGCTGAGAAGATGGAGTTGCAGGCAGCTCTGGAAGAGGCTGAGGTGATACCAAACGCCTTTCTCCCTTAAACACCAACCTTTGCCCCTCCTTGTCCTCCTGTCTGTGCTTCTACTTCTTTTCTCTCACCTCCTCTTCCCTTCCATCCCCCTCCCCTATTTTAAATCACTTTAATCACCACAGTTTCCCCACACAAGGAACCCTGGCAGTTTAGAAATTCTTACTAGCCCAACGGTCTGCTCCGCCATGAGGCAGGCTGGGAGGGGGCAGTTTGGGGCACTATGAAAGGAAAGCAAACAACCAGTTATTTAATTTATCATTGTTGTTTTATGGCAAGAGGCACCACTTGAAGTCCGGACCTCTGGGGGCCAAATAAGCTTTTCCTAACATTTCCTGCTCAGAGCTATGGGCCTTTATCCCTCCCTCCCTCCTTCTCTCTCTCTCTCTCCAGCCCAGAAATACCTGGAAACTGAGGTTCTGCACAAACAGTATAGCGCTATATTATTTTAATAGTGCGCACCGCATAACCAAGATCATCCATCATGTATACAAAAACCTCTCACAGCACAAAGATCCCCTGCAACATTAATTAAACTCTTCCTCCATTCTGGTTCTGTCCATCCCCCCACACACATTCTGTACATCCTGACTGTGGGATAAGTGATGAATTGCCCCTTATTTCGGCAACTTCTGCTCCTCGTGTGGGGTGTGAGAACTATAATTGCCAGTTTACTTGTGTTGATATTTTTTTTCTTTATGTCTGTATAAACAGCATTTGTAGGCCCACTAGCACCCCAGGGTAGGGAACAGAAGCCAACAAGGAGCAATTCATCACTTATCTTTAGCCACATCCCAAAAGAAACCATAAAACAAGCAGAACTTACAAACAGGAAGTGTTTAATTAAAGGCACAGTAGTCCTTAAAAGTTTCAACATTGCTTTGCTCCTCTGTACTGGGCAGGCTGGCATTTCAATTGCTTTTCATTGGCGCAAATCAGGTCAGGGGGAAATCCAAGACGAAAACACTGGAATGCAATGACTTGACATCAACATTGTCTTGAGGACTTTCCCGTAAAAATAATGAGCAATTCTGGAGAACAGGCCCAAAATAGAAACAACTGTGTAACTGTTGACATGATAGAGCCTTGGCCCACCAGAAAGCATCTGCCCTATCTGATAGAGTTTGAGTTGAGGAAGAAGCTGGATCTTGACACCATCAAACCTCCAATCTTGTCTCCTCCGATTCTCCTTCCACTTCTTCCCTCATCCATTTGTCCTCTCGCTCTACACCATCATTTCCTGACCTTCCAGGCCTCTCTGGAGCACGAGGAAGGCAAGATCCTGCGGGCCCAGCTGGAGTTCAACCAGATCAAGGCCGACATCGAGCGCAAGCTGGCCGAGAAGGACGAGGAGATGGAGCAGGCCAAGCGCAACCACTTGAGGATGGTGGACTCGCTCCAGGCCTCCCTCGACGCCGAGACCCGCAGCCGCAACGAGGCGCTGAGGGTCAAGAAGAAGATGGAGGGCGACCTCAACGAGATGGAGATCCAGCTCAGCCAAGCCAACCGGGTGGCAGCTGAGGCCCAGAAACACCTCAAGATTGCCCACACCCACCTCAAGGTAACGAGGCACAAGGCCTTTGTCCCCCGCCTCAGTGGACCACAGCCTGAGGGGCTGGGAGGGGAGGTTCACACAGCCCCACACAAAAGGGCAGGGAGGTATTTATGAGGAGGCTTATACCTGCCATGGGAAGAAAGAGGCTTACTTTAATAATAATAATAATAATAATAATAATAATAATAATAATATTTATACCCCGCCCATCTGGCTGAGTTTCCCCAGCCACTCTGGGCGGCTCCCAATCAAGTGTTGAAAACAGTACAGCATTAAATATTAAAAACTTCCCTAAACAGGGCTGCCTTCAGATGTCTTTTAAAGATAGGATAGCTGCTTATTTCCTTCACATCTGAAGGGAGGGTGTTCCACGGGGTGGGCGCCACTACCGAGAAGGCCCTCTGCCCGGTTCCCTGTAGCTGCACTTCTCACAGTGAGGGAACCTCCAGAAGGCCCTCGGTGCTGGATCTCAGTGTCCGGGCTGGACGATGGGGGTGGAGACGCTCCTTCAGGTATACAGGACCAAGGCTCTTTAGGGCTTTAAAGGTCAGCACCAACACTTTGAATTGTGCTCGGAAATTGTAATTGTACTTACAGCTTGAAACAATATAAGTGTGTGTGTGTGTGTGTGGTTGCCCAGGACAACCAGATCCAACTGGATGACGCCCTGCGAGCCAACGAAGACCTGAAGGAGAACATTGCCATAGTAGAGAGGCGGAACTCCCTGCTGCAGGCCGAGCTCGAAGAGCTACGCAGCGTGGTGGAGCAAACAGAGCGCGGCCGGAAACTAGCTGAGCAGGAGTTGATCGAGGCCAGCGAGCGGGTGCAGCTCCTCCACTCCCAGGTGAAGAGGGAATGACCCTGATTTCATATGTGAAAACAAACAAACAAGCACTAATTTGAGGGGGCTGATACCTTCCCTTTGCAGAACGACAGGGTGCTGTTACTTTCAAAGGCCAGGCGAGTCCCACAGTCTTGTGAACTTGGGTGCTCTTGTCATCGTGAGAGCCTGTCCTTGGTTCATGTTCTGGACTACAGAATTCCTCTGCCTGAACCGAGACAATATTTTCTGAAGTGTAGAGTCCCTGCCTATCCCCACTCTTCCATCTCCTCCTCTTTGACTCCCCATTGGGGTTTCCTGCCCCAGTCCTTCTCTCACCCTTCCACTGGCCAACTCCATTCCTGCCTGTCACTCTCTCTCCCCTCCTTCCATCTTCTCATCTCCTTCATTGCCTCCATCTTTCACCCCTCAATTTAGCCTGCTTCCAGTGATAGCATCTTCTCCTGCCCCTTCATCCTCATCTTCCTCTAGCTTGCAGCCTGCTACTGAAGCTCAGCCAGCTGACACTTTGTCCTCCAGCTGGGTCTGCTGCTCTGTGTCTTCCTTGTCATTACCTCTTCCCTTCCACTCCACCCAGATCACCTTCCAGTTGGTTTGAGGGACTGATGATGCCACAGAGGGGCAGCTCCTGACTCCCAATTTCACATACCCAAGTAATGGGATCTGAGCTGAATTGACCAGGAATGACTACTAGCCACTGTCGGAGGTGGTGTGCCTCTGAAATCTGCCCATTTTTAGGAATCACCAGTAGGTTGAGCTAATGTCCTGCTTGCTGGCTTCTTATAATGGGCATCTGGTCAGCCGCTGTGAGAACAGAATGATGGACCAGGTGGACATTTGGCCTAATACGTTCCATGACGCTACTCCACCTTCTCTCATTCTGACTCGCCCATCTCCCCTCAGAACACCAGCCTCATCAACCAGAAGAAGAAGATGGAGACTGACCTGTCCCAGCTTCAGTCGGAGGTGGAGGAGGCAATTCAGGAGTGCAGGAACGCTGAGGAGAAGGCCAAGAAGGCCATCACGGATGTGAGTACAAATCAGATCATGGAAAGGTGGGATCCACAACTGGCGACCCTAAAGCTTAGTTTTGCCCCTTCCCCTTCACCAATTGCCTGTCCTCGCAAGTATTGACCCAGCCGTCTATCTTGTTCTGCTGGGATTTGCACAAGCCCAGTTAGGTTCAGGACCATAGACAGCTCCCAGTGGGCCCTGTTGGCTGAGCCATGAAAGATGATGTTGTCTCAGCAAAGGACCGCCAACACCTGAAGGCTGAAGGGTCAGGGGTTTGGTGTAGCAGCGCCTGTTTAAGAGAGGAGTATGGGCTCCTGTCCCCATCACCTCCTCCCCTCAGGATTTTTAAGGCCTGCATTGGGTTTGCCAGACTGAGGTAATTCTCTGCATTCTCTCTGCTTCCTCCAGGCGGCCATGATGGCGGAGGAGCTGAAGAAGGAGCAGGACACCAGCGCTCACCTGGAGAGGATGAAGAAGAACATGGAGCAGACCATCAAGGACCTGCAGCTGCGGCTGGATGAGGCTGAGCAGCTGGCCCTGAAGGGCGGCAAGAAGCAGCTGCAGAAGCTGGAGGCCCGAGTGCGGGAGCTGGAGAACGAGCTGGAGATGGAGCAGAAGCGCAACGGCGAGACCGTCAAGGGCATGCGCAAGTGCGAGAGGCGCATCAAGGAGCTCACCTACCAGGTGCGGGGGCTCAGGCGGCGTCCGTCCGGATGAGCTGGGGACGCTGCGAGGCTATGTGGCAAAACCATGTATATGGCGATCAAGGTGCATCGTATCTTCTCTGAGCATAGAAGAGACCAGCGTGGAAAATACACAGGAGAGCCGTAGAGCAGAATTGGGACCCTTTCTCAGCTGGAGGGCTGCATTCCATTATAAGGAACTTCTTTTCAGGGGGTCACCTGCCAGGGGTGGGCAGGGCTAGGGGCAGCAGCCGGAACTCTCACCTTTTGCACTAGAGCAGGGGTCAGCAACCTTGTTCAGCCGTGGGCCGGTCCACCGTCCCTCAGACCATGTGGTGGGCCGGACTATATTTTGAAAGAAAATATGAACGAATTCCTGTGCCCCACAAACAACCCAGATATGCATTTTAAATAAAAGGACACATTCTACTCATGTAAAAACACACTGATTCCCAGAGAAGGCGATTGGGCTGCATCCGGCCCAAGGCCTTAGGTTGCCTACCCCTGCACTAGAGGTTACATTGCAAAAGTCAGAGGTTTCTACACATACATCTCTGTGCCCTCTCTTCCTCCAGGAAAACAAGAAGCATTATTAAAGATCAAGGAGACATCTCAGCTTGGCCAAAGCCCTCAAGGGGTGTGGCTTGGGGAGGGATGTAGCTAAGGAAGAGTCTCAAGGGTCAGATAGAGAGTTCTGGAGGCCACATTTGGATCCTCCCCCTTGTGGCAGAGGATCAGCAGGCTGGCTGTAGCCAGGTTTCATTTATCTGTTTACATTGTTAGAGACAATATAAATTCACATCTCGCCATTGCTTTATTACCTAATACTTTTGTTGTGGTTTTAGGACTACATGAACTGCTTTGGTGTTTTCATTGTAAACAGAAAGCGGTATACAAATGAAGTTTTGCAGAAATTCAAAATTTGGCCAAATTTCTTTATTTAAAAAAAACAAACCACTGCTGTTGTTTCATTTTTTTAAATCCCATGGATACTTTTAAAAGAAAGCAAATCTTAAGGCTAGTGGATGAATGCTAGAACCATAACACAAAGTATTCACTGGTGACATTTGATCCCATCTTGCAGTTTTGATTGTTTTAAAATTCCTAAATTAACTGATTTCCATAGTTTGGAAAGTCAAGGGAAATTCTGATCAGGAGACTTTGCAAAGTGCAAGCACATCTGAGTCAGGCTGGAGGTTCGCTGCATATGTATGCACACCAGAGATGATTTTACCCAGTGTTTTTTTCTGGGGGGATGCAGGGGGATGCATATCCCTAAACATTTTGTAAATCTTTGTACTTTTGTTCATTTACTGTATTTATTTTTCTCGATTTGAACTATAAAATGGTGATTTTCTTGAGTCAAAATGAGAGTACCCCTAAACATTTTTTAAGGAAAAAAAAGCACTGATTTTACCTATAGAAAGTTACACATAGGGTTGGTTCAGCTGTAACTCCAAACTGTGATTTATGCCATCATTTACACATCAAACCTGCGTTCTAGGTTTACAGGCAAAATGGCTGCTTGTGCAGTTTCTTTCTTCTTTGAGAATCTCCTTACTCTATCCTAAACAGTAACCTCCAAGGGCAGTAGGAGCACTATTATTATTATTATTATTATTATTATTATTATTATTATTCCAAAACTCATTTTGTAAACTCAGGTGTAATCCCAAAACACAGCCTGCCCAAAGTGCGGTTTGCAAACCAGCTTCAAAACTTGATTTCGGATCCTGGTTTGGTGGCTACTTGCAAACTATGGTTTGTCAGATGGCGTTAGTTTAAACCACGGTTTGGTGTTGCAAGCAAACCAATTTATGGAGAAACAGTTGTGGATGCCAAGTGACGGTTTCTCCTCCATTTTCCTTCCCATTTCTCCTCATCTGCAGACTGAGGAGGACAAGAAGAACTTGCTGAGGCTCCAGGATCTGGTGGACAAGTTGCAGCTGAAGGTCAAAGCCTACAAGAGACAGGCAGAGGAAGCGGTGAGTTCCTAGGTTCTCTCCACAGTTATCAGCCAGCCTTGTCAAAAACAATGGCTGCAGAGACCCAATAGCCACTAGGTCAAATTACAGCACCTTCCACAGCGCCTAAGTAAAGGTAAAGGTAAAGGGACCCCTGACCACTAGGTCCAGTCGTGGCCAACTCTGGGGTTGCGGCGCTCATCTCGCTTTACTGGCCGAGGGAGCCGGCGTACAGCTTCCGGGTCATGTGGCCAGCATGACTAAGCCGCTTCTGGCGAACCAGAGCAGCACACGGAAACGCCGTTTACCTTCCCGCTGGAGTGGTACCTATTTATCTACTTGCACTTTGATGAGCTTTCGAACTGCTAGGTTGGCAGGAGCAGGGACCGAGCAACGGGAGCTCACCCTGTCGCGGGGATTTGAACTGCCAACCTTCTGATCGGCAAGTCCTAGGCTCTGTGGTTTAACCCACAGCGCCACCCTTGGCAAATCAAGAAAAACTTTGCTAAACCTGAGCTGCCAGGATGCTTAGATTGAACTAAGGTTGCCTGATGCTTTGCAAGATACAGTTTGCTAGACGGTATAAACAACCAGCCATATGGTGCTTGAGCTCCTTTGCAGGATAAAACTTCCCTGAACCTGAGCAACTAGTGGCTCTCATTTTAAGTCTTCTGAACAAACTTTGCAAGACCTTAGCTGGCTTTTCATGATCAAGTTCTACAGGTCAGGTTGGGTGGAAGGTGATGAAATGAAGCAGGTTATAATGTTTCGGTGGTGGTAAAGGACGCACGCAGTTAATCTGGAAACCCTTGGCTGAAATTTCAGACAGTCTGGTGAATTACCGTATTTTTCGCTCCATAAGACGCACTTTTCCCCTCCTAAAAAGTAAGGGGAAATGTGTGCGTCTTAAGGAGCGAATGCAGGCGGGAGGCTCTGCTCAGCGCTCCCTTTAAAGAGCCGCGCGGAGCATGTGTGCGGTCTTGGGGGCTTTTCCGCAAGGTAGGAGAAGGAACTGACAGGCTGCCCTCTGTCCCTTCCCACACCTCCCGGAAAAGCCAGCAAGAGCCGCTCCCAGGCTCTGCTCAGCGCTCCCTTGTAAGGGCTCCCTTTCGTCTCATCCCGCTTTGCTGGGAAGCCAGCAGAAGAAGAGGCGCTCTGCTGGCTTCTCAGCAAAGTGGGAGGAGGGACGGAAGGGTTTAAAGCAAGAAAAGCAAGAGCCGCTTACATGCTATGCGCAGAATTTTTATTTTCTTGCTTTCCCCCTCTAAAAACTAGGTGCGTCTTATGGTCAGGTGCGTCTTATGGAGCGGAAAATACAGTAACCACATGCCTTTTTCCCAGTTCCATCTCTCTTACAAGTGGATCAGTAAATACCTTCCGTTCTCCTCCCCAATCCTTGCAGTGGGTCACGCAGGTCTGATGAACACCACCCACCGTGGTGTCCTTAAGAACATAAGGAGATCCTGCTGGATCCTACTGGATCCGCAACTGGCACTCAGAAGCATTACTGCCTATGACTTTATTGCCCTCCCCTCCTTGAATTTGCCTAATCCTCTTTCAAACCCATCGAAGCAGGGGGCCATCGCTGCCTACCCTTTATCCTTTGCCAGGCAAAATTTCATAAACTTCTATGTCAGCTCTTCCCAATGTGTTTTCTTCAAGGTGTGGCCCGAGGGCCGCATGTGGCCCTCAAAGCCTTTTTTGGCACAGTTGACACCCAGCCCTCATGCTGCCTGCCCAAAGCCACTGCAACCTTCCCTTATCGAGGAGTCTGTGTTAAGTTGTGGGAGAACATATCAGACGACACAGCGATTCTTCAGACAGCTCTTGTTTATTCAGAGGCCAGAACAGAACTGAACTGAAGGGTTCAGTCAGCCTGCTTATATAGAGCTCCACTACAATGCAACTGTAACAACTTTCTAAAACTATCCAATCACTGAATGTCACTTTCGATCCCTCATTTGCATAACTATCTACAGTATCCCCCTGCTGGCCCAGGGTGAGAACTTCAGTACATAACAGTCTGGATCATTCTGCCTGCCCTTTTCTGAGCTTTCCCACCTTTTCTTCCCCTCTACCCCCTGGCCCACCCGCAGGAGGAGCAGGCCAACAGCAACCTGGCCAAGTTCCGGAAGGTTCAGCACGAGCTGGATGAGGCCGAGGAGCGGGCGGACATCGCCGAGTCCCAAGTCAACAAGCTGAAGGCCAAGACCCGCGATGTGGGAGGGAAGGTGAGTGTTGTGGCCGGCTGAGGGAGGCAGGTGGGCTCTGGGGAGAGACCCCAACTTGCCGTTTGTCCTGTTCACACATTACATTCAGCCAGGCCGCAGTCTGTGTACACAAACAACTGAGTTGTGCACGTGACAAGCAATACAGGTACAGTCTGTGTACACAATTTATCATCATTTCGTTATTAATTGCCTTTATACCCCGCCTTGGAGCTCAAGGTGGTCTACGCAGCTCTTCTCCCCCTCGTTTAATCTCCAACAACAGCCCTGTGAGGTAGGCTAGGCTGAGGGGCAGCCAGTGAGCTTCACGGTCGAGCGGGGATTTCGAACCCTCATCTTCCAGGTCTTAGTCTGATGCTCTAACCTCCACAGTTCACTGAGCTGCACAAATCAACGTGTGTACGCCCTTTCACACAAACACTTGTGCATGTGTAGAGGCAGCTTGTACCTGGGTTCAGCATATTGTGTGAACAAGCCTTTGGCGTCTCCTTTCCATTCCAGTGAATCAGGCTGTGCATTTGCACTTAAGCTCCACACCCGGCACATTCACCCCATCCCTCCCTCCCAAAATTCACAAAGGTAAAGTAACTTTTACTCAGAGTAGATCCACTGAAATTAATAGTCATGGTAATTCATTTCAACGGGTCTTCTCTGAGTCAAAAATGTTAACATATTGGAGAGCTGCTCCAAAATGTTGGGAGGTAGCTTTTGGTATGTTGGTGATGGCATTGGCATGAGCCAATAGACCCCCCTGTTTAAAGCTAGCTTTTCTCCAATACAACGAAAAGTTCCAGAATTGTTTAGGAGGTTTTTCCCTAGGGCATGAATACATATGCACGTTTTCATGGCAGCAAAGGTGATTTCAGAGCACATCTCCTACCCTTTTAAATGTTGCATCCTGCTTCTGTCTCCCTTGTTTTATTTCTGTGCTCATCATACTCTCCTCCTTTTAATTTTTCCCCCTTCATCCTTTCCTTCTGTGCTTCTCTCTTCCAGAAACTTCATGATGAAGAGTGAGGAGGTTTTCAGATCCTCGGTTGAACTGAAGGGCTTTTTCTCCAGCCCCTTTCACTGAATAAGATGTAGCATTAATATAATCCAATTAATAAAGTTGAACAGCAAATTTAATCCTGACATTGCCGTCCTCATCATGTGCTGCCCATTTGCTGAACAGAGAGAATAGGGTTGCTGTGCTATGCCACTGACAGCCTGGCAACAGGCAGAAATTAAACATGAATAGATTTTTAACATCACCTATTGAATGCCTGCCTGCCATGGAGCTATTGAAAAAGCACAAGAATCTTCCCGGGGGGGAAAAAGAGGGCAACTCTTAACACAAAGCTGCCTCTCTCTCTCTCTCTCTCTCTCTCTCTGCTTCTTATGTTGCTGTTGAAAGAAGACTTTCATTATTCTATTAATGTGGAAATTGGTTTTCCAAACAACTGTGATAGCTTGAAGTTTTCTCAATACAGTGGTGCCTCGCAAGACGAAATTAATCCGTTTTAAGCGGTTTTTTCGTCTTGCGAAGCAACCCTATTAGCGGCTTAACGGATTAGCGCTATTAGCGGTTTAGCGGCTATTAAAGGCTTAAAGGCTTAGCGGATTAGCTGCTAAAAGGCTATTAAAGGCTTAGCGGCTTAGATAAAGGGGGGGAAAGCGAAAAAAAAATCTCAAGACTCCAAGACATTTTCGTCTTGCGAAGCAAGCCCATAGGGAAATTCGTCCTGCGAAGCAACTCAAAAACGGAAAACCCTTCCGTCTAGTGGGTTTTCCGTCTTGCGAGGCATTCGTCTTGCGGGGCACCACTGTAGCTTTCTCTGGCTCGTACTGGTGTCAGTTGTTCCCTCTTGTGGTCAAACTGAACATTGACAGGAGAGGTCCCTGCCAGGATTTCCCCCTTCCTCCCACGCTCAGAAGTTAGAGCAGGGGTCAGCAAACTTTTTCAGCAGGGGGCTGGTCCACCGTCCCTCAGACCTTGTGGGGGGCCGGACTATATTTTGAAAAACCCCAAAAACAAACGAATTCCTATGCCCCACAAATAACCCAGAGATGCATTTTAAATAAAAGCACACATTCTATTCATGTAAAAACACGCTGATTCCTGGACCGTCTGCAGGCTGGATTGAGAAGGCGATTGGGCTAGATCCGGCCCTCGGGCTTTAGTTTGCCTACCCATGAGTCAGAGTGTGAACATTATGTGGGGCCTCTTACAGGCAATGGTTTCCAACTTAATACAGTGGTACCTCGGGTTACAGACGCTTCAGGTTACAGACTCTGCTAACCCAGAAATAGTACCTCAGGTTAAGAACTTTGCTTCAGGATGAGAACAGAAATCGCGTGGCGGTGGCACAGCAGCAGTGGGAGGCCCCATTAGCTAAAATGGTGTCTCAGGTTAAGAACAGGTTAAGTACAGACCTCTGGAACGTAACCCGAGATACCATTTTACATGGACCTGTCCACCTTTTTATCCTGCCTTAGCATTATCTCATTTCATCTCTACCAAGAGACTATCCCCTCCGCAACGCTCTGCTTCTCTTTTTCCTAGCCATCACCCTCCTTCCACGCCTCTTTCTCAACTCACACTTTTGGCACACTCCCTCAGATTCGCACATCTCTGCGCCTCCCTGTGGGCCACCCGCAAATCCAGGCACTTGCGAGCAGAGACAAAAGCCCAAGATTTTTTGTGCACCCCCACTCGTGGGACGTGCTCCTTGCACAGTCGTAAGAGCATCCGAAGAGCCCTGCCGCAGGATCGGGCCTGCGACCCATCCAGCCCAAAATCCTGTTATTACAGCAACGACCAGAAGCCCACAAACGGGACCTGAGCACCGCGGTCGTACATTCATGCGCTCACACTCACGCATGTGCATCCCCCACTCGTGCGTGTGTGGGCACATAAGAGGCCAGCGTACCATATTAAAAGCACCTTTTAATTTCGTCTCCTCATCAAGTTAAATACAAAAGGGAAGAATGGAGGGAAAACACCCAGGAGCTCAGCCACCCAGGATCCACGTTCCAGTTTGATGGGGGGTGGGATTCAGCAAAGGTACACCAAGAGGGTCTGTTGTGGGGTGGGCCTTTGCTCCCACAGAAGCAGTGAGCAGCAGCCCACTGGCCCCTGGGGAAGAAGGTAGAAGCATTGTCTTCAGAGCGAGGAAGAAGGGGCCAAGGAAGCTGCAGAAAGAGGCTGTGGGGCAGGGGAGCGAGGGATGTAGGGCGGCAGCAGCAGCAGCTGTGTGTTGATCGCAGGGACCCTCAGCCCAGATCTGGGTCTACAAGAGAGAAAGAGCGTTAACAAGGTCAGTTGCCTCTCTGGGTCAGAGGAGAGTCAACCCTGCCATGAGGACAGCAAGTTGTACATTGTCATCTGTGGGTCTGCCTTTCCTCTCTGTCCCTCTCTTGGCCAAAGCTCAATGCTGCTAGCCCTACTCAGAGTAAACCCGGTGAAGGAAGGGTGAAGCATCTGGGGGCTTTTTAAGTTCTGAGAAAAGGAGAGCAGGAGGCAACATGGTGGAAGTTTAAAAAAATTGTTGCATTGCAGGTGCTGAGTGAGAGAGAGAAAGAAAGAGAGAGAGAATGAATGCAGGCATGCACACTCTGCTTTTCCAAATGATCTAGCTACCGTATTTTTTGCTCCAAAAGACTCACTTTTTCCCTCCTAAAAAGTAAGGGGAAATGTGTGTGCGTCTTATGGGGCGAATGCAGGCTGCGCAGCTATCACAGAAGCCAGAACAGCAAGAGGGATTGCTGCTTTCACTACGCAGCGATCCCTCTTGCTGTTCTGGCTTCTGAGATTCAGAATATTTTTCTTCTTGATTTCCTCCTCCAAAAACTAGGTGCGTCTTGTGGTCTGGTGCGTCTTATAGAGCGAAATATACGTTAAATGTTGCATCAGGCAGGACTGACCTGAGCCTTAAAAGCACATAGAGCTGAAAGAGGAAATGGGACAGAGCGTCACTCTTCCAGCTTCCTCCTTCAACTCTATGTAATCCTAGGTAACCACCACCACCATGAGCAAGGGGGCAGCGAGGAAGGGCTCAGGGGTGTCATGGGCACCAGGGGAAGAACTCAAGAGCACCGCTGCGCCCACGAGCACACTGTTGGCAACCCCTGACACGCTGCCTCTCGGTTGATCCACCTGCTCCACTTCCCTCCCTTTCCCCTGTTTCCCCTGTGTCAAACTTTAGACTGTAGGCTCCTTATTTCACAAGCCTTCAATTCAAAAAAATGAACCACAACTAGTAGATGTGATACATTATAATAAGTAAAAATTAACGTGATTTATAAAGGAGAAAAAACTTTGTACAAAAACATTAAAAATCCAACAGACTGTAGGCTCAGTGGGGCAGGGACCTGCCCTCTTAAATTCGGTATAAAATGCCGATCGTTCAGTTCACCGCTCCAGGGAGGCCCCCGTTTTTCTGCCCCAGACTTCATCCATGCCACCATTGCACCCACCCTTGGCAGCCCCCTCTCCCCGGCGCCACTCACCCTGGTCTGCCCCCATTTCTGCCCTGTATGTTTTGTAGGCATCGAAACAGAAGACAGCAATGAGAATCAGGCTGAAGACCTGCGAAGGGACCAAGAATTGTGAGTGAATGGCAGGAGGCAGGAGGGGAGGGAACGATAACAGATTGGGGGAAGGTGGAATTTTTTGGGGGGTCGTACCCCTCAAGCACCCCACATTTGGAAGGATATCTTAGGTCGAGCCAGGTCTCTGACAGAACCCACACAGTCCTGCCTTGCAGTGGGTTGGCTGTCTATATGCCACGCCCCTTGGGGAGGGGCTCCGATAAGGGGCGTGGCCAGAAAGGGGAGTTTTTAGGGAGAGGGTTGATAACTCACAAAAGCAGACACGGCAGATCCCTCGTGGCTGGCAGCAATGACGGCAAAGGCCACTACCGTGAAGACTATTGCGGCGCTGATGCAGCGAAGGAAATCCTGTGGTGGGAGGAGAGAGGAGGGTCATCAAGGCCTGAGCGGCAGGCGAGAAGACCAGTTGAAACCAGTACAGTGGTACCTCAGGTTACAGACACTTCAGGTTACAGACTCTGCTAACCCAGAAATAGTACCTTGGGTTAAGAACTTTGCTTCAGGATGAGAACAGAAATCGTGCAGCGGCGGCGCAGCAGGCCCCATTAGCTAAAGTGGTGCTTCAGGTTAAGAACAGTTTCAGGTTAAGAACGGACCTCCGGAATGAATTAAGTACTTAACCTGAGGTACCACTGTATCAGAAAGCGTGCAAATGGCAAAATCCAATCCAGGAAGGCAGACAAAGCTACAGTCCTGCCGCAGCACGAGAAGGAAATCTGGCACAGGGGAAGGCATGTCAATATGCTTCGGTGTTGCTCAGTCGACTCCAGTGCCTCTTTCGGCAAGAGATTGGCCGCGGGGAGCATGACTAAGTGCTGCAAAGGAGATTATGGGGAAAGCATGGCTACCCACCAGGCAGGGCCAGTTGACGCGAGTCAGGCGCTCGTAGTAGTGCGTCGCCCGCAGTCCCAAGAATGCCAGTGTCACCAGCACTTCCAGGAGGGCTGCACCCATGTAGGCGGAAATGGAAGCTGTGAGCAGCAGGAAGACCAGGAAGCAGAGGCCCTGGAGGAAGGGGGCAAGCGGGAGGCAAAAGGAGAAGTGTGACGTGCATTCCCAAGGGGGGCTCACTTTCATATATATAAAATATAATCCTACTCTTTTGAGATGGACTCTTCACACACACACACACACACACACACACACACACACTCCTTCCCAGCAATTCACGATCCCAGATGGCATAATTCGTAGCCTGATTTCATCTTCACACACACACAAATTCCACACCTTTGCTCTGGATTTACGATCTCTCCTCTTAGCTCTGCGCTCAGGGTTGCAGATTTGGAACTTTTCCTTTGGGTAAAAAAAAACCAGCAGAAACTGGTCCCACCACTTCCATCCTTCTAAAATACCTTTCAAGTGAAACGCTCCCCCCTGCTTTGAGTGACATCTCCCCCATGAAGATTTCTGGAGAACTCAAAAGCGGACCCCACTGCCATGGTCTCCACTCCATTGAAGGTTTTTAAGCAGAGGCTGAGTGGCTCTCTGTCAGGGATGTTTTAGCTGTGATCCTTCTACTGCAAGGGGGTTAGGCTAGATGGCCCCTGGGGTCCCTTCCAACTCTGCCAATTCTATGATTCTGCATTTTGGCTGCTCTCCCCTCACCCACAAGTGCCCCCAAAAATATTTGGTTTCCACCCCCCCCCCAAATATTTGAATTGAAATTTAATACCTGTAAGAGCAAACGAGTTTTAGAGAAAAGAAACGAAAGAAAAAATGTGTGGTTTTTTAAAAAAAGAAAAGTTGTCGTAATTGTCAATAAGAAGTATTGGAACTAGCTATGTGATTTACTGAGCTGATAATAAAATATATCAAGAAGGAATGGGAGTGTGGTCCATAATTAGAAAGGGGACCATGATCAAAATCAAAGCAATTTGATTTTTTTAAAGAGGATTAAAAAAAAAGAAACTTTGAATGTATGGGATCCAGACACTCGCACAGACCTGTGCTTTCGTTTTTTGGATTCTATAGATCAATATATATAATAATGATAATCATGTGTATATGGTGTATACACAAAGATAACCAACCTGTGCTCAGGGCCAGTGGAAAATTAGTGGTTTTGTTCAAAGCAAAAACTTATTCTCCTCTCATTTCTCCATCTACCCCACTGCACAGACTTTTGGAATAAAATCTCCCATAAGCCCTTTCCCCCCACAGTCCCTGCCTTAAACCCACTGTCTTCCTTACCCCAGCTCTGGGCTATACATTTTGGATAAAGAAGTGGACCCCCACCCACCCAAGCCTCCATCAAAGAGGAGAACCCCCTCCCAAAGAATGGAGGGGAGCCAAAAAAGGCAGAGAGAGGCATTCACGGGATTCACAGGAATTAGCAGAGAGGGAATGAAAATTAAGCCAGCCAGATGGAAGGACTGAAAGACAAACAGAGGAAAAAGGAAGGGGGGAGAGGTCTGCGAAGGAGGAATTAAGAAAAGCAGAGGTTTCTGCACTGCAAGGGGTTGCACTAGACGAGACTTCTAACTCTCCAATTCTTTAGTTTTATGCAAAGAAAGAGGAATGATTGGGGAAAGCGGGGAAGAAGAAAAAAGGCAAAGTCCTTAAAAGGAAGGGATGAATCAAATGAATGAAGAAAGGCAGAAGGAAAGGAAAGCAAGGAGAGAGGGGCCACCAGGATAGGGCCCCACGCAAAAGAACGAGCCGGACCATACCCCACCCCCCACAAATAAAACCCCCCAGCAGGATTGGCAGACCCACTTCTGAATTAGCTAAGTGAAACATGACCCCTGAGCAGTTCAGAGAGGGGCTTCCCCAAAAGACCATTTTAAATCCAGACTCCGGAGTTTAAAAAATATTAGTTCATGGCACCACCGACTTAGAGGATGGAGAGAAAGTGTTGGGTGAAAAGAGGGGGGGGGGGTTAGAAACAGGGGGGAGCAGGGAAGGAGGAGAAGGAGGGTGCGGTGGGTGGGGGTCTTCCGTTACCAGCTCTGCCTCCATCACCACCCCCTTGGGGGAGCGCAGGAATTCCTTGTCGAGGGAGAAGCCCCGCAGCCCCCCAGGTCCCTCCTGGGGCTCGCCCATCCTGCTGGCTGCCTCTGGCCGGAGGGAGGGCGCTGCTGGGGGAAGAGGGTCGGGGGGGGGGGGAAGACCCAAGGAAAAAAAGAGGGGGGGGGAGAGATGAAAGACGGAGCCTGTTTCTCTCCACCTGGCACCCAGCCGGATTTCCACGCCGGGGAGGCGGGGAGGAAGCCCGAAGAAAGGGGGCTGGAGGGAGAAGAGGAGGAAAAATGAAATGAAGGGAGAGGATGGAGAGGAACGAAAGGGTCCGCCCCGTCCAGGCTCCAGAAGGGAGACTCTGCCTCCTGGCCCCCGAGTGCCTCTCCGGCCCCCAGGACCACGAAGGGTGGCCGTGGCGAGGGTGGCGGGTCTCTGGGCCCACCTACCCACTCAGCCCCCCACCCCATGGCCGGACAAGGAGGAGGATTGTCTCTCGAGGGCCAGGAACGGGCTGCCCCGGGGAGAACAAGGGCCGCATTGTCTGGGGGGACGGGAGGCCGGAGGGCAGAAGTGAATGGACCGCATTCTCTCCGCCGCGACCCGTTCAGATGCTTTGCAAGAGCGTGGGAGGAAAAGAAAGAAGTGTGGGGCGCGGGGTGGGGTGCGTGGACGGGCCCGGGGGCTGCAGTGACGAGAAAAGGCCGCCAGGGGGCGGTAGAGAGCAGGGGAGGCGCCTCGGGCACTGGAGAAAGGGACTTGCGCTTTTCCGCCAGTAGGGGTCGCTGGGTGAAGAGGGCAGGGCGCGTCCCGCTCTCTTGGAAAGGTTTCCTTGGGAGTTGCGGAAAACCAATGATGTCTCCTGGCAAATAGAAGGGAAAGAAATGGAGGCAGTGAGAGGTTTTACTTTCTTGGGCTCCATGATCACTGCAGATGGTGACAGCAGCCACTAAATTAAAAGACGCCTGCTTCTTGGGAGAAAACCAGTGACAAACCTAGACGGCATCTTAAAAAGCAGAGAAATCACTTTGCCAACAAAGGTCCGTATAGTTCAAGCTCTGGTTTTCCCAGTAGTGATGTATGGAAGTGAGAGCTGGACCATCAAGAAGGCTGATCGCCGAAGAATGGATGCTTTTGAATTCTGGTGCTGGAGGAGACTCTTGAGAGTCCCATGGACTGCAAGAAGATCAAACCTCACCATTCTGAAGGAAATCAGCCCTGAGTGCTCACTGGAAGGACAGATCCTGAAGCTGAGATTCCAAGACTTTGGCCACCTCATGAGAAGAGAAGACTCCCTGGAAAAGACCCTGATGTTGGGAAAGATGGAGGGCACAAGGAGAAGGGGACGGCAGAGGATGAGATGGTTGGACAGTGTTCTCGAAGCTACGAACATGATTTTGACCAAACTGCGGGAGGCAGTGGAAGACAAGAGTGCCTGGCATGCTCTGGTCCATGGGGTCACGAAGAGTGGGGCATGACTAAACGACTAAACAACAATGCTGTCTTTAAGGTTCTCTGATTCAGAAAGCCAGGCGCAGTGGATCGGGGTTAAGGGCACAAATGGGGCAGGAGTGATCAAGAAGAATCACAGAACTGTTGGAAGGGGCCCGACTCTAATCCAGCTGTCCCATCCGGGATTCGAACCTGCAACCCTGGTATTATCAGCACCATGCTCTAACTAACTTGAGCCATCCAGGCAAATGTAAGTGTTGGGAGGCATGGACTCAAAAAGGTTGAAAATCACTGCCTTACTGTTTTCTATTTCCAGGATTCCCTTCGCTCTGATGTGTGTTGGAGGTGTTCCTGGGTGGGGCAGGTGGGGCACAGCCCCTTCCCCCCCCCACTTGCCAGAGGTTTTTCTCCTGTCTCCCAGGGACACCCGTGTCACTTTGTTTCGGAAGGAAATCCCAGCCGGCTTTCCATGGCTGCTGCAGGAGATTTGCATCTCACTCCGCGGTTTAGACGGGCAGGAAAATACCTGCGATAATACGCTGGGTAACCATGGCAAAGTAAACAGAGTGGGAATCCTAAGAAAGGGAATGCTATGGATGTGAATTATGGGGCACTGGGGGATAGTGAGCTCTCCTTTTCCCTGGGCCCAAGCAGCCTCTGATTCCACCTTCCAAAATCTCAATCCCAGAAGTCAAAATTCCATCTGAGAATATGTACAGTAACCAACACAGGCAAGGACTCTTTGAGCATGTGCAGAGTGCCACCACCCCATCACTGTGTAACTACAACTCACACACAAAGGGAGGAAGTCCCAGGAAGGTTCTCACACCTTTTCTTGCCTGGAAAATGTTGGCACTAATACAGGGGAGTTTGGTGTTTGTAATATCCAACTCACCAGATAAGCCACACAGACCTTGGGAGGTAGCATTGCCCAGTGGTTACAGAGCGGGATACCATCTCCCGCCGCCCTGGCTGGACTTCTGAGCCTGGATCTTGTGTGCAGCAGGAGGAAATGCAACAGGTGATGCGTTTTCTTTCCTGTGTACTGTCTTGCATCACCTGTGACATCTCTGTCTGTTCGACAGCTGCTCCCTGCACCAGATTCTTGCCCCAAATGAAGCTGAGTGACATTGAAACGTGGCAAATTCACGGCACAAGCTGGTTCTCTGTGCTCTTGGGTGGTGGCCAGTATGATGACATCACGCGGCAGGCACCGTGACATCATCGTTGCAGGTAGCAGTGTGGCTCCATTAAGCCTTAAGTATATTCCCAAAGGAAAAGTAGTGTAACAGCGTCATTCGGGAAGCATGCAAAAAATCTAAGGCGGGAGCAGTCATCACACTTTGGCGAGAGAGGAAAGCGGAGGGAGAGGAAAATATATTCCTCAGGATAAGTCTGGGACTCTCACGGAAAGGCCATCAACATATCAGCCGCAGGGAATCACAGAATCGTAGAAGGGCTGAGTTGGAAGGGACCCAGTGGATCATCGAGCCCAGGGGTCCTCAAACTACAGACCGCGGGCTGCATCCGGCCCACAAGGGTCCTGAACCCGGCCCTCTAACACAGCCTTTCTCAACCTGTGGGTCCCCAGATGTTGTTGAACTACAACTCCCATCACCCCTAGCTAGCAAGGCCAGAGCTCAGGGATGATGGGAGTTGTAGTCCAACAACATCTGGGGACCCACAAGTTGAGAACTGCTGCTAACAGGTCTACGCATGTTTCCATCCTCCCTCCCCACACAGCTTGGAGGAGAGGAGAGGAGGGAGGTGGCGAGGAGTCCTTCTCTGCCATTTGGAGAAGGAAGGGAAGGGAGGCAGCAGCGAGGCCTGAGATCAAAACATGCGCCCACGCTCACCCGCCCGTTCTTTCGCCTCAGAGGAGCACTTGGCTGGGCTTGTGGTGGCCGCACTCCCGGGGTGAGGGAGACTGGGGGCGCCTAGCCTAGCCTGTGCTGGGAGGGACGGCTTTTACTTTTACCTCAGTCGAGGCTCCGTTCTCATTTCTCTCTCTTTTTTCCTCTCTCTCTCTCTCTGTGCAGCGGTTTATTAGTATTTTGCGAAGTAGCAAACCAGACAACATCGCAAGAAATCAAACAAGGTTATACTCAAGCACAGACAATTTTCTCCTCATTGACATTGTGAGGTATTTCCCCCTTCATGCAGCTGAGAAAGACCAGGGGAGGACTCTTTGGTAATCTTGCACCACTTGCTACGATTAGCAGTGACAAATATGGAACCGGATATTGACCATCTCATTAGCCAAAAGCAGACCCATACTCCCCATTGAAATACTTCTAAGTTTATGTTGATTCAAATCGTTCTCCATTTTAAATATTGTATTGTTTTTCCTGTTTTGGGTGCACCGCAAATAAAATATGTGCAGTGTGCATAGGAATCCGTTCATTTTTTCCCCAAACTATAGTCCGGCCCCCAACAGTGTCAGAGGCACAGTGAACTGGCCCCCTGTTTAAAAGTTTGAGGACCCCTGATCTAGCCCAACCGCCCGCAAAGGGAGGGGGAGCCCTGTTTTCTCTGGATTAAAACGGCTGGACACATTCTGCTGTCTTTGGAATGTTTTATTGAAAAATTTAAAATAAAAAAGGCAAGATGGTTAAGTTTCTTTGAGACAGCAGACAAGAGACAGCGGATTTTAGTGCAAGCGTACAAATAGTTGAGAAATGATCCTGACCTATAAATGTGGGCATTGCTAGCTATAGGGATGAGCAGAGGGTCACACACACAAGCCAGGATAGGGGATGGCAAGGCTTATCAGGGAATATTCTTCTGTAACAAGTTGCTCCTGCCACAATTCATGCGTGAACATTTCCCCCGTCGCCGTTTCCTTTGCCTCTCGCTAACTTTATTCTCTAATGTCACTTAGAGTTGCCAGCTTTTTCTGTGGACCCTGCTCCTATGTCTTTAGAAGTATCTGGCCAGATGTAGCGATATTTAGTGGGTGGCCAACTTTTTTCCCTTGCGAATGCTCCTCTACTTCTAACAGAAAATTCGCAGCTAAGCACACGTTAGAAGGCAGAGGAGCATTTGCAGGAGAAAAAGTTGACTTCTGACTTTTGGCAGGGTGGGCAAACTGCAGTAAGAGAGAGAGAAGGATTTATTTAATCTGTGTTTATCGGTAATAGAATCCAATATTCCCCAATTGGTATATCTGAGTGTGTTAGAGCAAGCCCTTTTGCTTTCTCCCTGCATGGCCTACACTACAAAGCCCAACCATCTCTAGGATACGCTGTCCTGACAGCCCCCCAAAGGGCCCAGAGGGGGCTGGGATTCCGCAACAGCGCCAGAAACGCCATCCCCGATCCCTGTTCCTTCTTGATGCTGTTCCAGCTGCTCCTCAGCGACCTTTGGGGGAAGCCAAAGATTTGAATCCGAGTTCAACTGATCAGTTGAGGGAGCTTTTCCTTTTCACAGCAATTAATTCTGAAGTTAGAAATGAGCAAAGAGACAGCAAGGTTCTGGTGTACCCAGGTCCTGTGGGTGGACGTGCGGGTGGCAGCCTGTGAGGGAAATGAACTCTGCACGTGTTCAGAGGCTCCCTCCTTCTGAATCCCATCCACGGTTTTGCTCTGGGGATCCCCTTCCCGCTTCCAAGCCTCACAGTATGGCCACACAGGTGCAGGCCACGGGCAAAGGATATTTCCGCCGCTCAAGGTAGAAGGACTTGTTGACATTCGCACAAGGCCTCCGATAGTAGACCGTTGTGTCGGCAAAGATTTGGACAGACACCCCGTTTCGCTCCTTATGGACGAAGGTCTTTTGGGTGGCATTTTTCAAGGAGACGCAGGAATCTTGGCAGATACACTGGGCACTCCAGAGGAGTCGAGGGTAGCGGGAGTCGTCAGTGTCTTCCCTGGGGGAGCAAGAGAAACGACAGGTCTGTCTTTGAGCCATTATGACTGGATGGTGGTCTGATGGGGGAGTGCACTGGGATGCCGGTTGTGGAGTGAAAGGGAAAATAAAATAAAATAAAATAAAATAAAATAAAATAAAATGTGTGGGATGAGGAGCTTTGGGGGACTAATGCTGGGTTAGATTAGCCTTCCCCAACACGGTGCCCTCCAGATATCTTGGAAAGGAACTCCAGTCACCCCTGAAACTGGTCTGACTGGAAGGGACCCCGAGGAGCAACCAGTCCCTGCGAGGCAGGAATATGCAGCTCTCCCCTTCAGGGATCGAAGCTGCAACCTCGGCCCCCTCAGCCCCCTGCTCTAACCAGCTGAGCTCTCTGGGAAATCTGGAGGGCATTGTTGGTGGTGCCTGGCAGGGCCAAAGGGATGCCTCTTTATTTCCAGTCGGTGGTGCAGCAATAAAAGTGCGAGCAGATTTGGAAAGCTAAGCAGGGTCCAGTATGGTTTCAAATTGGATGGGAGACCACACTTGGAGATTCCTGCATTGCAGGGAGGGGGTGGACTAGAGGACCCTGGGGTCCCTTCTGACTCTACGATTCTATGAAAATGGGATGGATGAGGGGGCAGAGGAATAAAAGGTATGATTGTTTTCTCTTACACATATCGCCAAGGAGAACTGGAGGCCCTGTTCTTTACACCAGGAATCGAGCGGCAGTCGTCAGAGGAAGACACGGACCGGGAGGAACGGGCAGACTGGGTGGACTGGGAGGAATGGGCAGTGAGCTTCTTCACGACTTCATTGAGTGTCGTCTCTTCACAACAGTTTGAGGAGGACATGCATTGGAAGGCCTGGCTGGCCACAAACGTCGAGAGCAGGAAGCACATCACAGCCTGGAAGGAAGGAAGGAAGGAAGGAAGGAAGGAAGGAAGGAAGGAAGGAAGGAAAGGCAAGAGGGGGCAGCGGTTACAACTGGTCATGGTGGAACAGCCCAAATGGGACTGCTCCAAATATTATTTTGCCTTACAGAGAAATCTAGTAGCCCATTTCCCACGCCCTTTTCCTCGCAGCCTTCCTAAGTTGGAGTACGGTGGTACCTCAGGTTAAGAACTTAATTCATTCTGGAGGTCCGTTCTTAACCTGAAACTGTTCTTAACCTGAAGCACCACTTTAGCTAATGGGGCCTCCTGCTGCTGCTGGAGCAAGATTTCTGTTCCCATCCTGAAGCAAAGTTCTTCACCCAAGGTACTATTTCTGGGTTAGCGGAGTCTGTAACCTGAAGCGTATGTAACCTGAGGTACCACTGTATTCTATTCCCAGAATGACGTGGGCAGGGATCTCTCCAAAAACCTGCCTGCAAAATTGGCAGAATCAAGTGGTAC